GGTCAGAACAGGGCAAGGCCGCAGGGCTGTCGGAGGAGAATATCCACGAGTTTCTGAACCCGAGGGTCAGTAACTACAAGAGACTGAGGGGCGGAGTGAGGTTTGTGGACGAAATACCCCGGAATCTGAACCAGAAGATCATGAGGAACGTGCTGAAGGAGTGGGTTGAGAAGGAGATGGGGGAGCAGTCGAATTTCCGGGCTCGATTATAGAGAAGACGATAGAAGACAGGCCAAGCCTGTTAGATCAGAACAACTCAGACATTCATCCCTCTTTAGCCCTGAGTTTGCCAGAGAGATTCAGCCGAAGTTGCAGAGGGGACGAAGGTCAAACGCATCTATTGTTGAGATAGAGGCATCACTCAAGCTCACTACCAAGACATCAGCGTCGAGAATATACCAACATCCTCTTCTGATCCCACCAATAAAGCGCCAGTCTTTTCCTTCGGGTCTTTTTCCACATGTAATGGCCGAGTGCCACCGAGATACCCCGTGTGTGAGTATGAGGCTCTCCACACTGACGCTGAACAAGGCTGCGCTAGACTGTTTTGAGGATTTGGGGAAAGAGAGAGGAGCACGGAAGGGGGTCTGGGGCAGGGAGCCCGGCATTTCTTCTATCCCCGCAGTTTGCGGCCCTGGGGCTAGGTCTCGCTTCTAGTTATAGCGATTCCTTGCGAGGGGCACGGCCTGCTTCCATCTTGAACGAAAAACATGTGGGGTTCATCCTCATTCGTCAGCGGGAGACGAACGAAACATGGCCGCTTCAAGACGTACGGTGGCCTTTTTGTCTTGGAGTGACTACTACCCAGGTAGCCATGCAAAGACTGGCCGTAGAGGAGTCCTAACCCTTCCGAGTTCAATATCATATACTTCATTCTTATTTCCAGGCCTGGAGGAAAAGAAGCCATGGACCCAACCAAGTTTGGCGTCTCGTCCATCCCCTTGAACCACGCCCCTTATGGGCCCATCACGGACGACAAGCTCAAAGGCTTGAACCAGGGCAAAGTCGCCCTGGTCACGGGCGGTGCCAGAGGTGAGGAGAGACACTTACCACCATGAGGGAATCTAAGTGCTATACGGGGATGGCGTTCCCCCCCTCTATAGAAGGAGACCCTGCTAACGGCCTGGACACGGCCAATTCAGGGATCGGACGGGCAATATCAGAGAAACTGGCTCTCTCGGGCGCCAATCTCGCGATATTGGACCTTCTCGAACATGAACTCGCCGAAAGCAAGGCCCTGTGCGAGATGTACGGAGTCAAAGTGAAGACCTATGTGGTTGATGTCACGGACGTGGACGGGTTGAGGACCGTCTTGAAGCGAGCAGAGGAGGACCTGGGCCCGATTGAGTGAGTCTTCTGCATCCCGGCATTTGTCGATCTAGACTCTGGCTGTCACTTTTCCCGGGGAAAACGTGGCATACGGGACTGACTGTTGGGATTGCGCTCGCTCAGTATCCTCGTGAACAACGCCGGAGTATCGCCTGGACGACCACAGTGGATGGAAAGCTTTGAGGACTTCTGGAAGACCATCGAGATCAATTTCAAGAGCGTAAGTCTCCCTGCATGTTGTATCCCCTACAACACCACAGAATCGCCCCATTCCCAGGACCCGAGAACTGTGGCCCCCAGCTCCCCGGAGGGAATCCGCCGCTGAGATAATTCATTCCACAGACAATGGTAACGACCTGGGCTCTTCTCCCCCAGCTCCGCGAGCGGAAATCCGGGGTGATCATCAACATCGCGTCTCGGGCCGCGACGGTCGACTTCCCCTTTGCCATCGGCTACAACTCTTCCAAGGCAGCCGTCGCCCGCGCGACCTCGACCTTGCAGGAAGAAATCGAGCTCGACGGCCTCGGGGACCGGATTCAGATGTACGCGCTGCACCCTGGGGGCGTCCCCACCGCTATGGCGAAATGTAAGCACTTCTTAATCACTCAATTCCCCTTCTGTCTATTCCGTACCCGGGTGTCTAAGACGTTTATCGGAACCGGATGTGCTTCTGTGGGAGAAAACATACTGACAAGTGACCCGTTTAACCACTAACAGCCGAGGTCCGCGTGGAGCTCCTGGAAAGGTACCCGTCTCTCACGCAGCATGGGACGGATTTCCAGGCCCTGTTCAAGGATCCGCCGGAACTGTGCGGCGCCACCTGCGCGTACCTGGCCGCGGGCAAGGCAAAGGAATTGCGAGGCATGTACTGGGACTGCAGGCAGGACATTGAACGCGTGGTCAGCTACGGGAGGGAGAAGCTGATGAAGGAGGGCAAGTACGTGCTCAAGATGGACTTTATCGACGGCTACGAGAACGAGCCGTGAGGGACGTGAGGGCAAATAGATTGGTCAATAAGGCTGTTGGGGATGGCTGCGATGGCAGAGAGTAACAGAAAAGGGAGAAAGACACAAACATATATAGGTAATTTTCTCCGTCCTGCAAAGCTGCTCGTCCCGTAGCATAGACCCGAAGATCAGATTCCAACGGGCTGTAGGGCGATATGCCTCCATTCAGCCACTGGATCGCTTATTGCTCTCCTCACATTCCCCCTTCAGCCCCAGCATGGTCCGTTTCCAGGTGTAACCACTTCAGCGCATTATGCTTGTGCCAGAAATAGCGGTACTTCTTCCCAAAGATGTACATCGGCACCCCCAGCAGGCATAAGAACCCGGTAATCCCTGCCATAGTCCCTGCCATTTCGACAGCCCCATGTTTCATGTACCAGTCGATGACATAGTTCGTAAGCCTGTCCATCGGTCAGTTCAGGGGAACATCATTGGCAGGAAGAAAGTAAATGACTTACCCGTAGAAGAAGAAGTTCTTGAATACCCTGTTGCTTGTATGTTAGCTGGTCTCTTACAACAGATGGTTTAGGGGGGCAAAGGGATTGCCGAATATCACTCACATGTTCATAATAAACAGTTCCGTACTGTTTTGGCGATAGGCGTCGAGAGCCCACTGTGTCGCAAAACTGGCAATTATGGTCATTCCAAACAGAATGACTCCCCAAATGAAGCAGATTAGGTAGATGTTTTCGAAGTTCTTGACGGCGTAGGCCCAGCCAACCAGACCGGCAACAGAGCATACGCCGCCGAGACTTACAGGGAGGAGCGCGAATTCCGGTTCATAGACGCCGTTGTTCCGACGCGACATCGTCTTGACGAGCGGCTCCGAGAGCGCAAATGAAAAGATTGCACCCAACAATCCGCCGATGAACGGCCCTGCCGACATGTACCCAACAGAGGCGGAGGACATAAGATAAGGAGGCGAGGCAAAGATGACACCGGATAGAATGGCCACGGCCACATACCAAGCAATAATGACGCCTGTCATCAAGACTTGATAGAGCGCTCCCAGGTTGAGCAGAATTGCAACAGAGGCAATAGCCATCTTGATGACGGAATCGTCCACAAAGGTACCATTATAGAGTGCAAGTTGCTGGACGAACGTCTTCGGCGGGGGTATAGAATCCACGGACGTTTGGGTGTTATTGGTCATTGTCTTCTCCAAGTCAGTATTGATACCGATGTTGGTTACTTTGCCCTGCCCCTCCAGATGATGTGCAGCTCGTGATTCCACGCTTGCCAGCTTTTCCAAGTTTTCCTCGGAGCCCGCAGTGTCAATTTCGTATATGGCCTTACGCCGATACATCGTCTCGGGACAGTAAAGGATCACCAGAATCGTTTGGAGCGCCGCAAAAGGTATGTAGATGTGGAAGTTATAATGCCAACCAAGATGATCAGTAATTACCCCGGCAATAATGGAGATTCCGTTAGATATGGCAGCCAAAAGGAAGATGATGATGGCAACTCTTGGGCCTCTCTCGTGGACGAAAAACATGTCGCCAATGGATGCCACCGCAAGCGACTCGTATGCGGCGATGCCAATTCCTTGAAGAACCCGGCCAGACAGGAGCGTATTGTAACCAGACGCCACTTCGGAGACGATAATTCCGATGGTGCCAATCAAGGATGAGAACACGTACATGGGCCGTTTGCCGTACTTTCGACCCAAGGCAGAGGCAAACGGGCCCATGGCCCCGGTCGCGAGGAGGGAATAACCAGAGAGCTTGGCGACATCAGTCGGGGAGCGCTTGAGATCCAAAGAGATTTGGATGATGCCGGCATTGAGGATCGGTCCCTACATAGCTTGTCAATCAAGGCCGCATTTTCCGCTGCTGGCCTTCGCCTACCGGTACAACACCGTGAATGATCACTCCAAAGAAAATGATGGCCAGAACAATATGCTTCTTGAACGATGACCAGTTCAATGGATCGTTCGGATCCTCGGACGGCTGCGGTGCCAAAACGATATGGGCATTTTTCCCCGTTCCATGCTTCAAACGACCCGTCTGCTGCTCAGAATGGGCAGCTCGCTGGTCCAGGAGGACAGTTCCTGGAACATGCGCAGTGGTGTTGGCCTCGAGGACACCGAGACCCATTGTGATGTTCTGTCTTTGCTCTTATTTGAGGGTCGTAGTGCTGCAGGTCCAGCCACGGGAAGCTATTCAACCTGCTTTTCACATCAAAACAAGCTGCCGGACGAGATTGTATATCAAGAACTCGGGGCAGAGTGGAGAGAGCCTCGTCCAGAATCCGGGGTCACCAAAATCTGGGGAATATGCCTACCCCACCTTTCCTCATTGGACTAATCCATTGTCTGTTCGTGGTTAGATCCTGTGATGGCCCTTTCCCGCCTGCTTTTGCTCTGGGCCACCTCTGAGACCTGGAGTCTTCCATGATCTAGCCTCTGTATTGGAGAACAAGAGCTTCGAAGCGAACCTGGTTTGTGCAACGGTGTTGGCGGAGCAGCAGGATCAGCAGGGCATCATCCACGGCCAAGACCAACCATGCATCTCGCTCTCCTCGTGGCCAGACTCGATAGGCGACCGTAGCTCCCAAGAGTGGGAACCCATGCATTGTTGCAGGTCCCCATGACCATAAGATACGAAAGGGAAGTTGGAGCAAGCTGGGGACCCATGTAGATGAAAGTCCAGACCATGTGTTGGTCGGAGAACAGTCTCACAGCCTTGCGTTAGGCAATTTTCCTATTGATCAGTAGATAGCCAAGGGCATTCTTCCCCAACGGTGGGATCGACTGGGCCAGGTATCTGATGTAATTGAGTGGGAGCTCGTCTTTGAACGTGACGGGAGTTTTATCTGATCGAAATGCTGAAGAAGCTCGAAGTGGTTAGGGTTAAAGGAAGAGAAAACTGAGGAGCGTGAGCGAGCTGCAGACTCCATGGAGAATGTTCCGAAAACTTGAGTGCATCTTTGCATCTCTCTAGTAGATGCCCGGAATGATCCTCCACCTGACACGCTTGCAGTAGCGCTCCCAGTCTTTTCCATACTTCTTCCTGCACTTCTCTTCATCCCTCATTTCTCTATGCACAAGTAGCACGCCAAAATACAAGACATAGAAATATGTAAAAATCATTCCCCAGCCACGCGCGTCTCCTTGCACTACCTCTCTGGTTACGTGACCCGTGACAGGATTCTGGTACTTGTTGATGATGTATCCCGCAACACCAGTAGGGAGAGAATAACTCCAGGACATGATCCAGTCGCCGAGGTAGTTAATATGTCGGGCACGACCCCACCAACCAGAGACTAGAAGCTTGGAGCCAGACTCAGTCGTCATGGTTTCGAGGTGTGACACCCGAGGGTCGTTGGGATTGGTCCGGAATCGGTTCTTCTCGTTGTTTGCGCCTCGAAAGATATAGTATCCCAAGCCTTGAACCGCTAGAACGCCAGCGATGCCGCTTATTCCAAGCCTCAACGGATAAACCGCCAGATACCGTGCTTGCAGACTGTAGAGGAATGGAACCCAAGTCAGGTCGCCGAAAGCGAGCATGAATCCGAAACCATCAGTCGTCACGTCCATGGTGGTCAGAATAGCCGACTCCATGTAAAGAGCGTCGAGGACATAGAGCGATTGGAAAAGAGTGATGAGAATGATGGAATCGCTGACGAAGCCATGTGCCTTGTATTGATGCGCAATGAATGCGAGGTCGAGAATAATCCAACCTAGCAGACCTGGTCTCATCTCATTGAAGACCTTGATGTCAATCATTTGGCCGCCCGCAATGGGAATCCAACGTGGAACTGTGACGCGTGGGTTCAGCTCACGACCAATGAAGAAGTCGTATAGCATGTTCCCAGTGTGCCCTCCTTTGGCGAGCTCCCGGTTGTCAGGATTTGGCTGACCTGGGTGGGGAACGCTGAAGGAGGCCAGGTAGACATAAATTGCTTGAGCATAGGAAACGACGAGATTTGCAGTTGCAACTTGGGGGAGATTGTCCCAGATGAAAGTCCAAACCACGAAGTCGGCACCCTGTATAGCAGTGCCAATGGCGAGACCAGCCAGGATGAGAACCGCTGAGTTGAAGGCGTTGAATTTGTAGTGGTGCCGTCCTCCTGTGCCCAATGTTGTACCATCGACCTCTTCACCTGGCAGAAACAATTGTAGAGCCACGCTGAGAGCATAATATGCCAGCACCCATAGAATGACATTCAAATCGAAAAGACCCAAGACTCCGTCCTCCGGCCACGGCGTCTGTTGCTTCAATTTCTCAAGATTGAATGTTCTGAGATCTAGCAAGGCAGGTGCAGGGCAGCCCGAGACGTCGTTGCATAGGAAGATGGTGGCATGGATGAGGATCGGCAGGCCGAAGATGATTCCAGCAGCTCCCAGACTGCAAAGACGTTAGTGCAGGTCACTTCAAGCTGGCAACAGATGGCAGCGACTCACGGTCCTCCGAATTCATAACCGTGCTTTTCCTCTGGTGCTTTCTCTGTCCTTGCTTTCACGGTCATTGTTGACGGCTTTCTAGCAGCTTTCGTTGGGTGAAAACCAGCAGAGCCGACGAAGGAGAGAGGAAGAATACGGATGGGAGCTTCAAAGAGAGCGAGATAGAGACAATTGAGATCAAACGAGTGTCATATTGACGCAGTCCTTCAAGTCAACGCAGGAGCGCGAAGCAAAAATAAAAAAGTCAACTGCCCGGGATGTGCAGCAGCCGAATGAGATCATCATTGTCCTGGGGCGCAGCTATGGATGCTGTCGCGTTGCGTGTTGCGTGTTGCGTGTCGCGCCAACAAAATGCTGCCTCTCTGGCCACGAAGAAGCCTCAGCGGAATCAATCCTCGCCATGTGGTCGAGTGGCACGATCTTCCGATAGTAACTTCTCGTAATCTCAAATGCAACGCAGCCACACAGTTGGAGGGCTTGATGCATCTGTGAAGCGTCGAAATGATGTGCATTGCCGATGGCTAGTGAGGCTTTTGCCGTTCACCTTTGGCCAACCCCGTGGATCCGCAGGCACACGCACTCTTCCACCCTGCTACCGAGTACTTTGATCCCTACAGTCCCTAGCTGCGCGTTCTCCTCCTGCATCCGCAAACAATCTTACAGGCCGCTCGCCGTCCTGCTGAAGGGGTTTGTTTCGAAATCGTACTCGTAGGCTGCCCTTGCGACCGCCTCCTTTCTATCGTTCACTCTTCCTTTCAGCACACAATCGACCTACAGACTGTTATACCGCGTGCAGCATTCACTTGCATTGCGCCGGCTTTTGGCGACCTTCAGTCAAGTATCTTTTTTTTTTCATCTCCAAAGATCGTCCCGGAGCAATTCTTGATAGACCTTCTACATCCTATCTTCCGCACGAACAACTAGCCATGTACCTGTCAACGTCGTTCTTCCTCCTCTTCTTGTCATCATTACCCTCAACTCTCGCGGCGACCGAGTCGAAACCCCCTCCGAAGCCATGTACCATTCACTCCCCTTCAACCGGCTCATTCTTCGACCTTCGCCCTCTCCAATTGACCCTCGAGGGTACAAAATACCAAGTCGCCAGTAACGAATCATACCATTCAAAGGGATATGATTATCCCGCAAATTTCACCATGAATTTCTGCGGCCCAGTGCTTGAGGAGCTGGAAGATGTCGAGGGAATACCCACGAGCAGACTGAAAAATATCTCGGCCTACTATAAAGATTCCCGCGGTGACATTTACAGCATTGGCCAACAGAACGACCAGCCTCTCTTTCGGGGCAAGAAGCTAGTCCTCAATTACACCATGGGCTCACCCTGTCCCGATCTTGATGAGGATGGCAATCCCATCGATGCGGACCTCGTCGCAGACAAAGCCAACAACAGGCGCAAATCCACCCTCCTGTCCTTCATCTGTGATACCTCCCCACTTCTCTCGACCCGCCCTGCTGTCTCCTTCCTTGGTTCTCCGGACCACTGTACCTACGTCTTCGAAGTTCGATCTCGCTATGCTTGCGGTGGCACTTTGCAGTCCGGAGAAAAAGGCACATTGGGCCCAGGCGCCGTCTTTGGTCTGATCGCGGGCATTGCTTTGCTGGTCTATCTCATCGGAGGTATCGTTTATCAGCGCAACGTGCTGCACCAAAGAGGCTGGAGGCAGTTGCCAAACTACGCCATGTGGGCGGGTATCTTCGGCTTCTTCTCGGTATGTATATCCCCTTCATTGTTATCTGCTTGTCCATTCGGTGGTGTCACGTTCCCTTACACACTGTGCTATCTACAGAGGCCCTTTTCCGGGGGGCAACGCCGAAAGCGTCATCCCTCAGCTGGAAGAGATTACGATTGGAAGTCGGACCTGCCTTGACCACCCACGGCTAACCTCATTTTTACCGATTGCGTATATAGGATATGTTTGTTATCCTGTTCTCCTCATGCACACAAAGGATGCCCGGAGGAGTCACGCAACTGTTCGCTGGTCGACGTGGCTACCATCGGGTAGGCTCTGACGAACGCGGACACGGAAGAGGCCGCACTCCAGACGACGAAAATAGATTGATTGACCAGCTCGACGAAGAGTGGGAAGATTGAGCAAGGCCACAAAATCAATCGTGTCATTGCTCCTTGAAAAGGCATCAAACTCGTCGTGCTTCAAAACTTGTGAGACTTCCGGCGAACACACACTGCCGACGCTCCTGGCGGCGCGGAGATGTGTCTGACATCAAGAAAATCGAATATTTCGCACAGCAACCACGCTACAGCTCGGTCCAGTCACTGCATGTCATCACTATGAGATCAATCTCGCCCTCGAGACTGTTCTTTTCACGTGTTGCCCGAATTCTGCTCTCCACCAAACTGTCCACCAACGTCATCTCCTCCTTGACCAAGATCACTCAAATCCATCCCGTCCAACGCGGTGTTACCGAACTCCTCCATTCCACTGCCTCCGAAGTTCGGTGGTTCAATATTAAATGGTAACAACCACGCCGATGAACTTGTGTCCATCCCGCTGGTTCCTCCTCCCGCAAATGGATCGTTGAATCCGTACGTCGTCAGATCGAGTTGATCCCAAGGATTTGTGCTCGCATAGTTTCCCACCGAGGGGGAGTTGAGATTGTTCAGTCCTGAGGAAGTGTTTTGGTTGCCGCTGTTGTTGCCGGTGCCGGTAGGGTCCATGCCGGCGTATGCGGCGCCAAAGACCATTTGTCTATCGATGGCCGGCAGGGTGGATATGAAATGAAGGTTGTTATAGTGTGGCGATGTTGGTGAACCACCATAGGTGTAAGGGTCCGGGAATTGGGCGTTTTGGTATAGTGACGGAGATGTTATGTCGAAGCTCGAAAGATCAAAAGGCTGATTAAGATTGAGGTTCAGGTTAAGATCGGCGCTTGTGGTTGGCAGATGTTGTCCAGCCGGTTGTTGAGACATGGACTGTCGTCTATGCGAGTCCTGCCCAGCAGCGGACGAGCCAGCTCCAGCTTCAGCACCGGCAACCGTAGTAGAGCTCGTCGTATTGTTGCCTTTACCTTTTTCTCCTTTCTCTTCTTTTTCTCCCTTCTTGTTCTCCGCCACACTTTTCCCCCTTCTCCTCGGAATCTTCTTGCCTCTCCCGGCCAATCCACTACTACCGTCCTCGGCCTTAGACGGCGGACTCAGACTCGCGAAAAACTCTTCGACCGACTGTAAGTCACTTCTCTGAGACATGACTGCCTCTGCGCCACCCTGGGCGTGTTCGCTGCGGTACTCCAGATGGGACTTCTCCCATTCACTTTCGGAGACGCCGTGAGGGTACTTGTCGAACCAGTCACCGTACTGAAACATCGTCTTGGATTTGTCTTGTTCGGACTTCGGTTTGTTGGGGTCTGCTGGTGTATCAGAGCGGGAAGGCGGGTTGGTGTTGGACGTTAGCGCTGCGGTTGCGTCCAACTCCATAGGCGTCTGCGTCCCGCTTCCTCCTGTGGCAGAAGAATGTCTGCGCAAGAAGCCCAATCCCGGGCCGGATATTCCATTTGATCCCGGTCGAGCCTGGGCGTGACGAAGGGTAGAGTCGGCGAAAGCGCGATAAATATCCTTCACCGACTCGGCCATGTAATGAAACATGCCCCAATACCGCTTCATCCTGGTGAGGTATTTATAGTTATGCCGTAGATTCTCCTTGCTCTGCTGCTCGAGTGCGGAGTTCTTGGAGAATATTCCCCAGACATGCACTGTTGCAGCAGCGTAGGCACAATACCCCGCGAAGGGAACGGTCAGGGTGTGACCCGTCGAGTCGGCAATGAGTTTGCTGATGAGCGAGGCGGATTCAAGGACGATATTGGCGGATGATGTGAGAAATGCTTTGGGCATACCCTGTTGGGTGTAGTAATGATGATGGGGTCTGTGGCTGGGTTGCGTTGGGATAGCAAAGCGGTGCAAAAAGAGGGAAGTTTGCGCCAAGATGATATGGAGAAAGAGATATTGGTTCGCGAGACGTTCGGAGATGTGTGTGGCGAAGTTCTCTGGTGTGTAGGTTATGTCGTCCGGAAGAGAGGATTTCAACTGGGAGATTTGGCGTTGTAAGGTTGCGAATTGGGATAATGGATCCCAGATAGGATGCGGATCCTTTTCCTTGCCTCCTAGATTAAGATACTTGACGATGCGTTTCCAGAGGACCACGGCACGAACGATGTACGCGGCAACGCCCATGTTTGCTTTTGCCTCTGCAGTGACGTCTACTGCATTATTGTCGAGCGATGATTTACTGTTGGACATGGGGACGTTGCCGTATAGATCTTCCGTGGGGCCAGGCACCTCCATTTGAAAATGCGATTCTTTGATCGGTAGCTGGATTTGGTAGTAGTCTTCGTTGAGAAAAGAAGGGCGTTCGGTGCCGGACGAGTTGAATGTGTCCATCAGGTAACAGGCCCACATTGTTCGACGCCGAATCTCTCGATCTGTAAAGGAGAGTTCGGGGGGTTTAGGGCCTTTCTTGTTCTCATTTGAATTGGCGATTTGGTTTCGACCCAAAGGATCGTGGTCAAGTTCGCGGTGCAGTTGTAAAGCATAGCCCATTCGCATGGCCTGACCACCGAAAGACCATGACAATCCGCCCTCACAGGTTCCAAAGTAGTGTAGACCCAACATGAGCATTGCCGTAAGTATAGTGATGTTCGGCTCGTAGTGACGCTTCTCTACAATCCGTCTAGCGGGAGTTGCCCACTGTTCCCCACGGAGAAACGCCGGTTCGGTGCTGACTTGCGGATGTGTCGAAAAACGTGCAGATATCGCACATACAGCCAAGATAAGGACTGGTGGAATCGTGCCAGCCTTTAGTTTACGCATGAAGCTGGGTTTATGCAAAAGAAGGTAGGATTGGCCGTAGACGCAGTCGAAAAAGACCTCGGCGAGATGTTCTTGGATGTGTTGCGGTGGGAGAGACTCGGAGCCTTCGATAAAGAGCTTGTTCTCGCCTTCGCGCTGTTTACGCAGACCAGCCGTGGGGTCGAGCAAAGTCGATTTCTCTCGAGAACTTCTCCAATCATTGAGCTCTTGTGTGAAAGCCTCGTCGGCGGAGCGTTTTTTGGGTTGGTCTTTCTCTTTTTTCAGTGCCTGTCCCGGGAGAGGCGGCCGAACCGAACCACGGCCAGTAGAGCTCAAATCTGGAAGTTCGTCCTTGGGAATGACTCGGATTACTCGGTCTTCCATTCTTTTCAGGCGCTTGTCCAACATGGCCATATAATCGGTCCGAGGAGCAGCTTTTCTGGTCGTCACTTTGTAGACGCAGGGTATGCGAGCGCGTAGACAATGTTTGCAAGCTGGCTTCTCACCGGAACAGCGGATCTTCTTTCGGCGACAAGCAATACAGGCGAGAGGCAGGCGTTTCCTCTCTTTGCCTGCTTTTGTCTTGAGCTCGCTCCATGCTGGCGGTCTTTCCTCGTCACCTTGTGCCTTTTTGTTTTCCTGCTCACTGGTGCTCGGGGCTTTTCTAGGTGACGAGTCCGCATTACTGGGTGGCTGATTGCCGGAACCAGGAGCCCACTGACTTAAAGCGGCAGCTCCAAAAAGATCATGATCAAAGGCCGAATCGATGCTGGCCAAGGAGGCGCGATGTTGGGGACTAGGGATTTTGCCAGAGACATAACCCACCATGGAGCCTCGACCGGGAAAGCCTTGGCTGTGGCTCAAACGAATGTCTGGCGGAGCATCAATCCCACTGTTGCTGCTACCATGAGGACTACCGCCAAAGGGAAAATTGAAATCAATAGAACCAGGAGATGACGCGTCGAAGGCGGATGTGTTGGACTGAGGTTGAGGGAGACTGTCGATGCGGGGGTTACGTGCATCAGACATGAGAAAGCCTGAGCTCGAGAGCAGGTTGCTTCGCTGATCCCCCCGAGGCTGGCCAAGTTGTTTTGATGAACTCGTCATAATGCAGAGCAAGTGGTGAAGAACCAGATAATGGGCGACGGCATGTCCTCGATTTGAGATGACACCTTCAAACGCGCCACATTGTCAGAGTGGCGGAAACAACAGAAGCCGAGGTTGCCAAGTAGTGTGGACCACCAGATAGATGAGGAGCCAGTGTGTCCAAACGAGTATAGGCGAATATCAGACTAGATGGGATGAACTCATTGTCTGCAGCAACGAAGGACGAGGCTGAAGAAGGGCGACGTTGGTAAGACAGTGTGAAGTAGGTAGTTTGATGGCGAGGTCCGACCGGATGAGAAAATGTGGGAAAGTGAGAAGCGGGTAAGCGGTCGAATTGTGGATTCGCCCGTGGCGTCTCTCCAAAATGGGGGGAAATGGCGAACCGGGGTATCTTTGTTTTTCTTTTGAACTGGAAAAGGGCAACCTTTAACTGCTGTATTTGTACCGCGTAGATCGCAGGAGCATCTGTCCAGATGGCAGAAGAGGGTCTAGACTCTGTAGCGATGATGATGACAATGATTGAATGGTCGTTTGGCTGGTCACCGCCGAGATGTGAACGTTCTTTGCTTGTTAGATGCAGGAACCACGTTCGTCCAGCAATTTCTAAGCCTGTGAGATGATTGCCGGAGGGATAGGAAGAAGGAGGACAATGACCGGATGTGGACGAGGATGAGGATGCTGGTGGGCGCAGGAGTCCGTTCCGAACAGCTCGCCCAGAGAGAATCGCGAGTCGCGGGTCGAATAGGCTAAATTGGCCGGTCGCTGGTGAGTTTGGCGGTGGGTTCTAGGCTCAAGTTCGGTGCTGGCGGCGGTCGCCCGGTGCCAGCTGTCAGATGGGTTGGAAACGAAAAGGCACCCGTAGTAGAGGCGAAGTCTGTGGGAGAATATTTAAGAGGCGACGACGAGAGCCCCAAGACCTCCAAGAGATGGGCGCTGATGGGGCAGATGGCACTGTGGATGGGTGAATTGTTTTCCTGACGCAATGACAAAGATCGTCTCTCATCACCACCGAATCAAACGGGAGTTCCAAATAGAAATACGAGGTCGCCTTGGCCCCAATACCACCTACACCCACTGTCAGCAACGTGTGAGGCGCAGATGGCGAGGACGGCGACAACGTCAACCAGCAACACGATGATGATGACGACGAGCACGAGGAAGTTCCAAACTCATCACGTGAGTCACCTGCGCCCACGTGATGTGTTTGTGGGGCTCACCAGGCTTCGCGGCTGCACAGCTGAAACCTCATGGGGTTTTGATTCCACTTCGCAATGGACGCCCTTGTTACTCCTCCTTGCAATTGACGGACAACCATGGAAGGGCTTCGACTCCAGAGACTCACTTTCCCGCTCTTCACCTCCTGGCGACTAATCATCCATGAATCTCCTGCCTGAACGCGTGGCACAGCTCGCCCTCGCGACCTTCAATTCCCTGCCTCCAAAATGTAAGCCACGCACTCTTCTAGATGGCACGACCGAATGGACGCCAATGTCGGCAGTGGTTCTGGCACAGGAAGGACAGGATGCTCCTCTGACTTGTGTTTCGCTGGCTACGGGAACCAAGTGTCTGTCAACTTCTGCCTTGCCTCGATGCAAGGGTCTCGTGGTCCACGATTCGCATGCTGAGATCCTGGCATTGCGCGGATTCAATCGATGGCTCCTTTCGGAAATCGAAGCGATCCTTCGTGACCCGACTTATACATCGCCCTACCTGGAGCTCACCCCACGAGACGACGCTGGGTGGCGTCGGGGTTTCCCATTCAGATTAAGAGACCATGTCACCATCCACTTCTTCACCACCGAGGCGCCGTGTGGTGATGCGTCGATGGAGATACTGATGGAATCTTTGCCTTCTGGCGACGCAAATCCGTGGCCAGTAGAATGCGATACCCCCACTTCGCTGCAAGGCCGCGGCTACTTCTCTCTCCTGGGCTATGTCCGTCGAAAGCCTGCCCGGGCAGACGCCGAGCCAAGTGGTTCCAAATCTTGCACAGACAAGCTTGCCGTCAAGCAATTCACTAGTATCTTGTCGTTTCCAGCTGACCTGTTCGTAGAGAGAACTCCGAGTGCCTACATCAAGAGCCTTGTGGTCTACACCGACCAATACAATCCCGTAGGTTACGAGCGTGCATTTGGGCCAGAAGGACGCTTGTCGCTGCTTGGGGACGCTGGAATCTTCTTTTCTGTTCAACCTTTGCGTGCGGACTTTACCCGTTTCGCGTTTGAGAGGCGACGGCCACATCCTGCCAACTCGATGCAAGCGACATCCAAAACAAGCAACATCTCGGTGTTGTGGGTGCAAGCGGCTGGAACCAACCGGTCGAACGTGGTTGAGGTTCTCATTAATGGCGTGAAGCAAGGTTACAGACAATGGGACGAGAGACTTGGCAAAGCCAGCACTGTCTCCAGAAGAGAGTTATGGGCCACCGGTCTGAGGATCAGCAGACTCCTCGAGAATCTTGATACCTTTGATAACTTGGGCAGCGTACCTGGTCAGGGGGATATTGGCTGGTTCAAAATGACGCAGAGCACACTTTCCGCACGAACATATGAAGAGGCTAAATTATCAGCTCTGAGAGAATCTCGCAGAGAATGCAGGAAGCATGTCACCGATATCTTGGACAACTGGACCAAGAACGCTGGCGACAGTGACTGGGATTGCGACTTAACTGAACGACTAATTCGCGCCACCCCGGGTCGCGATTGTCCTGCAAGAAGTTCACAGCCCTTTTTACACGAGAGAGGCAGCCAGGCGCTGCCTTGACAATCCTGAATTCACCAAGGCAGTTGACGGCGCAACTGTCACTGCTCCCAAAACGAACAGAGAGCGCCGCCTACTGCCTGCGCTCGTGAAAGAGTGACTACCTACGTGTGTCTACCCTCATCGCATGCCTTTTCAGACGAGGAATCTCCGGAGCCGTCGTCTAAATGTACGCCGACTTCTTCTGCATCAGGCCTCGAGCAATTGTCACCTCGTCGAGAACTGATTCAAATGCCTACCATGAAGTTACCATTCAGGCCAGCCTCTATGTCGCGGAGGCATCATCCTCCAGCAGAGATCGCTCCATTCTTAGACCCAGAACCCGGCAAGTCAACAAAGAGCAAAAGTTCAACTGGTAGGATCGGAAAGAGCAAGGTAGTCAAGCCTGCTACAAAGACGAATCCTGGTGCAAGCCGAAGCGTATCTGTAAGTACGAAAGAGACGGGCTCTCCCTGGCCTGACACACTTGAGAGTGAAAAGGAAATCTTCGGATTCTTGGAATACCATCTCGGCGTCAACCAAGAAGAGGTGCAGAGGTCCGTTCGCGAAGCAAGGAAGCAACCACGACAGTCTATCCGCAGAGCCCTCAGATCCGAAGGAGGCGATGAGATCGGTGGTGTTCCAGTGCAGATCTCGTCGTCGACGACTGTAGAGATCCCAATTCCCATCTACTTGCATGTCTCATTTAAATCGCTGAAGTCAAACACAGCCCTCGCTCCGACAGTCATGGTCATGCTGGAAGATCTGCCCGATGTTACCGCACTCTGTACACGGCTGACGACCAAACATTGCGAAGTGATTGGGAAGCAGCTGTTCGACAGCAAGGGGCCAAAGAAATGGATTTTCGAGAGCAAGGCTGGTGAAGAGGACAAACATCTCCACAGTCTGGGCCAAACCTTTTCCAAAGTATGCTCTCACCGTCGAGCCGAAAGAATATGCACCGATTTCTTCCACTTCCTTACCGAGATGAGACGTGTCAAGACTGAAAGGCTGACGCAGGAAGAGGAAGCGGAAGCGGAAGCGGGTCAAGAGCTCAAGAATTCGAAGGAAGACTCTGGCAGGAATGACGGGGGTCGCACCTCTGAGCGCGAGGTTCCTAAGGTGCCTCTGGTGGAGGACACTGCCATCGACGGATTCGTGGAAGTTTACTTTTAATGAGAGGAAGATGAAACAAAGGATGTGGATAGTCTTTCGGCCACTGGGAAGGGCAGTGAAACGCTACAGAATATCATTAAAGTGCACGAATGTTGATAGCACGAGGTAGGACGAGGAGACATCTGCAGGATTGAGTGGTGTATGGCATGTCTCTCGAAACCAGCTATTGTCCAAACATCCTGTAGATACTGTTGATCCTATCTTTCTGATATCATTGGTACTTGCAACGTCGTCTATATGCCATTCATTTTATGTATCCTGTAACCTCATCAGCCCTCGCCATGCATTCCTCCAACGTATGCCAAAACTTGGATAGATCGAGTGTCCTCGGAATCCTCACGCCTCCACTATTCAACGACTTTGTTATCACGGTCCTTCCAGTTTGCTCACCCTCCAAGATGACATCGACGTCCCATCTCTCGCCACCATTATCATCAAAGTCGATTCTGACTCGGGGGTCTGGATGATTTTCCAGTAATACAGCCACTGCGAGCGGATCATGCAGTGGCGGTCCTTCGTTTAGCCCAAACACCTTAGCATAGGTATGCTCAAAGAACATGAGCAGCTCGTTGAACATCCTCCTTAGCCTCGTCGGCCCGTTTACTCCATTCAATAGCATGTGCTGGACTTTGTGTGTTGCGTAGGCTTGGTGAGTCACATCCAGAGGGATGAGAGTCGTCTTCGATTTCAAGAGCGGGTTTTGAAAGACTGAACGTGCCGACTCTGGATCTGCCCATATGTTGAACTCTGCAAAAGGCGTGCGGTTTCCAATTCTAGCATGAGTGGTGCCTTGGGTATCCAGGTAAGCTTGGCCCATCTTCGGTGTAGGTTCTGATGTCAGCGTCGTTCCCGAAGAAGCACCAGGGTCAAAGAGCCCCGGTTTCACGAGTTTCAGGTGGTGAAGGACATATAATAGTCTCAGTCGTTGGCAACAGTGGCCCGAGCAAAGAGGAGACGTACCGTGACATGGGTGAAGTCTGCGCCGATCGCACCCCCCATAATGGAGAGGCCCGCAATGTGTTCGGCAACCTCTGGGAAGAGGGTGAAGAGGAGAGCGACGTTCGTCAATGGGCCGGATGCGACAAGATACGGTGTGCCTTTAGGTTGAGAGAGAAGCGCACTACGCATCTCGAGGATGGCACTGCAATGCGTCAAGGCGGAACGGCTTGGTTGAGGAAGGAGGTCTGTCCCTCCTAACCCGCTCGCGCCATGGATATCAGGAGCGGTATGGACGGTACGACAGAATGGACGCGACAGGCCGGGGAAAACGGGAATTTCAGGTTTTCCGATCGCTTCCAGCACACTCAGGGCGTTGAATGTACATTTCGACATTGGCGCATTGCCGTGCACAATGCTCACCCCGATGAGGTTAAGGGACTGATGATAAGCCGCAAGGAGGAGGGCACAGGCGTCCTGGTGAGCAGCAGGAGCTGTGAGTATCGAGACATTTCACATTGAGAGAGATAAACCAATATAACTCACGTCATGACCTGTGCGAGGCCATGAGTTAAAGAGGGGGCCCATTGGGGGGGAGGAGGTTGACCTACCGGGGTCACAGTCGACCCATACGGGCAGTTTGTAGGATGAAGCCATATCCTCACCCATCTTGAGACGCAGGACGAGGGACCACTTGTCCAAGGTGGTGCATGACTAGTCCCTACGGTCGACAACGATATCGCCGCCACTTTCGATTGATATAGGGCCTAAATAGGAAGGTCATCCGAGCACTTCCCGCTTCCGTCCCTCCAATCTGTCTCCCACTTTTACTCGTCCACCTCCCTTCTCGTTCGCAGCCTTGACAATTCCCCATCCACCAATCATACGTTGACACATCCTCTGGACACCCCTTCAGTCATCTAAACCGGTGAGCGAACCTCTACTGGCCCCTGCATTGCCAGCGTGGCCAGCGGGAACATCACTGAGCAGTTGACTACAAAGACCTGCGCAATGCTCTTCCGCGCCATGGTCCTGACATGACCGCCTCAAGTTCCTCTCCCTCAAGACCACCCTTCCCGACCATAGCAACGAAGGCTTCCTCCACCGCTCAGTCTTCCCAGTTGACCGTTGCCGCTGACAGCAAGGCCACCTCAGGCCCTCGCTCTGCCTCTCGAGCCCCTCCCATCACCAGAAGCCGTCAGGATGCTGCGGCTCCAGACCCTACCTCAGAAAGAGCGACTCTGTCCTTGATCAGAAGGACTTTGGTGGCAGATGGAAGTCATGGGGGGTCGGATAGGAGGGCCTCACCGGCACCAATTGAGGGGGTCTTACCACCACTTACCAGTTCCAATGAGGTAGATGTCCAGCTGTATGCAGTCGTTGCCATCGTCATCAAGGACTTTGTCAACTCATGGTACTCCAAGATCACCCCAGACCGAACATTTGTGGATGAGGTCATTCAGATCATTGCTCATTGCAGTCGCGCACTGGAGCAGAGGATACGGCAGGTTGACATCACGGAACTGATACTGGACGAGTTGCCTGTGTTGGTTGAGAGACATATTGCTGGTGAGCAGAAGAACATGAAAAGCCAAGTTGTGTCGTCCCAATATTGACCGTGTCTCTCTGTCAGCCTACAGGACGGCCACTACTGCTCAAGCTGCTCTGCAATACGGCGAAAATCCCCGACGAATCTATCACGCCCTGAACCCACATCCTGCGCTCGACCCTTCTCTCCCACCAGAGCAGCAACAAGCCTACGAGTCTGCCCACCGACAACTTCTTGTTCAGGGGGCATTGGCGGTCCTCCTACCAACCGAGGACCTGGCAAACACATGTCTCAGAACATTGGTGAGCGATATCATCTCCGACCTCATCCTCGGACAGGCAGTGGCGCAAAAACTCTGTGAGCCATGGTTCCTGCACGGGATTGTCTCAAAGGTGGTGGAGATAGTGACATCGCCTCCTACACATGCGCTTCCTGCCAATGCCGTCGATGAGCAGAAAATCCTTCAGCCAGACGGCCGCCAAAGCCAGCTGGAGCATTTTGGCCTATTAACTTCCAAAACCGCGACTCATGAGAGTTATTCGTCAGACCGGCACCAATCATCTCTTAGTGCGTGGTTTTGGAGACTGCTTCAGTACGCCTTCATCGCATACCAGCTGGCGCGGTTCATTCTCGTCGGCCTGGCGTACGCGCACCATCTACCCCGGAGAACCCGCCATCATCAGCACCTCCTCGCCGGCTCCACAACATCGCCGTCCAAAGACCAGCTGCCTGTCCCATCAACACGGCAAGTATCGGCGCCCGATCATCGATCCCCACGCGCTGTGATCAATTACAGAGTGTTCTCCTGCATATCCAGCATGCTCGATTTGACCATCCGCATGCCTTGGCTGGCAAGCTCATTGGGGTTTTGGCAACACATTTTGACTACGGGGCCGGGCAGGTACGGTGCTGCAAATTCCACACTGGACAAGTAAGTGCTTCCGCTCTCCTTTTTTCTCTACCACTGGCCCTCAGCCTCGTCCGTGTCCGTGAATCCCATTTCCCCATACCTCCATCTGTCTCACAACGGGGGCTTCGGTAAAGCTCTGATCCTTTTTTTATCTTGGGATGATTGCATGAAGGCCTGGTCATCTGATAGACCAGAGTGGTTGCGAGCCAATGGACCTTGATATCGGCATGTGCGGGCTACAATCCTCTTGTTCGTCATCCCCCCGTGTGAATCAGGAGGGTGTGGACCGCCAGACGATACGGGGATTCAGCCAATCCCAGCCGTTACGAGTAATGACGGTCACGCTTGTGTATTGTCACAATGCTCGATACGGGCTCCCATTGGACGGACTTGGACCTTCACGCTTTGCCAGATTCAACTGGTTTGTTTCTCCCTGGTTGTTGGCCTGGTGGTCATCCCCCCTAGCATCTCTCTTGTTTGCTGGTGGAGTTCGCCCGCTCATGCTCGTCGACCAACTGTACGTCAACGCCATGCCGACAAAGCTATCTTGAACGATCGACCATCGTGACGATCTTCCACCAAGCGACCACCTCGGGGCAGACGACCGAAAAAAGCAAAAAGATAAGTTGTCGCAGCCAATTACATCCCCGGATTTATTGGGCTTTTCTCGCTTGCCTGGACAAACGGTGCCAATTTTCAAACAAGGAGGGCGACATGGATCGGCCCCGCCCTTGCTCCCTCAGGTCTCCGTTGACTTGCCCTTCCCGATGCCCTGCAATTCTACCACTACAGACGACCCCGACCTTAGCCAATTGCTGTCGCCCAACTTGTTCAATCGCTAGTCTCGACCCTGAATCAGCAGATGGCCCCCCCGACTCAAAGTTCTCGACTTGACCAAGGCAAAATCTCACCCAGAAAGAGCCATTTTTGAAGTCGCTTACCAATGAAACATCTCGCTCCTCTGGCATTTTTGGAAAAGGTGGCAGTTTGCGGTCCCGATTGGCCTACGCATGGCGCTTTTCCACAATCGAATTCGAGTCAGATACGTCCGGCCTCCCACTTTCCTCAGCGGTAGTCGTCGGCTTCCTTCGGCACGTGCCGAGGGACAATCGAGTTTCCTCAGGCATTGCGATAATGGCTCCTTCGAAACCATATTCTTTTTACGTCACAACAGCGTTAACAACCCAAGGGGTCGGACTGTCAGCCCAACCTCCCACGGATATCCGTTATCTGTCCCTCAGGTTCGTCGGCCCTGCAATCGTCAACGGTTCGGATGGGTTCTTGTGTCACCCCGAGCGAACCTCGACGGGAAGCTAGTCTGCGTCTCCAGTTCCAGAGACCCTTAGACTTACCAACTTCGGCTTGGGCATCCATTTTGCAATATTCTGCACCCAGCAACTCCACCCCAACCTAATTTTCTTTGCAAGTGGCGCTTCGAGACTCGAAATCACTCGCTGGTCAGCTCTGAACAGTGGACACTTCGTACCACACCCTGAGTCCTGCATCATTTGGGCGGGAAGATTCGATGACCCTTGATCCTAGTCGCCTGGTCATTCGAATCTGTTGCAAACTGCCTGCAGAAACACTAGTCCTTCCTCGCAGTTTGCGCATCACTTGAAGCCGTTTTTTTGCGACTTGCCATGGGCTAGAACTGCGCCTGGACGCATTGGGCTCTTTTCCCAGGCATTTTCCACGCTCCTCGCTGGCCTGGATCACCAGGTATCTTCGCGCTTGATCTGCGCGAGCGACCACGCCAACGCCAGTCCTGTGAACACATGCTCGCAACATGCGATGCACGGACTCTGCGGGCGGTTTTCGGCGCTGTCCGCTCCACCTCCTGCATCCTGGCGCCTTGTCCTAGCCGGTTCATTGTAACGACGTCGAGGTCGAGGTCACGTGGACCCCCTTGAATAGTTTTGGAAGTGTTTGGGTATCAAGTGATGGGCGTCGATGGGCAACGATGAGGCGAATTGGGCAGCATTGAAGTGGTAATGGTGGTGTTTGGGTGCTCGAGATCCACCGGGGCGATCTCCCGAAACCTCGCCTCGGTGAAGCGTGAAGACAGGGCAATTCTGCGGCCGTTGAGCCCCGAGGATCAACTGGCGACGAGAACAGCTCTCTGACAGAATCGATTCAACCAGCTGTACAGCAGGCTGGATTGCTTCCACTTCGCAGTGTTGCACTTTTTCTTTTCGGATGGAAATGACGCTTCTGAGTGAGCGGTCTTGCTGACAACTTCATCTTCTGTGGACAGGTTCCTATATCACACAATCTCCACGCGCCTCTTCTCGCCAGCGTTAATCTCACCGCTCCTCCTGCAGATCCGAGTCCTCATATTTCCCAATAACACTCTTGGGCCGCCGCCCCCGCCGCCTCCATCTGTGGAAGAAGCACAAAAGATTCGGTCCAAAGCCGCCTCTGACATTCTCTCTTTGATCCCTAAACCTGTGGGCAAGACTTTCTTCGCCATTCAAAACACCGAGAATGCGGAAGATGAGGAGATGGAAATGCGGATAGAGGTCGAAGAGAGGTTGTTGGGGTGGACAGAGGATGCTGAAATGAACAAGTACCTCATCTATGCCATTCTGGAGCACGTTCTCCTGAGGCTTGTTCCAGAAATGAAGGACAAGACGCCCTCTGAGCTCCTGGCCGAGAGAGGCGTGGATTTGGTAACGTCGGGAGAGGGCGAAAAGGCGGAGAAGTGGACTAACGGGGCTTGAGGTTGAGATGTAGGGAGCACAGAGGAGGACCAGTTCCCAAATGAGGGCCAATGTTCCAAATCTGCGCAACATGTACAGGTACGAGGAATTGAAGAATCTTGCTGTTGTTTTAGCCCTTGGACTGAAGCCAATTTGACCTCCTGTCCCTACGTCTGCTAAGCTGAGATTGTAGAAGTAATCAGCCAACCTTTCTCGACTCCGGGGCCGCAGGGGCTGTGCCCAAGAACACTCCACCCATTATCCTCTTCTTCTTTGCTCTTTATTCTACTCCCATGAGTCCAGTGCGCGAGACTCGAGAGGGTGGTGACAAAAGACACCTCTTCACTGATACATACATTCCGGGTCACACCCACTCAACGAAAAGCCACCCACAAAACCTCCTCGGCCTTCTTTTCACGAAACCGTCCAGTCCACCCTCTTTGCACACGTTTTGAGACCCGTTCGAGCTCAAAAAGAAAATCCTCTACACAAGTGCGTCGAGGGTACGTCGGCCCCAGATCCTCGATCGTTTCCTTGTGCTCAATCCAGCGGAGCAGCTCCTCTCCTGCCGTGTGTGAGGCGCCGTCTATTCATCCCCCTTTCCCAGACCGGGCTCTGTCTGTTCCAGAGAGCCAAGCACAGACAGTCGAGCGAGCATGGACGGCGTTGAAGAACGGGGGCAAGAAAATATCGAAGAATGGAGGAGAAAGATGAAGGGTTCAAGGTGACAAAAAGGTACAAAAGTGGCACAGTAGGCCTTTTCTCTGACATTCTTCGACTCCTATATTCCTGTCTTCCGTCCTTCGATGCTATCTCCCCTCCCCAAGTCCACTTTCTCGCAAGACAGGAGGGATTTGGAGCGAGTTCTTCCCTCGCGTTCCCCGGTTCTCCTCTTTGTCCTCCTTATCACACACACACAAGCACTCGAAGAGAGAGAGAGAGAGGCAGAAAGGAAGATAAGTTCTGCCTGAGCTTACAATCTTTTAGGGCCGCGGCACGAGTCTCGACTCTCTCGCCACGGTTGTTTTTTGAACGGACCTCTTTTTCTTCTGGCGCCCTTTTCCTATCCCTCTTTCTGTGCCCGATTGGGTAGCAAAGGCGCCATGACACAGCAAGGGAAGAGAGAAGGGACTGAAAGAGAAGGGGAAAGAAGCAAGAAGAGAGAGTGGGGGAAAGACAGAAGAAAAGGAATCAAAGAGAAAGAGAAGGGAGAGCTCTTTGACTCCCTCCTCGTGAGAGGGATTGATGTTTTTCTACACGGCGAAGCTTCCTCTCTCTTTTCAATTGTCTTATCGATGGCACGTCCCTCTCCTCTGTTTTTGTTGCTTTGTCTTTTCTTCCGGCCCTGTCTGCATTGGGGCGCTTGTTCTTCGCTCTTTAATTCTCGGCAGCGGCCAGTCGCCCCTCTATGGGAGCGTGGAACGGACACATATCAAGGGTATGCTTCAGAAACTCTCCCAGCCTCTAAAAGAATCTGAGGTACGAGAAGGGGGGAGGGGGGGAGAGAAGAGGAAGAGAATTCCAGGGCGCAGGGAGCAAGCAAATGTCCGCCTCTGGAACTCCAAAACGTATACATATACATGTCCCTGCACAAAAGCGAAGCTGGGATGCCTTCCCTTCCTTGTTACCACTATCGAAATTCCTGCCTCTTGAGAGTGAATCAGGGCAAGAAAATGAGTGCTCGCATGGTGATCATGGTCTCATGGTCAGATAGGGGGCTTCGCGCGTTGCGGCCCAAGCCAAACCAATACGACAGAACCCCAGACCGGGCGCAGGTAAGTGAGATTCCCTCTCCCCCCTCCATCTTTTCTGCCACTCCTGCTCCATCTCCCCGGCGCACGCACCCCTACCTACGTACGAGAAGGCAGGGGGAGGGGGGCCTTTTTGAGTCCCGAAGCCACTGTGTGAGCTGCTAACTGCGCCCTCCACAGGATGGGGACCGGGCGTGCGAAATCAATCAATCAACGGGGGAGAGAGCCCTGACCTGACACAACCACCCTTCTCGGATCTATTCACATTTACAGCTCTTTCTTTCACTATACTTACCTCTCTGGATGCTGAGAATCCGGCTTTTCCTTTGTCTCTCCCATTCAGTCTGTCCTTGAGGGAGCAGAGACTTCACGCTGTTCTTCCTCTGTGCTTTCAAGAGCCACTATCCGATAACCTCATTCGCTTTCTCTGTTCTTCCTTTTCCTCCGTCCCCTACCTATCCTCAAGCCCCTTGACGCTCGTCTTTCAATCTTCAAAACAAAGCAGTGCGTTCTGTAATTTGCTGGGGAGAAGGACGGTAAAAAGAAAAAGTCCAAAGGAATCATCAGGAGGGGAAGGAGAAGGCAAGAAGAAAAGCAAGAAGACAAAGCTGGTTTCACTTGTCGACACAACTGAGGATGAAGGAGTTTGTATAACACCTTCAAACTGAGAATCCTGCTTCCAATATTCCGTCAGAGCAAGGGCGCACTTTATCAGAAACAACTGCCATTGTTCTGGAGTATTTGTGTCTTCCTTCTCTTCTGTTGTTTGGGAGAAACAAGTTATATGCAACACTCTTGTTTTTTTGTTTTCTTTTGGTCTTCCACCAAACTTCAGAGTATCCGACTTTTCGTCAAAGACCTGCATAAAAGGTGGTCTATGGCATGGCTTGTTTTTGAGGACGCAGCATTTCAGGGATTTTCAGGGCAGTTTCGAGGCATTCAACTTGTGCATTTTCTCGGTCCCAGATGCTTGTCTAGGCGGCTAAAGTTCAGCAGCCCAGAGGGACAGTTTTCCAGCTCTGGAAGCTCCAATCCAGCTAGTATGTTTTTTTCTCGTTTCGGGAGGAGCCATAGGACGAAGTCAGCGAGGCCTTGATATAGCACGTACACGATCGTTGAACTTTCTGTCCATGAGGTCAGTTGTTCTCAGGGAGTTGCACCATTCCTCTCTCGCGCTCCCGTGGGATGGAGCAACTTCGTGCTAGAATTGCAGGGCTCGCGGGACAAAAGTGAGGGCAACATCGAGCAGAAAGCCCCAATTGGCAGTAGCACCCATCGAATGCCTTGAATGATTGCTATTCTTCGAGTCTGACTTCTTTTTTCTTGCCGTTGCGAGCAATGTCTTGATCCCATTGGCAATGTCTCATTGCCAGGATTTGACTTTTCGGGCCATTTGGCCACTCAGCTCTTCAATTGGGAGGCTGATGTATCGTCCGCTCTCAGCTCTTTTTGGGCCCTGGATCTCCACCTGGCTTGGTAGTAGCATCATTCGATCTTCGTTATAGGGGAGCATCATTCGTTGTCCACTGGGGGGGTTTTGGTGGCCGTCTAGTAAGCGGGAACGACGTTTCCCCCCAATAGAGGATTTGACAATGGAGACACTTTGTTCTGACTAGACTGGAGAACCTTTTTCAGCAGTTCCATTGTTGGAAATAATCTGAGCTCACCGTCCTTTTGAGCCTCGTGAGTGGCCAGAGACGGTCCATTCATCGAGCAGATGCAGCAACATGCTGTGATATTGGTACACATATTGTGGCATCTCTTCTGCGTCGCTGTTACAAAGATGGACTTCTCCCTTTCCCGGAGACCCACGGCGTGCCTTGATGCGACACTCTTTTTCCTGTCCTTTCCAGATCAGACAGGGTGCATGGGGCGGTGAAATGAAGCTCTGTGGTCTGAGGCGAACGTTCTCGCCCATGGTAGTCTCAGAACGTGGTGGCGATATGGAGGATGATAGACGGCAGGGCAAGAGGTGAAGCGTGGGGGAAGCCGCAACCTGGTCCCGGAGAGCAAGGATCGCCAGACGAGAATGTCAAGAGGCCAAAAGCAAAGATTGTTGTCTCCAAGGAAGGAGAGAGGAAAGGAGACGGGTGCAGAGAGGTACAGCCGGGGGGATTCGACCATAGTCCAGCCAACGCCATTGGCTTTGATAGTCCCGCGACCGTCTGCGCAATTCTGTCCTGTAATAGAAACTTGTCTTCACTCAACGTAGCGTTGCATATCTTGGATGGCACCCATTGCCTTTCGTTGCTTTAGCCAGCCCCCGTCAGTGTCAGATCTCTCCTTGTGCATCCATGTCCGAAGTATTGGAGTGGTTGTCGCTCGATTGGCCATGGAGCAGGGCGGTACGTAGGAGCATCAAATACGGCCTCGTCGGTTCTTGAAACCGGCCGGCGAAGCCGCTGTCGGTGACTGGAACAGGAGTCGAGAAGGGAATAGAGACAGAGCTGATGCTGATGGAGCTGAGGCACCGTCGACGGTCCTGGGCGAGGGTCGCCGACTTACAACTGCGATCGGCAGGGCACTTGTCAAAAGAGTCGAAACCGATCCCTGCAATGGATTTCCTCCCGGACAGCCTTGCTAGCCTCACTTCCATCCCGACCTTCTAGGATGCGGCTTAATTCACAGCATCTCTGGTGATCGTCAGGATCGGCGCATGTCTCGCCTTGACGTGCGCATGGGGAAATAATGGAGTCCTGCACGGTTCTTTTGGACGTTGCGTAGGTAGTCATTGCTATCTCAGAAAAGCCTCCCAAAGCTTGCGCCGCCGCTGTATATGCTCCTAGCCCGACATGTTTCGCTGCACTGGTTGCTGACGCTGCTCCCCTTCAGGCATGACATTGCTCCCAAATGCTGCTGCATACAGCTGTACCCTGTACACCGTACACCACATGATCCTTTCATGTGCACATCTGTCATGTCTGCTGTTTACACGTTGCTGCGTTCACAAGAAAACATAGTTACTGGTTCATGAACTCCCTCAGGAAGGGAAAGAAGAAGAGAAAGTTATACACTCATGGTCCAATGCCCCCCGGTATCGACCCTCCACGTCCTTCCCAGCCATCCTCATTGTGCACCCACGGCCTAGTTTCCAATGTCAATACAAGAGAAAGGAGAAAAAGACAAGCATAAAACCCTGGCATGTACTGCGGTACATGATCCATGATTCGATAAGGCAATCGAAGTGGCCAAGAGAGAGGAAGAAGCGAAAACGAAAAGAAAAAAAATAAATAAACCCAATCTCTTCAAATCAATGTGATCCAGTCGCTCGATCGCTCGCTTGCACGCTCCCCTTTCTTCCCACATATACATGCCTTCATACAGTGAATAAGGAGATTTCGCCTCGGGGCTGGGTAGTGTCTATGTGAGTGGTCGTCTGCGATCGTAGGCGGGTGCCGCGTCCCGAACCGAGAGAAATTCGTAGAGTCATCTTGCTCTCTGGAAGTCCGATGCTGTTTCTCGTGACCATGGATGTGAAAACAAATGCGACTCCTGGATCGATGCTTTGTCCCTGCGCGTCCGCTGGTGCTAGATGTTCGTCATTCTCTTGCGTGTCTGTATTTTCCCGTCTCCAATGCTGGACGCTGTTCATAAACAAATGATTGTGGTCTCTTGCATACCAAGTGCAAAAGCTGCTGCGCCAGATACTTCAAAAAGGATCGTATCAATGAAAAGAAACAAATAAAAGGAAGTGCTCTGAACCGCTGTGACTTTGGTGAGCCGTGCTGCCCTTAGGTCGAGATGCCGAGAATGGTCCTCTTTTTGGAAATGCGAGGACTGTCCATAATGTCAATTGGGTGCATGCCTCCTGGCAGTAGCGGTCCTGTTGGTCGAAGGGCTTTAATTTTCTGTATCAGTTTACCAATCGCCAGGTAGTCGTCCGGTTCTGCGACAGTCGGGTTCTGTTCCAGCAATGCTTTGGTGGCGTGCAACGCTCGAATGATATCTTCTTCAGCCGGTGAGGCCGGATTGCTAATGGGTGAGGTATCTGCGGACCGTGGCAATGGTGGAGGCTTCATGGACGAGAAGCGCACCTGTTCAGGGTAGTGGATGTCAGGGACACTCTTATGTCGCTTCATCATCTGCCGAGGATCGATGGCGGTGGGTCGATGCTCTCCTATCACCGCTGCTACCGTGGTTGCTGTCAAGGATCGCACGGGCAATGCGGGTCTGTTCTGACTGGATGAGGATGGGCGAGAAGCGGTTCCAAGATTCGGTGCGTGGGAGTATGTCTGGCTTCTTTGACGACTAGACGTCCCCAACGTATCATCCGCGCCCTGGATCATGCCTGTGGCATCTTGGTCACCGCGTGCCATTCCCACCGACATAGGTGACATGATGGACTCTGATGTCAGCTCACGGTCAAGCTCCGCCTGAGTTTCGAAGGTTGATTTCCCATCTCCAAAGTCAAAAAAGTCTGCGTTCGTCTCTATCTTGACCATGGGCTCTTCGGTCTGTTCCTCAATCGCCGACATTGGAGGAGATACAAGACCATTGGACGACGTGGGTGAGCCGTCAAGCGGGGTTTGTGACAAAGATGTTGAGCTGGAATCCACCAAGCTCGAATCTGGATCGGCTTTGGGCGTAATGAGACGATTCTTACGCTTGAATTTCTCCAGCCAGTCGATGCTTGAAACTACCGCTTGGTCACTCCTGCTGAATGAGAATACCTGAGCTTGCTTCCGAAGATCCTCATCCGTGATGGGGAGCCCTTTCTTTTGTTGGTTCTTGACCCAATTTGTGAGCGTCTTCTCGAAGTCCGGTAATTTGGCCTTGGACTTCTTGATCGGACTGACGCTGTCCTCTTTCGGCTGCGGATTCATGTACTTGTCCCGCTGCCGCAGGATCTTCGATACCGTGCTACACACTATTAGTCCACGGGATACAATCCACCAGCACAGGTCGTCGCGCATACCTCCTCTCCACGTTGAACTTCGCTGGACTGGGTCAGAACGAACGGTGAAGTTGAGCACGATCACATACCTCCTATCTGGGTTTGCTTCATGGTGGGATTCTGCTCGGCCTCAATGCACATCTGGCGACGTTCCTCATCGGTCAACTTGCGTCGAGATGAGTTCGTCTTGGCGCTGGTTGGTGTCATATCAGAGTTCGATCCTGCAGACAATGGAGTGTGCATTGGTGCAGTGGCTAAAATGGGCGTTTGGTAGGGCCCCTGGGGTTGACTAGCCAGCATACTTGGCCACAAAATATTGTTAGGCACGACCAAGGGTGGTGGCATCGGTGCATGCGAGGACGCAAATGGAGGAGGCCGTTGTACGGGATAAGCCGGTTCCATTGGCATCGGCGTGGTGTGGTGATGGTGGTGGTACTCGAATGGTGGAAATTCCTGCATTGGTGAGATCGTCGTTTGAGGGCTGGAGGAATAACCATTTGGCACGCCGTTTGGGACACCGTTGGGGACACCGTTTGGTACCCCGTTGGGGACGCCCATCCAGCCGTTCTGGCCATAGCCAGGATGTTGCGAATCTTGGTTCTCTGGTGGCATCTTCAACAGGACCAACATCGAAATTCGAGTATTTGGGTGTTAGTATGTTGATATGGGCGCCAATATGATTTGGCGACGCATGCCACTGATCCTTGGTGAAGCTGTGATACAATGCACGTAGTCAGCGGCCCCAGAAGCCTGGCTTGCACAACCCCCAGAGCCTTGAAGCCTTCAGAGAGGACCAAGGTACAGAGGGCGCTCAGAGACCGGCGGGCGTGAGGTGTGCGGACCTGAGGTCAAGTTCGAGGGGAGAGAAGGAGCATATGATAAAAGAGGGAACGTCTGAAAGCGGGTGTGTGTGGGGAGCACACTTGATAGTGAAGCCCAGACAGTCTGCACGGTGCAGGCGAGGTCCAAGCTGGACGAATTGAGGAGTTAATAACGGACTGGGGTTGGATTTTCGACCGGGGCCCGACAGGCCTTGAGGAGACAGTCGACCAGGGCTTGCGTTGAAGGCGCGAGGGGGCGTTATTTGGTGAAGCTTGGGCCGCAGGTGCTCGAAGCAGGGTTGCTGTATGGGCTGTTTTCCGATATTGCTTTGTCCTTGTTTGGGGTGTGACGCTGCACAGGGCGTGGTGGTCCTAGATTTTCCCACGCAGCTCGAAACGTCTATGCTTCGAACGGCCAGTGAGAGAAAAGTCGAGATATGCTTTAGAAGGGGTCGTTCCGTTGAGAGGGCTTCCGAGTGCAATCCGCACGTCTGCAGGTCGCAGACTAAAAAACTTCAGGGCGGCAGACGAGCCTATAATGCAGAGCCTTAGGGAAGGTTAGCGGCAGCCCGGTAAAGGAACGGCCCTCCCAAACTCTGCCGACTAGCACTGGGTTTAGTATTGAGGGAGGGGGGGGAGGGGGGACCTTGCAGGCAGGCTTAGAGACGAACAGGGCATGCGTCGGGGCTTGCCCAGGGTGTAGCGCACCGTCTTGCCAATCCTCCTTGTCGCCTGGACCCGCCTTATTGCTCTCTCAATCCTCGACACGCCACACTGTGAGGTGCCCCGTAGCGTCAACGCCGCCTGCACAAATTGGCGGTTTGGTGAGTCGAGATCGTCAGCCGAAGAAGGGTGAACTCTTGATGTGTCGCAGCTTCACTAAAGATTTGCGACGAGGGGCTGAGGCGCAAGTTGAGGAGTTGGTCGCTTGGAGAAATCAGTTGTTCTTTAGATGTTTCGAGACGGAGAAGGGAGGAAGACAGACTAGAATACCACGGGCGACCATTTGTACAAATGCAGACTTGCCCTCTGGCGAAAGCCAATCCTGGTAGGCGTGTCGTGCTTTTGTCTCCCTCTGGTGCGTCTCTCCATACAAGGACGAGTCGAGATTCATAAGCCCCACGCTCCTCGCAAGGAAACCGAGCGGCGTCGAATTATAGCGGAGCCAAATGGGCGAGTCGAGGATAGCTGCTCAAATGAGTCGATGCAGAAACCTGCAATGGAGGCTACTCGTACAGCGCTCCGGCTAGCCTCGTGCCCTTCCTGGACGGACCGCTAGCTACCGAGTATGACGCGGGTGATCTGAGGGCCGCAAGTGATTCCCCTGCGGTCCATAGGATCTCCCATCTGCACAATCGCATGGCTCGCCCCTCTGGTTAAGGCAAGTCGTTAGGGGACTGGCTCTCACTATTGTCGTGGCGTAAAAAGTTGCAGCATCGCCGGTGGCCCCAGAGTCCTCCTCCCTGGGCGACCCCTGCTCGGTTTGGGACGGTACGATACGGTAAAGCCAAACCATCTGACAGTACGGATACGGGGTCGAGGGAGTGAGTTGTATTATTGCATGATCTGGTCAACCCGTGGGGGCAGTGAGCACGTAGGCGAATCCAACTACCCCCTTGTGCGACAAAGCGTGGGTCCGTGGAGAGAAGCATGTCCAGACTGGCTAAGGGGAGTTTGGCGAGTTAGAAGGGATAGGAAGCCTGCCAGGAACTCGCAGATGCTCACATTGGACTGTATCGAGTGGAGGTCGCAGCCACCAGCGGTGGATTCCTCCTCTTCACTCGCCGTGGGCTCCACGACGGCATCTGCCCCAGCGCTCGTTTGAGCGACCAAGGGCCACCTCCCTGGCTGAATATGGCGGGCGCCAGAGGCACTGAGGAGAAATGACGAGGAGCCAACAGGCACAAGAAACGAGGGTCAGGCGTCATGGTTGGCGGGAGGGAAGGACTCGGCGGCAAGATAAAGGACAGAGGACAAATAGGACGAAGGCGCCCACAGTACGGAGGACTGAGTGGGTATGGGGAAGATTTTTCTGAGACTCCCGACTCTGATCGTGAAGCCCAATCCGGCAGGCGAGTACAGGTTTCCAGTTCCCAGTGGGAGGAGGGTACCTAGGTAATCATGGAGTAGACCTTGTTGCATGCTCCTGGTCAGTCTCTGTGGTTGAGCGCAGAGTCGTACAAAAGGTGGGAAAAGAAACATGACGTTTTACGGGGTTGTGTGGTGAGCGTCAGTCCTGTAACTCAGTTGCCCAGATATGGCCATGTGCTACACCCAGTCAACCTGGTCCATCAATTCCCCTCTGATCCTTTCCTGTATGAGACGAAGCAACAATATTCCTCACTGTCTTCTCTGAGCGACAAGAAGTCTTTTGTTTGCCTCTATCCTAAACCCAGGATTCTCGATCGTCTACGAGGACTAACACTCACCACCCTCCCACGCCTTCCAGCCCTCCCGAGGCTTCTCCTCCCTTCTCCTCTACAACGTCATTGGCGCATGCATCGCCAGGGGCTCCCTGATCCTTCACCGCAAACGAGGGCAGTCCGTATAGGTCCACAATTTCAAGAGAGTTCCACGCCTAGCACGGGAACAAGGTTGCATGGGAAAACAGCTATGCAAGGATCCCTCCAGCCTCTGAGGCCTCAAGCAGCAGGTCGGTACGCGGACAAGTTTTGCGGTGGCCGTGACCTTGTTCAAACCCTGAGGTGCGGCAGACTCGGGAACCCTCCGAGCGTGGTCGTGGCGCTTTTAGGCAGAGGGCCAAATCGCAAAAGCTCAAGAGTGAAGCAAGCCCGACCAGGATGGTCATTGGGGACCGAACCCCCGCAAGAAGCTCGGACAAAATCGACTAGACAGGGAATGTCAGGGCAATCGACGTCTGCCCGAATTCGAGCTCTGGCTGGGAGGGGTAAGGAAGACGTGGATGCAAATTTTCTATCGAGACACTCGGTCTAGGTGAATGCGCTTCCGCCAGAGCGAGCACAACGACTGTTGCATCGACGGGGTCATGCTTCCAGGACAGTCCAAGCAGCCGGTCAATTAATGCACCTTGTGGAAGCTCCTCTCTCGTGCAGTTGAGTCTTCTCCTGCCCATCGTCAGTGGTCGCGGAGATGTGCTGCCGGGTCACCGATGGACTTTGGTCCGCATATCAGAAGCATCGCTCACCCTCCATGACCAACGTCGTTTCCATGCACCTTGCCCCCCTCGGCCACCTCTTCAAATAACCCCATTGAGAGGTCGTATTTGCAGCCTGACCTTGCAGCTCGTGCTCAGAAATGTCTGCGTGCGGGCGGAGAATTGACCGTTGAGCTCATGCCAGGGCAGGGAAGCAATCCCAAGCCTCTAGCAAGGATCCTGGTCGCCCACACCATCCACCTCCAGCAGCTTCTCCGCACTTGAAGACCAGGGAGCAGGGATTACCAATTGGGACATTCCTGCCGCCATTAATCAATCAATTGTTTCAAGACGAGGTAAAAAGGCGTCCCTTTGTCGACGTCTCCCTCTCCTTGCATGGTCATTATTGGCTGACGACGAGGCGGACTGCCTTTTCCACCCTGCCGCTTTTACGTGCAGCACTGTGTTCAGCCCATGACGTCGACCTCGTGATGGGGCTTCTATACGGCATACTGCATATCCTTCCGCTGCCAGTGGGTTCGGCTTTCAAGTGGATCGTGGCACATGTTCAAACTAGGCACACCAACATGCCTCACTGACTACTCCATCCTTTGAGACGTTTTCCCGCGCCAACGAGTCCCTGTCCATTATGAGAAGGTTGGGCACGAAATCCTTTCGGCCATTCTCGCTCGTTGCGCTTTAGGCTGGGTTTGAGCAAGGCGGCCACCATCATCGCCGCTGGATGGTACTTTCTTCTGCCCGTTTAGGCATTAGAATCCTAGCCCCTGATGATGATCAGTGACCGAGGGCTAGGGGATAGGTTGTTCTCGATCCGAAGGCGCGGGGATGGCGGAAGGTGAGGTACTTAGCCTCATTGAGCGGAAAAAGGGTCCGTGGTCGACGGTCTCGAACCTTGAGGCGGCCTCAATCCTCCAATACATGTTCTTGTGACTTTGATAGGCGTTCAGGGCTATCAAGCTGAAACAAATGGAGAGTACAACTGTATCACTTCTTGATGATGGTGACTGGATCAACAGCGTCAGCATGATACGCAATAAGCTTTTCTGACAGAGCCATTGTTGGACTCACTGATATCTTCGTCGGCCAATTCATGCGAAAGGCCTACCCGTTGAGGCTGATGCTTGACCGATCTGCCGTAGACTATCGCATGCTTGAACTGCTCGACAATCGTCTTATGGATGGCATTGCACTAAGAAAGATTAGTAGCCGAAATTTCCCAGGATAACTGTCTCAGCCTACAAAGTCTTCCACAGTTGAAGCGTTTTTCCTCAATACGACGGGGGCAGTGTAATCTGGCTGCTTCCCTTTGGGTTTGGTGTAGATTCGTTTCAATTGCAGCTTTTCCCACATCTGTTCCAAAAGCTCGTCGATGTTCCATCCGTGTTCGGAGCTGATGGGAACGGCATTCGGGATGCGGTAGAGTAGGTCCAACTCCTCGATAGTGATGGAATCAATCTTGTTGAGCGCGTATATGACGGGGATGTAACTCCTGCTCTTGGCTTCTAAGACATCAATCAAATCGTCAATCGTGGCGTCGCAACGAATAGCAATATCGGCCGACGAAATACGGTACTCGTTCATGACGGCTTTGATTTCGTCATGGTCAATATGCGTCAGCGGAACGGTGCTCGTGATGTTCAAACCCCCTTTGTCCTTCTTCTTGAAGACGATATTGGGGGGCTCCTTGTTGATGCGGATGCCGAAACCTTCCAGCTCCGCCTCAATGACCCGCTTGTCAGTGAGTGGTTTGTTCACATCGAGGACAATGAAAATTAGATGGCAGGTTTTGGCGACGGCAATGACTTGACGGCCGCGACCCTTGCCGTCCTTCGCCCCCTGGATGATCCCCGGAAGGTCCAGCATCTGGATCGCGGCACCATTATAGAGGACTTGGCCGGGCACGGTGGTGAGGGTGGTGAATTCGTAGGCAGCCGCTTCGGAATGTTGGCCCGTCAAACGACTCATCAAGGTGGACTTCCCTACCGAAGGGAAACCAATAAAGCCGACGGACGCGACACCAGTCCTGGCGACATCGAATCCACTGCCGCCGCCGCCACCAGATGATGAAGGTGTCAAGAGCTCCCTCTTCAGTTTGGCCAACTTGGCCTTGAGCTGGCCCAGATGGAAAGAAGTGGCTTTGTTCTTCTGGGTCCGAGCCATTTCGGCCTCGATCTCCTTGATTTTGTCCACCGTTGTAGCCATCGTGGGCTATCCAAGACGCAATGTCCGAAGGGGGTAATTACCGATCCGGGATGGGGATGGGAATGAGGCAGGTGATTGACGACCGCTGAGACAGGTCGGGGTACGTTCAAGGACCGCTGGGCAGTGATGTTTGGGAACGAATTTCCACAGTTGGTGCTGGCGGAGGATAGGGGGAGGATGGCAGCAATCGGAGGAGGGTAGAAACGGACAATATGAGAATGCGGTGTAACAATCCTTTGCGGTCTCTGTGCGACATGAAATGTTCAGAAGGATGGCGTTGAAATGGCTTTGTACAACCGCCACCACATGGCGGTTCGAGGCAAAAATTGTGTGGACGGTGCCCCGCAGATGGACATTAGCGGACAACAGTTGGGTGGCCGGCGAGGGGGCGCCGATGAGGTAATGGAATTGGACTGTCTTGGTGCCATGGCGGCCCTTGTGCGTCGGAAGGACGCTCTTGGGGGTGGCCCGCCGTAAGCCCTGGGCGCACCCCTACACATTTGCTCGGGCTGATGAGTAGGGCTCTAGGGAGTACCTGCATGCCTAGCTCGCTGGGCTGGCAGTCCTCGGGAGCAGTGGTCACATGGTCTGCCGGACCCCGTGACCTTGAGAATTTGGTACGTACCCCATCTCTCCTCCCGTACTTCGTATCCATCCCTCACTACACTCCCCTCCTTTGCCACTTGACTGCGCAGAGCCACTCAGAGCGCGAGGCCTCGATCACGCAATCGCTCATCCTCGAGACTGGACAATTTCTTTTCACCAGACTTCCAAGTCAGTCAAATATCTGGTTCTCTCGAGCCTGTTAGCTCTTCTAAAGGCTGAAGTGGATATATCAGAGCCTTGTCTGCCAGCCTTGTCATCATCACCGTCGTCGTCCTCGCCGTCGCTGTCTCTACAAAGCTCATATCGAAGTCTCTTGCATTCTCTACCACTCGTTCTCGTTTAAGCTTTGGCTTGCCACTCCAAATCTGCTCAGCGGGCCTCCCACCAATCTCGATCCTCCTGCACGACCAATCTTTTGCTCCCCGACGAGCCCGAACCACCCGCTCGTGCCCGTCACCGTCTTTGGTCAGGTAAGGAATGATGGACACGAGGTCACAAGTTCGCATTTCAATAGGCCCACGACCGGCTCTCCGGAGTGGTTTTGAAGACACTTGGCCCTTACCCTGAGTCGATCTCTTCCAGTTATTACATCCACCTTGTCGATTCCCCCGGTCATGAGACAGGACAGCTGAGTCCGCCGAGTACCTGGAAGGAGCAAAATACATGAATCTACTGCATTCTTACACGCTATCAAGTCCTCTACATGCAGCACTGCATTCTTATCTACGTGCAAGCTTCATTCGCACACCGCCTTGGTCGTCCCTCCCACCTTATATCTCTCCTCGTCCACTATCCTTCGCCGAATTCCTGCCTTCGTCTCTGATTTCTCACGGGTTTCTCCTTCGTCTCCCTTTGGACCGTCTGCACCATCTTTCAAAATATTCGTTCTGCAATCCAAAAATTTTCCAAGATGCTATCATACCAACCGCCGCTCAGTGCAGCTGGTTCCTACACGCTCAAATCAGAACCAGCGTATGCATCCCACCATCATGACCAAATCAGTCTGATAGACCCATGCGATGAGTTCCACCGCCTCGTTCGAGCTCTCTCTGACGTCCTTGGCCCTTCTTCGGGGATCAACTCTGATGATGTGGACGAAAATGACTTGATCCGCCTCATGGAACAATACACTTCCCAGGAAAGCCAGTGGCGCCATTACGCCTTTGCCGACACCAGCCGAAACTACACCCGCAACCTCGTGGACGAAGGAAACGGCAAGTCCAACTTGTTAGTGGTAGTCTGGAACCCAGGAAGGTCTAGTCCGATACACGACCACGCGGACGCCCATTGTGTGATGAAGGTCCTTAAAGGCAGTCTCAAGGAAACACTGTACGCCCTTCCACCTTGCTTGACCGAGAAGACGGCGTCGGACGGCACCTTGACACCACCACAAATTGTCAAAGAATCCACGTACCACGAAAATGAGGTTACCTACATCTCCGACAAGATTGGTCTGCACAAGATATCCAACCCGTCCAACGATGAGGCCGCCGTATCCCTCCACCTCTACACCCCGCCTCATGCGGCCAATTTTGGCTTTAACCTCTTTGACGAGAAGACAGGGAAGCCAACGCACATCAAGCAAGCAGGCTTCTTCTCGGACCGGGGAAAGCCCATCGAAAAGTGCAAGTTCGGATCGTTTTGAGCGTGGTATTTTCGACCAACGTCACCGTCCCTTACAGTTTGCCACAATCCAGAACACCCATTAGGGTGCCCGTTGATTGCCAGGTGTCTCGACGACATTCGCGACGGTGTGTCAAGTGGGTCCTACGTCTCCATGATTTGAATGGTCTCTGAAGAGGCCTGACCGTTTACGAGGGTATAGGAAGGAACTTGAAGATGATTTCTTACTTGGGGTCGATCAGGCATCCATGACATGTATCCAGCTCTCAAGTGGTTGGAATACATATACGATGCTACCACGTTCATTTCTCTTACAGGGACAGGATAGGGAAGGCGATCGGCGTTGGGGAATAATGTTTAGTCAGAGCCAGAACTTAGAAGAACCCATTCTATACTTCTGGAGACGTATCCGAGAATTATCTCCCTTTGGTTTCTTTTTGGTAGGAAAAACCTCCCCTATCTCGTTCATGACCGTTGGACTGATGGCAAAACTTGTTGGATGACGAACAACGCATTGGTGTCACACTGTAGGCTTATCTTGTTCCACCTCCATCACTACTGCCACCACGTATCCAATTCCTTTCAGAGCGGTTTCTGGCCCCCAAGTGCACACGAACTCTGGGACACTACTACTTACTGCTGAGAAGTCTTTATCCAAAAGGATTTCTCCGTCCAACCTATCATAATACGAGGGAGGGGAGGGGGGCAATTTCTCTCTCATCCCTCTCTTTCTCTCCCCTCTCCCACGACGTTGGAACCTTTAGGGTCTCACGTCAGGCTTGCTGCTTACTTCATTCCCCTTCCTCGCCTCGTCAAATCAGCCCGCGGCGCCAGGCCTTTTTCGCTTCTTCCCTTTCCCAATCCAGCGATTAACACAGCAGACGAGTTTTACCCGTGGGAGAGCTTCCTGCCCTGACAACAAACGAATGGGGGGACGTGCGGTGGCGCATTCCAGGTTCGTTTATCCTGTCCTAACAAAGGATGAGGGATGGGGGCTCCAGGTGCGATCTGCAACCCTACTGCTGGATACGAGTTCTTGTTCGTTCTCCCCACCCCCTGTCATCCCTCATACGGGCGAGAGTGTGAGTGTGCGTGTAAGTGTGAGTGAATGAATGGGTGGTGCTTCGAGATGGTTAGGCCAGACATGTCACCCTGTTAGTCTGGCAGCTGTCAATCCTGAACTACGTTGCCTCGCACTCGTCCATTCCAAGATATAATGTGAGACCTGTTCGCTCTTGATCCTGCTTTTGTAGTTCTCAATCCCCCCGTGCTACCTCAGAGGGTTACGAGTCCGACGGAAAAGAGGGATTGGTCAGGGAACAAGTGACAAAATCCCCAACTCGATGAACCACCACGTATATATTGTCATCTGAAGAGCTTCTATGCAAGCACCCTTCCTCGCCGAATCAGTCTGCCGGAACTCCCCTACAAGGTTGACTCCGAGGACGACCAAGCATCAATATCAAAGCCCTCCCACGGCGGGCTGCAAAAGCACAACCAGAATGACATTCATGTCCACGTTTCCATCCCATCTCCCAGCACAGCATCAACCACAGGCTTTCCCAGCAGCCCAAGTCCACGCACAACCACAACCCCGACGCCGGACAACCCAAGCATCGACAGCCACTCAATCCTCCACCTCGACAAAGTCCATCAAGTTCTTCCGTTCCTCGACAACGAGATCGTCCTCGGTTTCCTCGGCGTCGAGCGATTCGATCAGAGAGGAGCCACGAGTGCGTCGCTGGGGTCGCAAGGCAATTAACGGTCTGGGGAAAGCATTCAGCGCCTATCCCCAAGGAAGATCGGTCGGGATTGTGTGGTATACCGGCTTCTAAGGAGCACGATTTTGTCTGTTTGAAAGGCCCACGAGTCTCAAATAGCGACGAGCGACAAAGTCAGGATGGTGATGTCGGTAGTGGAAACGGGGGCGACCCCAGCCGCCGCCCAGCAGCGATCCCGGTGCGGAAAGAATCTCTGGAACAAAGTGGTCGACGTGATGTGCTTCAACTGCTCCGGAAGCAGGAGAAAGAACAAGAACAGAAAGCAAAGCCATCCCCTCTCTCAGTTACAGCTTGACGATACAAAGGAGATCAACTGGAGCACGTCTACCCTCGGCATGGAAACCAACCTCAACATGAACATGGGACAGGGTCCCAGTATGGAGGATGCAAGAGACATCCCGCTCTCCTCTATGCCGTGGTATCCTCCTCCACCGTCGCCAGCACTTCTGCCGTCTTCGCGAGGCAGTCGCAGAAGGGGGAATGTTGCCGCTTCTGCTACACCAGCTACAGCCACTGCTGGCGAGCATGCCGGCGCGGATACACGATCCAGTGCATCGCCAGCACAGAGGCAAGGTAGACGGAGACCAAAAGAGAGAAACTCCGCTAGGATTGATTCCATGCACGGGGCTGATCGTGGCAGCAGACGAGACTCGGCAAGAATCAATAATGCAAGACGTATTGAACGAGATCGGGACTGGGAGTACCAAACTTATGGCGCGTGGATTATATTCTGAGATTCCAGGCATCTTTTGCGGGGGCTATGGCAGTCTTGTTGGTTGTGCGACCTCACGAACAACATCAGGTTGGGTTGGGATATGGATAAGACTTTCTCGCACCAGACTGTGGGTTGTGGATGACGGATGAGGCGTGTATTCCTTGATACTATTCTCTTTTGTCAACGACGAAAACACAATATGGTTTTGTTTTAAAGCTCCCTGCGAAATGATGTCCCTGTTTGCAGATTCCGGTGTGATCTCGAAAAGCCTTGTCTTTCGCTGTCTAGAACAGCATCCCGGGATTTGATCCGATGTCGGTTCCCTAGATTTCGACTCCCGCCGCACATGGCAATGCCACGTCGATGGAAGGAAGAGCTGATAGCAAGGGTCATGGGAAGTGGGCAATTTCCACGATGGTTCTGCCATGGTCCTAAACAGGGTTTGTGCAAGGTGAGATTGTTACCCAGACAAGATGTGCTGGCAACCGTTGCGAACCAGGAATGACGTCCGGGTCCTTTCCACGATAGGACTCATGTGGTCGCAGGGGACCAAAATGCCCTTCGGCTCCCTGCCATTCTCTTGGCTGATACAGCTCATACATCCTCTGAGGTGCAGTGTGCCGCATCCTTGCTTGCCTGACTTGATAGGACTTTTGCTGACGGTAAGACAGCGCCTGAGGCAGAGTATTCTGGGAATCTTCGATGTTGTTCATGGAGGCGCTGCCACCAATACCGGGAGAAAGGAACCCTGCTTTGGTGACAATGATGAAAAGTCTCCCAGTAAAGATCTTGCCGGTCCTAAATGTTGCCATCCTGTCCCTATGGGAATGGTGCAAATACCTTTGCCACCACAAGCTAGAGGGTATTGTCCCGTTGCATAGGCATGAACAGACTCCCGAGAGCCAGCTCATCGTGAATGGTCCGGTCACGTCAGAAGCTGACATAGAACCACGGGTTCACACCACCCTTCTTCATCCCGCACGCCTTGGTCGATCTATTTCTCATTCACAACCGGCAAATCCAGGTCGACCACAACAGGCTTATGAAACTTTTTGCCGCCCTTGTGAGGCCAATTTGACCCCATATAAGCTGCGTTGACCACACAAGTCTCCGCCCTTCCCTCTCGACCGGACAGTGCTTCTTGGTCAGACCTAGGGCTTGATGCCGCACCGCCCTGACCACGAGTTCCAAGATGCTTGATGCTCGGAAAATCAGGCGTAGAAGGGATCGGCCTCTCAGCTTTTTTGAAGTCAGGGAAGGGAGGTGTTGGGGGAGGTGGGACATTTGGGAATGATCTGCTTTTGTCTTGCTGATCTGTGCTGGCATCATCAACAGTGCCATCAACTTCGACACCCCGAATCCTCGACGGTTGTTTTGGTGGTATCAGATTGCCAATGGCTCCGTCATTGCGCAAGGCTAGGGACTTGGCTCTCGAGGACAGATCGATGAGGAATTGCTTCTTGGAATCTGGATCTGGGTCCTCCCACCTTCGGACGCTCTGTTCTTTGTATCTGAGGTTAGGAGAGGATAGGTCCCATGTGACGGCCTCAACACCATAGGCTTCGTGAATGTGCCCACATACGAACAACCTGGGGCGGACCCTCCATAAGGCCTGACGGAGGATTTCGCATCCTGCTGTGCCACGTTTCCCACATTCGTCGCGGTGAAACTTGGCGGGCGTGTGCGTCACCACGATATCTGAATCTAGAGGGATCTGATCCCATAATGGAGGCGCAGTCTCTGGCGAGTAGCCAAAGGCCCAAAAACCATGTGCAGGTGAATATGGGGAACCAAAGACCTTGATCAAGGACACAAGGCCGTCCCCGTGGTTGATGCGAACCTGCTTGGCCTCATGATTGAGAAAGACAATCGAAGGATCCGCGCGGAGCAAGTCGAGGCAACGCTGAGGATCTTCCGGTCTCTTATTGTGGAAGTAGCCACCGTACTTTTGATAGAATGGGACATCGCAGGTGACATCGTGATTCCCGCAGACGACGAGTTTGATCTGAAACTGCGATTTCCTAATCCAGTCAACAGTCTTCTGAAGCTCTGAATATGTGCCTTGGTTGCTGAGGTCGCCCGCGTGAACAAGTATGTCTCCAGCGGGAAGCTTCGGAGTTTGATTGTGAGTATCAGATATACAAACGATACGAGTCCGCCTGGTAGTCATCTTGTTGATAATGATGTGCTCGTTGGGATAGGGAGAGTATGTCAAGGAGGGAGGGGTTTTCCCTTTTTTTCCCCTCGAGATCAGGAGCTCAAACCTGGCAGTTGCAAGTGACTCATGTCACAATTTGAGAAAGACTCTCCATTCCCTACTGGGCGAAGGAGCAGCTTTCCGCTGTCTTTACCTCACCGTGCGCATCCCAGGTTGTATGTGTGTGTCTCTCTCTCTCTCTCTCTTGTAGATAGTCCTCTTCCCAGACATTTCGCGACGAAACCGAAGGATCAGCCGAGTGGCAATGAGCAGGGGCGACCGCATAGAGCAACTTTCGTTCCTTGCATTAGTTTCCTCGCTGCGCAGCTTGCATATCCGAAGCCGACCCGAAGAACAATGCGTTGTAAGAAGACAGAAGGGCGTCCTCGTCGGTGCAGCGAGGAGATTTCTTATTCTCTGTTTCCCCTAGTGCACGTAGACTAGAAGCAGTATCATATGAGAAGGGATCGACGGCATTGGGACGATGTCGGAATCACTGAGGGCAACCTGAGGAACGGCTGCGGCTTCAGAGATGTGATAATCTTGAGCTTGCAGGGAAGAGCGGAGACCATAATCAATAGGGGGTTGATGGGGGGCACTTCGGGGTAAGCCTCAAACATTAGAGCCCGAAGTACCGGTCTCTGGCGCTTTGCTTTAACTGGAAATAGCGTCTGTGCCTGAAGATTTAGTGCCCGTTGGCCTGGGGGATCAGGCCTGGACATGGATTTACCGGGTCGAATCATAGGCGGCGAACTCGTGCCCCTTTCCCACACAAACAAAGACGCGACACGGGCACCAGGGCATGCGGCACTGAGAGCAGCAGCATTTCTGAGATATCACACTTTCCATCACAAATCTTCCGAGGCTTGCTAGTTGCTGGGGGACGAACCTAGACGAGGGAGAATGAGGCAGCTCACAGGCTCACGGGCCCAGACTCCTCCCTCCACCATAGATTAAGAAGTAGCTGTCCCGTAGAAACGCGCCCATCTTCTCTCTCCCCCGTTATTGCAGGAGATTCCATGCCCTCTCTGGAGAAATGGACAACGAGAAACAAGTGCTGGACGTGCCGTTGTAGGGGATTTCACCATCCACAAGCGAGACGGGGCTAGCAAGGATTGGATGATCCATGGATCAAATGAGCTTCGGCGAGGGCACATGGACGACACGCTCACCACCAAACCTTCACCTTCAACTTCATCTTCACTCCCAACCCAGATCTCGACTTCAACCTTGACCACAACTACCACACCTTATCCTCCTGCTCATCACCATCATCCTTCTCTGCCGTACTATACACTAGATGCCCGGGGGACCCGTCATGATCTTGATGCTCGCAGCCCTGCCGATTTCCCACCGCGCCCTCCCTATCCCCATTTCTATCCGGCCCGCATTGCAGATGCCAACCATGACTTGACATTATTTCGGCCTCCGCTGCGCAAGAAACCCAAACTGTCCTCCAATGCCCCTGCTCCCAATTCATCATCCGTGCTACAGCCGTCCCCTGGAATGCGCAAGCCAGTAGGAATCTCAAAGACCTTGAGTGTTCCCTCCTTCAGCATCTCCCTCGACCCCGACCCGAACGATAATCGTCCCTCTTCGTCTTCCGGGATCAGCCAACCTTCCACCCCTTTACGTCGAACAAACTCTAATACGCTCCAGCGATCTCCTTCGCAAAAAAGACCCCCTGCCTCACACAGCAGCTACGGCGTCGAGACGGTCTGTGGCCCACCTCCGTCCTACAGCACGCAGCGAACCCTATCGCAAGACCGCATCCGACTGGATCGAAACCCGTCCACGAGATCTACGAACGATACAACGCGTGACTCGTCCCCTTCCAAGGCCAATGAACCCATTCCAGCCGTCGAGCCTGCTCAAGCGCGACTGTCGCCCGTGAAACCAGATCAGACCCCGTCAACGACCGACTCTTCGGCAGACGAGGCTACCACTCTGGAAGTATCGAGCCCGGAGACCGCAGATACACAGAGTGTGCTTACCCCCAACTCGACCATGAGTCAAGAACAAGTCACGGCCGTGCTTCAGACCGACCTGCAAGAGAAGGAGAACTCTGAACCGCAATTATTAAAACCTATATCTTCTGAGGAGGACACCAAGGGTTCCAGTAGTGATGAGAAGAAGAGTGAAGATTTGTTTTTGAACATTGCGAGGACCGACTCGTCGCGTGGGAATCAGGTTCAATCTAAACTTGACAAGAGGCGGTCGAGAGTTTCACTTCCTTTCTTTTCGAGTACGCGGCCTTCTACCGGCTACAAATCTTCTCCCATACAGGAGCGATTCGACACTTCGAGTGTTGCTGGTCGATCAGAGGCACTGAATTACTACAGCAAGCGATCTTCTCTAGGCCAACATGTGCCGGGGGCGCTTTCGCGAACGTATACCCAAGACGGCTCAATCCGAGACGGGACTCTCGAAACCCAGAGTACTCATCCTGCGGATCTGCCTCGGAGAGCCACATCAAGACGATATTCCACCACAAATTCAAACACCAACACCAATACAGAACCCGTGCGTACTTTTTCGCGCCCGAGTACAGCTCGGAACAGCCGCTTGGTCTCAGAGTCTGCATTTCTTGATCGGCCCCGCGTACCCGATCACAATGCCACCGAGTCAACCATCTCCACAACCGCTCCTTCGACAGTTTGGGACGAGCTGGATGATCTGAAGTCGAGAATCAGAAAGCTCGAACTTACTGGGAAGCTCCCACCGTCCTCGGCTGCAGCAATGACAACGTCAGAGAGACCAAAGACGGCGACGACGGCAGCGACGACCATGTCGTCCTCTCCAAAGCACAAGCCAGCAGTGGCGCAACTGCAATCCGCGATCGAAGGAATCCCGTCTAATATCCATCCGAATCTCCACGAGGCGCTTGGTAATGCCAAAGCTGTCCTCAGTAATGATGTTTATCAGAAGCTACAAGCAACCGCTCAAGATGCCTTACAATTGTCCATGATGATGAATCCAGAAGGGCATAGCGGCGCTGCAAGCACCATTGGGATCTCGTCGGTTTCGGAACGTCAAATTCGTCGACGAACGGAAAGCATGTGCAGAAGCTTGACGGAATTGGCAATAGCGATACTGGCAGATCACAAGCAGCCTCCTCAACCTGCGACGAGACCCGGTAGTCGCGATGCATTCCAGTCAGCTTCTACAGGTCTGCGGAGCCGCAGATACAGCAACGAGCCTAATGACCGACCTCCAGTCACCTCCCGTGTCCAGTCTCGGCTAGAGACTCGACGAACCAGCGCGCCGCTCGGGGCCACGTTGAACGCACAGACAACTTCACCTGAGAACCCATATCAGACACCGCCTACAGCCTTGCCTCAGATATCTAGCTCCACATCGTCGCGCCTGGGCCGGACTTCAACTACCTTAGTACGGAGCAGGCGTACTCCTGGGTACAATCTGGATGGCACCACAGACGACGAGGAAAGCAGCCCTTCGGTCAGACCAGTGAGCCGGGCTATGACAGAGGTGAGTACATATCGCCAAATGGCGAGAGATCGAGCAGCGTACTCGAGAGAATACACCGCCCAACACCCCATGCCTCAACACCCTGTCCCTGCGGCACTTGAAGCGACCAATGTGACCAGAAGTCCGCTCCCTGCTCATATCAGCACGCATCTGGTCCCGAGACGCAAGTATGCCACGCCATCGTCCAACGCAAGCAATGTGGGTGCTCAAGAGCACACTCCTGTGACACCCAAAGAGCCTTGGGGTCGAATAACGATCGTCCCAGCCGCTACATCTAGTCCGATAGAGGCTACGCCCGAGAGCCAAGTCGCCATTCGACCCTCGGCGACACGACGAAGTCTGGGGTTCACAAGTAGGATCAGCAGTGTGAGTAGTCGACTTCGAGCCGCCAAAGCAGAGCGGAATGCAACGACGAGAGAAACCACAGAAGCACGAGGAATGAAAGATATTGCACCATTGAGGCAAGAATTGGATAATACCATCCCATTGGAAAGACAGGGCTCCGGACAGAGTGTTGAATCCTGAGGACCATGTCTCATCATCACCCCAAATTGTATCATATTTTGTACGATGGATATCCCGGGAAGGCAGTCCTTCTCCATTGATTTCGCCGACACCAGCGGGCGAGAGCTCTGTGGCAGGTCTGGAACGAAAATAGATTGGGCTACTGTACAAGTGGCATTGTGTTCTTTTACGGATTTCTAGAAGCCCGTTTCCTGGATGTCGTCTCTTTTCACCACCGGTCTGCGCTCGTGCAAAGGCGGTCGATTGGCAACAAGCCATGACAGGTGTCAACAAAGGCTGCATTTGGAGAAGCAACATGCAGGTCCAATGGATCATCGCACACCGCGAACCAGGGCGAATCATGGACGAACCCGTCCACGTGCAGATGAAATTTTCCATTCCAGTGGCCACCTACAGGGGCCACCAAAGCCCACTACCATCATGCCACCGAGTGCCACGCCAACTGCCCCGACATCCATGATGGATTATGACTAACAAATATCACGACCAGCCCATAGTCTTGCGTTTCCTTTGGCTTCCGGATTGCCTCGCTTGGCACAGCAATCCAGCATTATCCTGTCCTGAGCTGAGGGGCAGAAGGCGGTGGGAAGAACACACGGCGGACAAGACGCCATCGACGATGACTCTTGAGCAATTGTCAAGTGGACTCCATCAAGGCGAAATGGAGGACAAACTGAGCACCTTAAAAGCCCGCAATAAAAGAGTAAGGTGAGTGTACCTGGAGTCTAATTCGTTCCTTGGATGTCGCCATCACCAATCGAGATGGCATGTGTCTAAAGCCAGGCTTCCTTTGTCCTCATTCTTCGGCCTTGTCTGCTCATCCCCCTCTGGGGCGTGACAATATAAGGGGACGAGGCATTTCCTCCATTTTGGACGACTGCATAGACATCTCCGTCAAGTTCAAGTTTGAAGAAAAAAGTGGTTTTGGCTATCCGATTCCTTCCTTTCGGCAAAGCACCTCCTGGCGTCACACGTAAGACTGTGAACGCACAGCCCTTCTGTTTGGAGTATCCTGTACTTGTGGAGAAGCGTCAGGCAACACGAAACACCAGTGACATCAAAGCCCGGAGCCTTTTTGCGTGCTCGGCCCTGTCCATTGTCCTGTGTACAGCTCATCCCGACCGTCTAGGATTGGAGCCAGCCTGCCACCTGGACCGAACGAAATACCTCGTTCTGCCTCGACCTCACACCAACTTGACGACCTTGATAGCAAGAGTCTGAAGGCCCTCAAGTTTGATACGTGATATTCTGAATATCTCTCTCGAGCCGACTTCTCCGGCACGTCTCAATTGGTCGTTGGGGGGATGGAAGGCTTCGCAAAACACTCGTCTGGGTCGCCGCCACTACATAGCCCAGGTTCAGTCGATTCAGATTCTGGCCGATCGTCAATGGGAAGAAAGACGTCGACGTCGTCCTCTGCATCTACACAACCCATCACTCCCATCTCACCTCGCCTGTCTCCCAAGGTTCAGCTGGTCCCTTACGCCCGGACTGCCAGCTTCGACATTTCTCTGTCGGAAGCGGAGCGAGAACTGTTGGACAAGGCCTCGACCAATTTCGATGCTCTCGACCTGTCGTCCAAGGACTTTGACTTTGAAGATATCTTCACGTATGACAAACCTCAAAAGAAACTCACCAGAGGCGTGGTCGAGGTGTCCAGACCGACTCGAGACTACCGAGACTGGTCCTCCTTCTCTTTCTCCCACTATTCGGCAGCCGTGAACGCTCGGCAGAAGGTCAACAAAGCTAAATCGGGGATTGGGGGGTTGTACCTGAAGAACAAGGCGGATGCACAAAAGTCTTGAACAATGAGGACAGGCTGGGTTTGGAGTTAGGGAACTAGGCGTTGGTACTTGGCGTCACGGATGTCGATATCTCTGGGTCTCTTTGGGTCTCTCCTCTCGCAAGACGTCCGCCCTCACCTCGATCCGACCGACACAGGCGATTCGATTTCAGACCGGTATTCTTGCACATGGAGAGACACGGCGGTCCGTCTGCTGGCAATTCCAAGGCGTCCGAAACCCCCTCAACGAGAGGAAAGGATATTCGTGACTCAAAAAGTCGATGGCGTTTTGGATTCCCAAAAGAAAGGAAACATAACACACAACAAGCAATTGGAGCTTGGACTCGGATGAATCATTTCGGGATCAAATCCATTCGAGGATTAGCATGATAGACACGATATTTGATCACTCAAAATGACAACCTGCAGAAGGTTTTGCGCTCGCATGAAAATGAGCCTGGAAATACCTATCTCATTCAAGAAGGTAGTATGCATAAAGCTAAGTGGCCGGTAGACTCCTTGAATACGATTTCGCTTGGGGATGCCCTATTTTCAGCCCGGAACCACACTCCCATGCGAGAGGGCCGGTGCCACGTTTCGGTGTTGGTCTGGTGAAAGAGCACGAGGCTTTAAGAGGCTAAAGTCGTAGCTTCGCGAGGTGGTTCTAAGAATGAATATAGCGAGAGCACCTGACGATGGGAAGCTCGGCCCATGCGATTCGAAGTGTAAATTTGGAGGGACCTGGGTAAGCCGGTGTTCAGGGTGCCAGTCAGGCTCCAGCTACTAAGGAAGGTAACGAGGAGGCTTCTATTGTTAAACTCAGGCCATCATTGCGACTTGCGTCGTCTGGGTCTTGGGTCTTTTTGACGGAGGAGGGGGAGGGACACAGTCAGCCTTCAGCCTTCAGCCTCGAAGGAGTGGCGCACGGACGTTCTTGGGAGAAGGCTGGTGGCATGTAGCAATCTGAAACGCGGTGCAATCTTGCAGGTCTCATGCGCGACTGAGTGGGGGAGGAAGCGTGTCGCGCAGGTTGTGTTTTATTTTTTTGCCCTTTGTTTGTTCCCTTTGTTGTTCTAATTGAGGGGGTGGGAGATTTCTCGCGCATGCAGCCAGGGGAGCTTTCTTTAGATTGTTCAGGACTCTTTTTTTGGGCGCATTGCATTCAACTATTGGAATTCAGGAGGAGTCAGCATGCATCTTCTCTAGAGGGGTATTGGATATACAGACCAGCGAGCTATGTTTGTAGCCAACATACCTATTATGAAGATGTAACTCTGTACCTGCATACAGAACTCGTAGGGACGGATCTGGTCCTCGTAGCTGGGGAGCTGGCAGCTGGGCATTGGGGCAATAATGGAATAATGGGCACTGACCAGGTGGATGCGCGCGGCAAATTTCCCGGGTCAAAGCCAGAAATAGAAGCAAAGACGGGGGCCTCATTAAGCCTCCCGACTAGCCTAATGGCCACTTTGGGGGGGGGGGGGTGTTGTCTGGTGCCCTGGGTGCCCTGGGTGCCTGGGCAATTGGCATTGCGTTTCAGGTTGGTGGCTCCTGCATCCCTCCTGGTGCCTCCCCCAAACCAATCGCCGTCTGATCCTTTGGCCCCCTTCATCCTCTCCCGACACTGCCCTGACCAGCGCAGGTCATTGTGATTCGCTTTTCGTGCCAGAAGGTGAATCTTGTCCAAGCGCCTAAAGGAGACACCACCACAAGTTACGGGCGCTGACTGGCAGACTCGATTTCTTCCTCTGGTGGTACTTGCTGTCTGCTCCGTGCAATTCACCTCGCTATCCAAACTTGAAAGAAAAAACATCCCACCCCTGGTCCCCCCCCCAACAACCTTCGAGTACTCGACTCCCTCTGTCCAGACCATCGATCGCAAAACTAGCTACTCCGTACTCTGCCCATCTCCACTCCAGCTTGCTTCCTCGTGGGCTCGTCTACTTGGCCGGGTTCAATATTGCGCCATCCCGCGCTCTTCCTCCTTGCTCATTTGCCAGTCGGTCAAAGGCGCTGGTCCACTCGGCGCTCGAAACTGGAGGCTTTGCCCACCTCTCCTCGAATACCAAGTACCCTACCCTTTGTCCACCGGTCCTCGACTTCAAGCCTCAACCTGTCGCAGAGTCCACTCTCGCTTTGCCGCCAGTCCTCGGTGTCTTTGATTTGAACGAAAAGCCGCCGAGTTGCTGCCACCAAATCGTCGCTTGCCCTCCCCCTCCTTTGCGACTTCAACCTTTATTGACCTTCTGGTCGCATCGCTCTATTCGGGTTTCCGCCGCGCATACACTCTATCACCTTTAGCAAGAGGAGGCATTCTGTTGCTTGTCACTCCCGAGGGAAGGCCCTCAGTCCCAAATCCGTATTACAGTCTGTGACTCTGGTGGAGCCGTCATTGTCGGAGAACGGAGGAGACAAAGGAGGAAAGCCTGACTTACTGCGCCGCACACTTTGGATACGCGCTGAAATCTGAAACTGCGGAGGACCAAATCCAGCACACAACCACCGCCATCCCCTCCTCCCAGGGACACTCTAGGGGATTTGCTGCAGCAGGGACAAGGAATCCATCTCGCTCTTGTTTTGTGTCGCATGCCTCGCCGTTGTTGCGCCGCGATTGACCGTTCCGGATACCATTAAACTCTTCTGGATTGTTTTGAGGCCTCGACTTTGACCACTGCCAATTATTGTACGTCAGTACCAAAATCCTCGCCGCTCCCTCTTGTCGTCTAATCTTGTGAGACTTATGTGGTGATGCCATGGTCCTTCAACGCGCCCTCGTCGTCACCACTCGTCATCATGTTGAGAGACTCGACGGACTGTCTTGCTAACAATCATCAGCGCAAAAGGTCTTTTGACTTGGCCAACAACCACCAAGACCTCACAAATACAATCCGCCGCTGTGTTCGCCATGGTTCAGCTTCGACGGCTTTGCCAGTAGGCCCCCTCGAACCCTCCCAAATCCCCGGCTCCTCCAGCAAGAGACGACCGCCACTTTACCCGACCAAATACTCGAATATGCCCCCGGTCGAGGTGGGCTCGATCATGTCAACACCGTTCCCGTCCTTCATGTCAGTTGTTGGAAAGCCCGATACGAGCATCTTGAAGGCTATGGAAGAGTTGACGTCCGCTCCGGAGACATTGCCCGAGAGTGACACCCAGATCCTCGTCACCGACGCAAATCCCCCAACAGAGTCGACTGTGCAGCGCTCTGCTCTCTGCTTACACCACCGCGACAGCGTCACCTCGATGACCTCCGCTTCTACAGAGTCATCACCTACCACCACCAATTCAACCTTTGATTCTCCCTTGATAACAGACTCTTCGCCCTCTTCTTCTCCCGAATCAGCCACCTCGAATGCTCCAGTATCCCCTTTTCGGAACATAATGGTCAGACCCTCGGTAGAACAATCGGGGAACCCTCGACAGCAAACGGCACCGCCAACCAGAGAAAATGCGAACGGCCCTCCAACGAAGCCTGCCTTGGTCCCAGAGCTCCCCAAGAATGTCAAGAATCTATCACTAAATATGAGCGCGGTGGTGCTACCCCGCCCTTCGACCGCACTTGGATTCGAGTCCCACGCGTTCTCTGCCCCCGCGTCACCCTCGAAAGACGCTCCTCGAACAGGCCGGAAAAAGCCGAACAATCTGACAATCAGAACCCCTGGGTTTCAACAGGTGACATTCAATCGCGCATTGGACGTGCCTCCAACACCTAGCTCCAGACCGTCGCTACATCACATGGCTTCTTCACCAGCCCTCGCCTCCCTGGCCTCTCCCACGAAACCTCCCCCAGGAGGGCTGTTCCTGCATTTACCCGCCTCTGGCACAGTTCTGTCTGGGTCTGGCTCAGAGTTGAGCAACTCTGTTCAGTCGACCAATCCTCAACTCCCAAAGGTGAAAGAAGAGGACGAATTCCACCCGCAGAGATCACAAGAAACTCAAGAAAGGGGATACCCGAAAGGACCTGTCCTGATATACGACAGCGGGGTCTACCTATACCTGGAGCCGACGGCGCAAGAGGCGAGCCAATTCGACATGGTCATCAATGTTGCCAAGGAAATTAAATGCCCTTTCGAAATGGTTCCACCGAAGAACGAGATTGAACCCCAGACAGCCATTTCGGAGATGTCGTTCAAATCGGCGTGGGAGTGGCCTCAACCCAACGAAATCCCAACGCCGACTACCCCTCGGCCGAACTTCCACGCTCAAAGGTCGCAGCCTGAATACTTGCATGTGCCATGGGACCATAATTCGGAAATATTGGAGGATCTGTACTCCCTATGTCGACTAATTGATGAAAGAATACAGGCAGGCAAAAAGGTTTTAATACACTGCCAGCTAGGAGTCAGCCGCTCGGCCTCATTGGTAATCGCGTACGGCCTGTATAAAGGCTATCAGCCGGATTTCCACTCGATGTATATGGCGGTGAAGCAACGGAGTGAATGGGTGGGGCCCAACATGAGCCTGATCTATCAATTGACGGACTTCCGGTCAAAGGTTGTCAAGGGAGTCTATGGCGACCATTGCAACAATCCCAAGCCGAGCTGGTGGAAGATACCCTCGTCGGATCCTCCTATCATGGACACACCAGTGGCAAAGCAATCTTCTTGGCTCGGTGAGAGCGCGCCAGTTCAGATGGGTGCTTTTGGCTCTGGGTCTCAAGAGAAAGCTCTGCCGCCGCTGAGGCTTGACAAGGCGCTTCCTCCGGTGCCCCTGTTTCCCCGGGATGAGCAAGCGAATATAATCGCCACACCAGTCAAGTTGAGCCAGATATTGGGAAGTATTGCGAGGCAACCGCCCGAGACCACGAAGCGATTCGTCCCGGAACCGGTTGCTGAGGCACGTAATTCTCCACGTCCTCAAAGCCCTCCACAAAGCGTGTCGCCTAGGCCACTGCCATTCCGCGAGCGATTTGACTCTCCACCTCCCGAGCAGTCACCCAATCCCTCCAAGACGCCCAGGTTAGGGCTCGTGACGAGCTCGCCCAGGATGGATCTCGCCGCTGAGGAACCCGATATTCCCTCGATCTTGTCACCGAGGGCCACAGAATTCATGGTATCCCCATTCGGCATCACGACTGCAGCAGACCTTACCATGGCTAATGGCAATGGCAAGAATGTTAAAAGAGGAGTCTTACTCCCGCGACAATTACAGCAACCTACATCATACGCGCTAGCGGGTCAGATACCGACACCGTTTGACCCTAGGAGTCCCCACCAGCAAGGTGAAGCACCCGAGATATTTCGGAATATCGACGACTTCCTATGAACAGAAGCTACGCATGCAGGACAGGCGGGCAAGGCACGGCCTACTTCATTTTGGATTGATGTCTGAAATAGAATGGACATTGTGGAAGCATTTTGAACATAGCGTGGCGTTTTTTCTGGCAAGGGCAATCCCCAGGGACAGCAGAACCATGAAGATAATGGTCAGCATGCATGAAAAGGGGTCTCCAAGCCCTACGAAAAGGATGTTGGGAACTGTCAGTTTCGAACAATTGTACAACTAGTCACGACAGGAATGGATTGTATGGTGGTTTAATGCGTCAAGGGGTGGGAGAGTCCTCGGATCCCACGCCGCCGAGAAGGAGCTACAGAGGAAGCTCACGGTCTGGATCCGTAAGGCGGTCGTCGAGGGATATGTTGCGATTGCAAATGGAGGTTGAAGACATACCTTACACAACTGAGCGAACAGCCATTGTCTGTCTCGACCGTTGAATAAAATTTCATCCATGAATCATAGCGCTGCTTATAGGGTCCGGTAGACGTGGCAGCATTTCATTGTCTTGATCCGTGCGTCTCTACAGCACGGCATCGGATGAGCTGGCGTCGCTGGCGCTGGTGTCGTTGACAAGGCTGCGCTAAGTGAAATGCGGAGCCGTTTGGCGGCCGTTTTACCGTCTGACGTCGATTGCGGATTTGTTTGTTCGGACCTGCTGTACACCCTCCATCCTCACCGTCGTCTTCCGTCCAGATACTTGTATTAGATGGTCTCTTTTCCTCATATGCCTTTCAGTTCTACAGATTAAGTTAAATAGACTACTGCCCCCTCGTCGCTGAGCCGTCGTTTTCCAGCAGCCCCGCCGATGGTTTGGCGAGGCAGCCGCCTGGCCTAGCACAACGCCAAAATGGCCATGGAGCGCACTCGCATCGCGAAGGTTAGATGATCCTTTTCCCTGATGCGCGACAATCTCGGTCCATGAAGCTGACACGGTCTCCCGCATAGGTTGACGACGTGACCCTCTCGCGGCGAGGAACCCAGGTCAACGGAACGTTGCATCTGACACCTCACCACCTCATCTTTGTCCACGCCGCTCCTCCCAGCGCTGACGGCAAGCCTAGTCGACCCCGAGAAAATTGGATAACATACCCCATCATTCACTTCTGTACTTTCCGACCGAGTCCTACCGCCTCCAGACAACCCTCGTCCATCCGCCTGCGCTGCCGCGACTTCACGTTTTATTGCTTCTACTTCAATGATGATCGGAAAGCTAGGGATGTCTACGACAGTGTCAAAGCGTGGACATGCAAGCTGAGCGGGATCGAAAAACTATATGCGTTTTCATATCATCCTACTGGACCCGAAAAAGATGTGGGCGGCAAAGGCTGGTCTCTGTATGACCCCATGCGGGAGTGGAGGAGAATGGGTCTCGGTGATGAGAGCCGTAAGACCAACTGGAGGATCTCCACCATCAACAAGGACTATAGCTTCTCTCCGACATACCCTTCCGTCCTCGCCGTCCCGGCGAACATCTCAGATAACACTCTGAACTATGCAGGGCGATATCGATCGAGAGCCAGAATACCGGTTCTCACTTATCTTCATCCGGTCAACGATTGCACTATTACTCGTTCATCTCAGCCACTTGTTGGGGTCAGAGGAAATAGGAGTATTCAGGATGAAAAGCTCGTTGCAGCTATCTTCAACACTACCAGGGCTGAACGACCACTATCTGCCTATAACTCTCCGCCGCCGGAAAGGGAGGATTCTGGATCTAGTAAAGATACCAACTGCGCCGTGGTTCTGGATAGTGATATCTCGCAAGCAGACGCCGAGGCCGTTGAAGATGCCATCATTTCCAGGTTTCGCGGAGACGACGATGCGCCAGATGGCTCAGAAGACAGAAGGCCCATGGTTTACGGAGCACAACAGCGAAACATGATTGTGGATGCTCGTCCCACCATCAATGCCCTGGTCATGCAGACGCAAGGCATGGGCTCCGAGGATATGAGCAACTACAAATTTGCTACCAAGGCATATTTGGGAATCGACAATGTTCATGTCATGCGAGATAGTCTTCAGAAAGTCATCGATGCGTTCAAGGATTCTGACCTGACTCCATTGGGTCCGAACCAGGAGTTGCTGCAGAAGAGCAATTGGCTGAAACATATTGGCCTTATTCTGGATGGCTCGGGATTGATTGCTCGACAGGTGGGGTTGCAACACAGCCATGTCTTGATCCATTGCAGTGATGGTTGGGACAGAACTAGTCAGTTGTCGTCTCTCAGCCAGATATGTCTTGACCCGTACTACCGCACGATGGAGGGCTTCATGGTTCTGGTCGAAAAAGATTGGCTGAGCTTCGGCCACATGTTCAAACATCGTTCGGGATTCCTGAATTCGGAAAAGTGGTTTCAGATCGAGAATGAGCGAATCAGCAGAGGGGTTGAGGATGTGGACGGCAAGGAAGAGAAGAGCGGCCCCATGGCAACTTTCGAAAATGCATTCCTCACTGCGAAGGGGTTCTTTTCCAACGCCAAGAACAACGAATCAAGAGAGTCGATCAATGTGGACTCGGACGCGGACATGCCTGGTAACTATGATTCGGAGTCTCAACCAGGAAGACGGATCGTATCTGGGGCTGGGAAGAAGGAGAAAGAGAAGCCGGTCACCAAGGTCAAGGAGACGTCCCCAGTCTTCCACCAATTTCTGGATGCAACATATCAGTTGCTGTACCAATATCCCACCCGATTCGAGTTCACGGAACGATTCCTTCGACGTCTCCTCTTCCATTTGTATTCCTGCCAGTACGGAACATTCCTGGGCGACAACGAAAAGGAACGCAAAGAAGCTCGACTCAGTGAGCGCACACGAAGTGTATGGGATTATTTTCTCGCCCGCAAGCAAGAGTTTCTCAACCCAAAATACGATCCCGTCATCGACGACAACATTCGTGGCAAAGAACGCCTGATCTTCCCCAAGCCCGACGAGGTGCGATGGTGGAACGAACTGTTTGGCCGCACGGACGATGAAATGAACGCCAAGCCCCAACCTCTTGTCAAGCCACAAACTAATGGTGCAAGTGAAGGGGGTGGGACTGAGCTGTGGACATCTCTCTCGGACGCTGGTGGGTCACAAGCTGACTACTCATCCTCTGTGTCGGCGCCTGTGTCCAGGGCTAGGACCCCTGTGCTTGTAGGGCTGGAGACGAGCGAGGCGAGTGTCGGGTTGACTAGTTCTCTTTCTGCAAAGTTGCATCCCAAGCTGCAAGAACCGACGACGGATAGGGCGAGGATGCCTGCGCCCTCTGGGTCTACGCTTGACCTATCGCGATCGGGATCTCGGGCGGCATCGCCAATGCCGAGAGAATCGTTTTCGAGATCAAGAACACCTATCCCCATGGCTTCATCGCCGAAACCCGAGTTGAGGAGTTCCAAGGGCCCGCAGGATGAGCTCATGATGAAGAAAGACCGTGACGACGACGTGAAAACGAGCGACCGCCTCCGAGCCGTTAAGGACGACTCGGCAGCTCCGAATATTCTTTCTACTTCAGACCAAAGCACGGTCATGATCCACCATTTCCCTCACGGGCAGCAAGCACAAGCAGCCCCACTGCCGGCCAGTCCGAGCATGTCCCCCACCATCAAACCGCAGGAGTCGGGTCAAGATAGAGAGAGACAGATAGAAGAACCCCCAAAGCAAGACCAAGACACGGACGGGAAAAGAGAGGCCGAAAAGGACAGTTCTACCGGCGAGACCAGAGATCCGGCAGAGCCGCTGGTAGACGATCTAGATCCCCTAGGTATCGGTGAGGCCAAGGACATCCCGATGGCGCAGCAGAGTCTGTCGATGTCCATGCGGGCGAAGAGAAGAGAGCAGATGGAGTTGTTGATGAAGTGACGTTGCCAATGACCGGAATGCTTGGTGGCCCTTCTTGGTTATCTGGGACGGGGAGGATCGGGGCTGGGACTTGGGGGGCAAAGTCTCGAGAACATACATGGCGTTATGGTTTTCAAGACGGATGAGCGCTGGTTTGCATGGATCTGACATGCAGTGGGAGTGTTTTCTGTTCCAAAGACAAGGCGCCACAGCACAGAATGGCTTTGCGAGAGAGGCGAGGAGAGCAGACTGTCTTAGCAAATGTGACAAACAAGCTGTTCTCAGTCCAACGCAAGCAAGGGCCCCCTTTCCGCCAGCACCAAATCCGGAATGATTTCTCTCGTAGGGACGGCCAGGGTATCTTGCTGGCTTGAAAGTCTTGGGGTTTTTGCCCTGCTGATCGAAGTGAAGGGCGGATTGGTTGAGGGAGTGGCTCTGCCGGCGGCTCTACGCCCCCACATTGGAGCGATACTTTATCCCCATGTCGTTGGAGAGGTCGACATCTGTGACGATCAATCGGGGAGAGCCAGAGGGGGTGTGGGACTTGATTCCATTGATCTATGAGTATCTGAGATGGAACACCCAATCCGGCTAACCTTCCCAACAAGGCTGAGCCCTCCGTATTTTGCGTGTGGAGAAGATAAACGAGGTTGTGGGGTCGAGGCATCAAGCAAAGATGGGGAAAATGTCTTGACGTACGAGGTATTCGGTACCTTGATCTGCGCCAGCCACTCAGTTGCGTCCTGTTAAGCGACACACCCAGGACTAAAACGCACCACCGCTGTCTATCGCAGCCGTTTGGCCCAGCATTCTGCGGTCAGATTCTGCCATAGCTGACGCACAGCCTCCCTCGCCGCCGGTCAGGGAGCCCTGAATTGACGCAAGGCTCCGGTGCAAGGATGCATGGCAGGAACAGCACCATGTCTGCATATGCCCAGTCAAATTATGCCGGAGAGGCTTCTCTTCAACCCTCTTCGCACCATCCACACTTGTACAAGGCCCCACAAACTTGAAGCTAATGAGCCCCCTGATTGAGACCTTGGAGTAGAGACGACAGAGACATCATAGTAGCTGTCGGTGAACAGTGGATTGAAATGTCTGTTGGAGTAGGGACTGTAAGTTGCTGTCCGGAGACAGTCCTCCTTCACTTCTTCCTCCAACCTGCTCCAACCCCTTCCACTCCCCGTGGGAGGGGGCCCGGGTCGACATTCACACACCGTGGCGTGTTCTATAAGTTATATGCCCAGGAACCATCCATGGTTCAAAGGACTCCAGCTCTCTCCCGAGTCCCCATGAGACTTTTCACGATTCGTGGACGGCCATGATTGTCAAATCCTTTGTTGTCCAAGGCTTGCTTCAGCTGGGCTGGGCAGCCACTGTCTCCAATGCCCAACAGGCCTCATCGGCAGATCTGACCGTTTGCTCAGCGCCGTTCAGTCAGGTTGCGACAAACGCCAGCGACAGCAACATCTGGCCCTGGCAAACCTACAAATCATCTTCTGCAAAACCTCCCGCCTTGTTGATCAACAGCACGGGGGAACCACTGTACGAAGGCCTGCTGGTCTTCGCCACGGAAGATGGACCAGTGCCGGCTGCAAGGCAACAATCACCATTGATCATGACTGACGGCGGAGAGCTCGTCTGGAGTGGGCCGGATGAGATCACCTACAACTTCCGAGTGCAAACCCTGTTCGGCGCCCCTGTCTTGACGTACTGGTCCGGCGAAGGCACGGCCGGTGCCGAATCGGTGGCAGGCCACGGGTATGGGCAGGTGAAGATCCTGGATACCAAATACAACACCATACACCGTGTTTGCCCCCGGATCAACCTAACCTTGCCTCCCGGAACCTCGGGGGAATGCATCATCGACGTCCACGAGTCCTATATTACGCCTCGGAACACCATGCTGGTCTCGGCGTACAACACCACGAAGGCTGACCTGACAAGCGTCGGCGGGCCCAAGGACGGTTGGATTCTCGACTCTCTAGCCGTCGAGGTCAACATAACGACGGGGGAAGTCATGTGGACGTGGAGTCCGCTGGCTCACCTGGCACTCAAGGGAAGTAAATTCCCGCTGGCGGGGACAGGCCACAACACCAGCCTCCCGTGGGATTTCTTCCATATCAATGCCATTCAGCCCCTCGGGGAGAATTACCTCATCAACAGTCGTCACTTTTGGACAACCTATCTCGTGAACGCGACGGGGGACATTATCTGGGAGATCAATGGCTTCGACGGAGGGGACTTTGGGTCTTTACCCGAAGGCGGGAAATTCGTAGGTTTCACACTCTCCTATGTTATCGAGGCTCTTCATTGCTTACCGCTCTCCTAAGTCCTGGCAACACTTTGGCCGTCTGGAATACCAAAACTCCACCGCCGCCCTCTTGCATTACTTTGCCAACAACAACGGCCTGCCGGGGGCGGCGCCACAGCTGACCACGGGCCTGATGCTCCAACTCAGTCTCCCGCCGGACAAATCGTCGCCGCCGAAGCTCGTCACCAATCTGACGGACCCCCTGGCCCAAATCGCCGCGTACTCGCAGGGCTCCTACACTCCCCTGCCCAACGGCAACTCCCTCATGGGGTACGGCGCCAACGCCGTCCTGGTAGAGTACGGCCCCGTGACCGGCGCGACGGGCACGACGGGTCGCGTGCGGTGGAGCGCGCAGCTGGGCTACGGCGAGCAACTCTCCGTGTACCGCGCGTACAAGCAGGCGTGGCACGCCACGCCGGCGACGGCCCCGGACTTGGTGGTCCTGGAGGCACAGGACGAGGACGCCCTCGCGCTCTGCGCCGCCAATTCCACCGCGCGCGGCTACGTCAGCTGGAACGGCGCCACCGACGTGACGGACTGGGTCGTGTACGCGGGGTCGTCCAAGACGAGCTTGAAGCCCGTCGCGCAGGTCAAAAAGGCTGGGTTCGAGACCCAGTTCGTCGTCCCGGCGGGGGCGGCGTTCGTGCAGGTTGGGGCGATGGAGAACGGCGGCAACGCCGTGGTCAGGACGTCCAAGGTGGTGGCCGTGGGGTAGATTGGCGCCATTGAGACTGCATGGACTAGGCGGACCTGCACGGGATAACTATCAGAGGCTGTGTAATGAGTTACATAGATAGATGATGTTGTCGCGCACATCGATTTATCAGCCTGGCTGATCTCTGCCACCGTCTACGGTCACACCGCATGCACATGGCAATTAGATTCTCACTTGCCAAGCTAGTCATCCAGGAATTCGCTTAAATCGCTGGCCCAAGATGCTTCCGCTCCACCTTCTCCTTTGCAGCCAAGAGTGACGCGCAAGAAGATATGCCAGTCTCGCCAATCAAACTCTGCTTCCTGTATAACGGCCCACGTTGTCTCGGAATCGCTTTCATGGTGCCCACCGCCGGAGGAGGTAGCTCTCCTGTCTTCGTCGAATTTCTGCCGCATGTCCTACAGTAGAGTGGTGGAGGCCAGTCATGAGGAAAGCACTGAGAAAAGCGTTCGAGGGCATTCGAGACGCGGTGGATGGGAAGGAGGACGAGACTGAGAGTATGTCATGTCCTCTAACAGGCCAAAAGGGAGACACGGAGAGCTAGTCGAGGTCGAGGTCGAGGTCCTGCCCGACTGACTGGCTCTCTCACTTCTCGTCAACATACGCCTTCATCTTCACCAACATCTCTGTCCCCACGACAAGCACACCCAGAAACCATCCCCTCCCATTGGCATGCGTCCCTTTCTACTCTTCCATCAAAGTACAGTTCTGATACGAGGTATTCTCTACAGCTCCAAAGCAACGGCCCGAGCCGCACCCCTCCCTGTCCTACCACCAACCGACTCGACCGACCTCCAAAGACATCCTTCGATATCGCTACCAGCACGCCACCAATCTCGGCGGGATTTTCATCCTCGAACAATGGCTGTTCGGGAGTATGTACGACGAGGGGGTCTCGGGGAGCAGCGAACTTGACGCTGTCGTCGCGTGAGTGTCTTTTTGCTTTTCCGTGCGTCCGTCTTCTCACTGGAGACTTCGCCAGGTCCATCAATGCCCGTGGCCTCGACGCCACCCGCCAGAAATGGGAGGCTCACTGGGCCAACGCGCTCGCCGACTCGGACCTCGACTGGCTGGCCAACTCCGCGCGCTGCAACGCAATCCGGTTGCCCATCGGCTATTTCACCCTGGGTCCGGCCTTCTGTGCCAACACGGCCTTCGCCGCGGCGCCCTCTCAAGTCTATGTCAACGCGTGGTCGGCCGTGAAGCAGCTCGTCTGGCGGTGTTTCCAGCGCGGCATCGGCGTGCTCATCGACCTGCATGGAGTCCCTGGCGGGGCAAATCACGAAACACACTCGGGCACGAGCAGCGGCAAGGCCGAGCTCTGGGGCAACCCGTCCAACCTTGAGCTCGCGACCCGATGTCTGGTGTTCATCGCGGAAGAGACGGTTCGGGACCCGCAGCTGGCAGGTGTTATGGGGCTCCAACTCTGCAACGAAGCCATCTTCGACCCGCCGGGGATGTACGAGTGGTACAACGAAGTCATACAGCGGATATCTGCCCTGGACGCTTCGCTCCCCGTCTACATCAGCGACGGGTGGGACTTGGGTCGCGCGGTCCGGTTCACTCGAGCTTACAACAATCCGTGGGCGCCGACCTGCCCGGTGATTGTGGACACGCACAAATACTGGACGTTTGACGAGAAGGACACGTCGCGCTCACCGTACGAGATCATCGAACAGGTCCGGACCGAGCTTCACGAGCTCGACTCGACTCTTGTGGGCAATGTCTTTTCCCACAAGGCCGCCGTGGCGGTGTTCGTTGGCGAGTACAGCATGGCTCTGGCGCCTCAAACATGGAGCAAAGCGCCCCCCGACCAGAAAGCTGAGCTGATGCGGCAGTTCGGCCAGGCTCAGAGTCAAAGGTGGCAGAGCATGGCGTCTGGGTCGGCGTTCTGGACGTTCAAGATGGACTGGATGCCGGGTTGGGAATGGGGGTTCAAGGCATCCTGCGATGGTGGACAGATTGTGCCCCCGAAGCAATTTGCGCTGACCGTGGGCGAGATTCAACGCCGACTGGCGCGGGCGGACGAGGAGAGGCCCCGGCTCTTATCCTCTGCATTTCAGGGACACGCCGAGTACTGGAAAACCGCGAGTCCGGGGGCCAACTTCGACGACCACCGGCTGTACACCGAAGGCTGGAATCTGGGATGGGCTGATGCCCGCGATTTCTTCGCTGCGCGTTTGGAAGGGCAACTTCTTGGGGCCCCTGGGTCCAGCCATGGAGCTCCGGCTCTGGGAGAGAATCTACCCCTGGCGGCAGACATGATTGGCGCGGTGGATCTCTGGATCCTCAAGCGCATGCGTCAGGCAGGAGCTGCAGATCCGCAGGTCTGTCCGCTTGGGTGGGAATTCGAGCACGGGTTCCGCAGAGCCGTGAGGGACTTTGAGGGTGTCGTCCGCGCATAAAGACGGCGAGAGGTGATGATAGGGGTGTTAGAAGAAGACGCCTGGCTGGGTTTCAATAGAGACATCCGAAACAATCCGTCAAAGGCCACACTCTCACTCTGACCCAGAGTCCAAGACACCGAAACAAAACAGCAAATAGCAAACGGGCAGTCGATGAGAGGACAATAGGTGAGCTGAGCGTGTACTGTTGTCTGAGCCTAGTGTGCGCAGCAGAAACAAAGAGACAGATGCCCTTCCGCCGTTTGTTTGTCGTTCTGCACATTGCCTGAGTACCAGCCAGTTTGGTGAAGGCGGTCACTCTGATACTCAAGAAAGACGCTGGAAATCCAAAAACAGGCCGGCCGGCCGGCCGTCACCGCCTTCGTCGATTCACGAATACCGTGTTTGGTACTTTCGGGCCGGTCACCTAGGGGAGATATACCTTAAGTAGTGAAAAACAGGCTGCTCATCACCTTCTTCGTCGGTTCGTGAATGCCATATCTAGTATATTTCGGGGCGGCCACCTGGAGGATATGCCTAAAGGAGTGAAAAACAGGTCGTTCGTCACCGCCTTCGTCGGTTCACGGACACCCCATTTGGTACTTTTGAGGCGGCCGCCCGGAGGATATCCCTGTAGAAGTCAAAAACAGGCTGTCCGTCACTCCCTTCGTCGGTTCGTGAAGTCCAGTTCTAGTATATTTCGGGGCGGGCACCAGAGGGACATGTAAGTCCACCTGATTGATGAAAGCCAAAAACAGGCTGTCCGTCACCCCCTTTCGTCGGGTCGCGAAAAGTCCACATGCGGTCATTTGACAGGACAGGCATGCTCCCGAAGGATATGAAGAATGTCTCTTGAACCGTCAAAAACAGGCTGTCCGCTTCACACCTCATCGTCGGGGCGCGAAAAGCTACATACAGGAAGTTCCTTGGTAGATGATACAAAGCAACCCCCCCGTCAAAGTGAAGCCTCTACCCACCGGTCAATCCCCTTACGTCGACGCACCAGGAAACTACCTTTGGGCGCCTCACGTACGAATCACAAAGGAGACTCGACTCGTTGAAAATAGTAGAGAGATCTCTTGGCCGTCACCCTCTTCGTCGGTTCGCGAGGAATTACTTTGGGATGGTTCCCTGGGATAGGACAAAGGATGGCCGATAAAGTGAAGAATCTGCATCTGCGTCACTCACCCGGTTCGTCGGTTTGTGGAAATGCTACTTTTGGGGGCGTTGGACTGAGATTGTACGATGAACGGGTAACCCTATCGAAGTGAAGTGTCTGTCACCGCTGTCACTCGGCCTTTTCGTCGGCCATCGAAAAGCCGTAGGTGGGAGCCATTCGAGACGGACCGCCTCCAAGGTACAAACATCCGTCCCCGATCTCTGGGACAGCACCGCCGAGTCAAAAGCGGCTATCACGGGGAGGGGTTGCCGAATGGGTCTTGCTCTGGAGCAACAGCCCTCCCGGGCGGACTCGAGGCTGCAGGGGTCGAGCATGGAGCGATGAGTTCTATTTCAACGCCGCAGGACCTTTGACAGGATGGAGACCAGAAACAGGCTTTCGATGTCGTCCCACTGAAAGGGATTGCCCCCAAGACCACCCACGCTCTGTCCGTGCCGGAGGCATGAAAGCACAAAGACCTGACACACGGTATTCAGGCCGCCCAAGAACAAGAGAACTGTGTGGGCAGTCGAAGAAAGATTTTTGACTTCCCACTTCGAGAGCCAAGTTGCCGCATGCGAGACTACGGCCTTGCACTCTGTGTCGATTGCTTCATACCGACAATCTCCCACGACGGTGTCCAGCATGGGAAGTGCATCCATGCATACACACTTGGTGATCTTACCAGGGTTGTCTATGGACAGCCTGAAGACTGCGGTCGAGGTAGCTGATGGGCATCGAAAGGCAGCAAGGCAGTGACGGGAAAGTTGCAGAACAGGGACACGACACCAGGAAGACGAAGGAGCACTGACATGCAAACGTGAAACAGAATGGCTCGCTTCAAGGCACAAGATCCCCAGTGGAAGGGAAGACAGCAAAGGCGTAGCTTGAAGCGAAACGTCAGGAAAGGCATAAACCAACGATTGGCTCCGAGGCCCTAGAAGTTTTGAGCCATGTTTTCTTGAGCTTCCTTCTTTTCCAAAACCGCATGAATGGCGCGGTGGACAGTGTTGTGGAATGAGGGATTTGATGTCGCACCGTCATCCATCAACGAAGGATCTTTGTTCACGCCCGTTCCAGGACGGACGATCCACCGCCGTGCAGCTGCAGGAAGGATAGCAAGATGGGCAGCCCCCGGGCGCCTAGTGACTTAACCTTTTCTTGCTTTCTTCAAGGAAGTTCGGATGTGTTCGAGGCAGACACGTTGGCGCGGCCACTTCAGGAAGTAATACGTCGTCCGAGTCATTGGCTCTATCGGTCTCATCAACTTGCGAGGGCCGTTTGATGGATGGCGGAGGCGATGTCGAGATAAGAATACGCGTTGCACTTTCTCCAGCCAGGCAATCCATTCACACCCGCCTCTGGCGCCCGGGCAATCAGCCGACAAATCGCTGTCGAGAATGCTAGGGCTGTTGCCTATCCCGCCCAGTTTCCCCGCAAATGGTTCGCAAAGTCTGCCTTTCAACATCAATGACGATGTGGATATCGGATACGCGTTGGATGTTGGTCGCCGTGTGGCTGATAGCGGGCGGGGAAGCAACCAAGGGACGCCTGATCGATGGTGGCAGTGGCAAGTCGACAGGAACGAGACTCGGAAGAAGTTGATCGTTGAGGGGGAACAACCAACGACATTTCACCACTGGGGGGCTGAGAGCCACCAATACAGAACAGGAATCCCAAGAGACAGCCTCTGAGAGGAGAGATATGGGCTCGGTGCTTCTGAATACTGAGACATTCGCATATTCCACAAGCATACAAGCATGGATGGACTTCTGACGCAGCACGCCCGAGCGCAAATCGGGGACTTTCGTTGTGATTGCTCTCAGACTTTCCATCCCAGGAAACTCGAAGATCTTAGCCCGGGGGTGGCATCGAGGAGTTTCAGGTCCGCCACTGCAGCAGCAGATCCAGGACGTTTCAAACAGTCGCGAAAACGCTCGGTGGCATCATGTGATCCAGGCACACCAGGTTGCAATTGCTGCTTGCCTCCACCGGAGTTTTTGCCGTTGGAACGTCTCGGAACCGTTCTATGCATTTGCCACTGGCAGGTGGCAGAGTATGTCTAGTCGTGACTCGATATACTGTGAGCATAGTGGACGTGGCCAGTGCGGCTTTCAACCATGCTCTTCACAGAGCTTGAATGCTGTGAACATGCCAAAACGGGTCAGGCGGCCATCCCAGGCATGAACATGAGACTCAGGCGAGAAAAAAAAGAACGCATCGTCCATTGGGATAGAACTGACCAATAGGCGACACCAGCGGACTCGGTTCGAGAGAACGGCACCATGAGGGTGTCGACACTCAGCCAATGGCCTCGCGTATCACCTTGGGTTGATGCACACGTCAACTGTATTCTCAGCCACAAGGCGAACACGGATACCGGCCAGTAATGGCAAAAGTGGGCGGCTAAGCGGCCTTATCTGTAATAAGGAGCGGTAGATGTTAATTGTTACTTGTACCCGAAGACGTCCTTCGGAGGCCCCCCAAAGTCCGAAGCAACAGGCATCAGCCACAGACGTGGCGAGTGATGTCCTGGATAGTTCGACGTCGCAAGGTTTGCAACAAAGTTACGGAGTTCTTGCGATCGACGGTGCTTTCGTGGATTGCCTTTGGGTTGGGCTGGGTTTACAGCGAGCACAGGGAGGCTGGGTTGGGTCTCGAAGCCTTTGCTGGCGATGAAATGAGGCTGAAAATGATCGAGTTGCGTGGAACGTGCGCAAGGACGCTGTGTCACACTCCATGCTTGCCTCGCCGTCCAGTTGTCGTGTTGACTTGTGGATTGGGAACAACATTGCTCTGCATGGCCGCCCTCGGGAACCGATTCGGTGCTCTGTGAAGCCAACGATAGTAATAGGTTGCGTCCTTGCCTGGGCTACGTTCTGGACCTCTGCTCAATCAACCCAGGTTGGGCATTTACGAACACGATAATGGGAAGAAGACGGGACCTCTGGCAAGGGTCCGGATTCGCTGTCAGAGTAGGCACAACACCCACTGGAGTTCGTGACCTAAACTCTGTCAGATGTGTGGACAAAGATACTTACATGTGATCGACCTGAAAGTGTGACACGCAAGGAAGCAAGCGGCAATGGCTTTACTGGTGCGTTTTTAATTGGTGAAGGAAGCGCTTTATGACATGTCCGCAAAGATTCGAGAACGTGTCTCAGGGAATCGATCGGGAACACAGTCTCTGGTGGCGCAAGGGTACCCCTCCAACATGTCTGAATGACTGCCTTGAGTATACTCGTATTCCGGGTTGTCAGGCAGTAGTCTGGGACATGGCGTAGGAGATCGTTGTGGGGGTTGGGCAAGATCGAAGATGTAGCCAACCCTGAGCTCATAGAGCCTCAGATCGAATGCCTGCTCTTACACAAAACTTCCATGGTGTATTGCCTTGCCCTGTTTTCCAACTTTCTCACTGGCAGATCATGGAATACCGCGTACAAGTAGAAATGGAAGCTGGGAGGGAGCATTCCACCAATCACTGCCAGTCCCATATTCTGGATCACGTCTTCTCTTTACTTTGTTAGGCCTCTGCCGGGTCTGGGGTGCGGTCCGCATGGAGGGCCGCTCGGTTGGCTTATGGGTGGAGCGCAGGGGCCAGGGGGCCGTCAGAAAGAAGCTCCCCAGCGCCACGGATTGGCTGTTGTGATCTTTGGGCGCTTTTGATCGAACGGGTTTGAATGGAGACCACCTGAGCAAGACCTGAGCCGAAGATGCCTTCAATGGGCATTGAAAACCATGGCCATCTGCAAAGTTGCCTGGGGATGGCTTTACACCGCTCTGGTCATGCTTTGGGTTTCCCATGGGCGACATGGACGAGTGAGGGATCGATTTGGGCTGCGCCTCGTAAGCTAGATAGGCTGGCGATGGAGACCATGGGCAAAAGTGATGAACTTGTCCAATGCGATCTCGCCCAGCTTCTGAAGTGGAGGCGTCGAGTCTCATGCAGGCTCACTCACCAGGAAAATGACTTGGCCTCGAGCCCCCAGACGTGACTTGTGGCACGACGTGGGCGAGTAAGAGCAGGGTCACAAGCTTTGTCGCAGTTCCTGGCGTTCGGCACACGATGGCCAGCGACATGCATGGATCAAAGATGGAGCTTCGTGGGGAAGAATGCCACCGCCAGGCCAGTAGAGTCTGCGTTGCTGATGTGAAAGCGTGACACATTACACACTGATGCAAGCGGGCGAGTTTTGGCGACCAGGAGGTCAAATGAAAGTCATTGGAGAAGCGATGGCTTGTTGCCTGGCGTCACGAAGGGCCTCCAAGTCCAAGCAGATGATGGCTAGCGGGCTGATGCAAGTTCGTGATGGACATCCATTCGGAGTCTGGTCTACGAATCATTCAGCGTGACACTCGAGGATGAGTGCTCGGTAGGTGAAGAGAAATGAGCGAGGCAGTCAGAGAGCGAGCGCGACAGGGTCAGCTGGAAGAGAACGAGCAACGAGCAACGAGCAACGAGCAACGAGCAACGAGCAACACCCAAAGTCGATGCCCATTACCTACAAGTAGACTCACCACCTGCTGTTCTATCTTTATGCCTCCTCCAATGCCCCCTCCTACGCTGGGCCGTGGGACGAGAAGCCGCCAACTGGCACTACGGGGGGCACTCGTACATGGATTAACTGGGGCCGGGGCTGACCGTATATCGCTTTCCTCCCGAGTATTCGCACCCTAGTGACCAACTCTGTAGATTGTGTCATGATAGCCATTTGCAATGTACTGGAGGTATTGAAACGCCGTGGCACTGGTGGCACTGGTGGCACCACATGGTCCTGCCGCTCAGATGTCCCCAAACTTCCCCCTCGTGCCTTGAAGTGAGATCGACAGGCCACCACGCCACGTTTTAGGACGACGGCAACCATGGATTTTCGCAGGACCGGCAGGAACAGGCAGTGGATGGTCGACAAACATGCATCAACCCTGGGGCGCGGAATTGTTCGGGGGGGGGGAGGTGGGAGCATCAGGGGATGTGCCATGGATGGAAGGTGAAGAGAAGTTCAACGTTGCTTCTGAGGCAAACAAGGGCCGGGCCCGGTCAGGATGAAGAGCGAGGATGATGGATGGGTGGATGGATGGGTGGGCGAGAAGGTGGGAAGTCGGCGAGGGCCAAATGGCGAATGACGACACAACAAGCCCGCGCCTCTTTTCTGACAGCGGCTCCACCGGCCTGGTTTCTTTTGGCTCGCTACGGCTAGGTGTTTAGGTGGCTCTCTTCTCCGCCCTCCGTAGCATTCAGCACTGCTTAGCTGCTTAGCTGCTTAGCTGCTCGCTGCTCAGCAGCTGCTCGTTCTCTCAGCACTGCCAAACCCTCCAACGGCTCGCCGGAGAATTTGCCAAACGGGTGGCTTTTTGAGTTTTTTTTCCCTTTTCCTCTCACATCAGAGTCCGAGACGGCGGCAATGGCATTATTGGAAGATGCACGAGCAGAAAAAAGAAGGCGGCGGATGGTTGTGCTTGCAGGGAAGCCCGTAGCCATTCACCACCAGGATAACCATCCCATCACTGACCCCCCCCCTTCGTAGCCATTATTTGCCTCTTGTTGCCCTCAGACCCTCACGACCCCAGACCCTCTCTTGGTCAAACCTTCCTGCTCTTTTCCCTCCGTTTGCTTTTCATCCATCCGTTCTCCTGTATCTCAACCCAACCTGCCACGCCCTCAAATCTCTCATCCTTCGACACGTTGACAGGAGCCCGCTCGCTGGTGCCAGTAAAAGTGCCGCATCGAGCACGGCCCCCTTTACATAATCATCCACGCGGATCGGGAACGCTGGCAATCCATCGTCGATCGGTCAAGGGGCAGCGCCGCAGTGGTCGGTCGTTCGTTCGCAAGAGTCCAAGCCATCAGGGCCAGAAGAACAACAAAGAAACACACCACGCTCTCACAGACCACCGCATCGGGACAGCCCCGTAGTCCGTGACTCGGCGCACCCCCCTGGCAGCCTGGATCCCGTCTCGGTGCCGTTGTTTTCCTGCTGGGCTTAACTGGCTTTACTGCCACGGCTGGATCTTGACTCCCCCCCCGTCGTCCCCTTTTGTCCCCAAACGTCAGCGGCTTTAACGCTGCGCATCCGCCAAATACCTCGACTGGGAACTCGAACTTGTCCTCAAAAGACGGTCGACTGATTCCTCACCTCTCTGGAACCTGTTCACCATTGTTCCCATTGTTATTGTTATCATTATTGTAATTATTTTCAACCCATCTCCCCTATTCCCCAGTCCATCATTTTCACCAACCACCTCACCTCGAAAAATCCCCGACCACCGACCGAGGCCAACACAATGCACGCCACGACCCTCTGTTGACCGCCCTGTACAAAAACAACAACACCACCTTCAACCCACTCCTTGGTTGATTTCCACTCCTTCACCCACTTGTACCAGAATTCTACACGACCATGGCTTCACCCATACCTCCCGATCCCTATGTGGCCTTGGGTGTTTCCAAGGAAGCTGATCTCTCTACCATCCGCTCCGCTCACCGGAAACTCGCTCTCAAGTACCACCCTGATCGAATAAAGGATGAAGCTCTGAGAGAAAAAGGCAAAGATGAATTTCAGAAGATCCAGGAGGCCTATGAGATCCTCAGCGACCCTGCCCGCAGGCAACGGTATGATGATCAGGTGCGGTTAGCAGAGCTTCGAAAGGAGTCCATGATGAGAGATCCGCCACCGTCGAGCACAACCACTCGCACCTATCCCATGAGGCCTGCACCGCAAGCAGCCACATCTCAACCCCGTGATTACAACGACCAAGGAAACTACTTTGAGGAAGTCCGCCAACCGCGCGATTCCTATGAATACCGCGACCCTTATGATGACAAACCTCCACGAGCAACCTCGCGAAAGTATGCCGAGTTTGAACGACGCCCCGCCCCGCCTCCCAAGACCTCCGAGAAATCTAGAAAACCCACGGGTGTCTGGCCTGGCATGCCTGCAGCAATGGCAGCTGGCAAGTTCAAGGCTCAAGCAGAGAAGATCAGGAACAGCAAAGCAGACGAGAAGAGAAATGACAAGGAGAAGAGGCGGGAAAGAACGGACAAGGCACAGACCAGGAGACCCGCAAACTTCGAGGGCACAGACAGCGATTCTGATTACACCGAAATTCGCCCCTCGATGAAATCATCTCGGTCCAAGACCACCTCGGCTTTCGATCGTCCTTCGGAGAGACCTCGACCAAGCCCACGGGCCGAACGGTCTCGCGACTTGGAAGAGGAGAGCTTTGATGAGAAATGGGAACGACATCACGAGGAGAGCAAGGCCTATATGGCCAAAGCGAACAACCGCCCTAGTCTGGATCGCAATGGATCAGATGCCTATCAGTACTGGATCGGAGAGTCCAAGGGCAGCGGCCGCAAGAGTGGCTCGGACAATGAAAAGAGACCCGGGTCGTCCAAGGGCCGACGGACACTCCCAGATGACTACTTTCCACCATCTTTCACCAAATCTACAACCTCTCCGTCCAACCTCCGAGCTCATGTCGAAGAGCGTATCCCGTCGAGACCCACGACGCGGGAGCGTGAAAGGGAGCGTGAACGAGACCATGACCGAGAGCGAGAGCGGGAGCGGGAACGGGAACGGGACCGAGATCGTGGCGACCACCGAAGACCCCCGCCTGGCCTGCATCGTTCTCAGACTACACCGATTCCCAAAGTATCGTCATCGAGAAAGGACAGTGCACCGGCCAAAGGCTCCAACTTGAAGCATGGCGAGACAACAATGCACGACTCTGGATATGGCAGCAGTTCCAGTCCGCACACGCCTGAGATGCGGGAAGAGAGCCCGCCTAGGTCGGGCAAATCGCGATATCCTTCGACAACGTCAACCAAGTATCAAATCGTCGATCCGGATCCTGACGCTGATGACTACGGACGAGCCCCAAGGTTGCGGGAGGTGTACGGCGAGTACGACGACCGCTCCCACAGGAGGTATCACCACAGCCCAGAACCCATTGTGGTAGAGCCGTCACGGGACTCTGACCGCAGAAAGGAGAGACCGGAGCGCCCCCGGGTTGATACCAAGAAATCTCGCGGCGCTGCCATGATGCAGGACTTTATCCCACCTTCCCCTACCATGCGACGAAGCGATTCTGCACGATACGAGGAGAGACAATCCCCACGGTCTCCCCGTGACACGCCACCTATCTCGCGCAACAACAGCGGCCGGGAGAAATCATTTGGCGAGACCCTCGAAGACCGAGAGCCCTCGAGATACACCCGACCGTATCCCACGGACAAAGTCCACATAACCCCTCGTCGAGAACCGCAATATTCACAGTACGAGTATCGCGAACCCGATGACCGATCTCGGTTCCGCGACGCTCCCCGAATGACACCACGGCGGCCGTCGGTGAATGCATACTAACGAGCCGATGACTTTTTGCATGCCCTGTTGGGCAGGGCCTCGTCAGTAACCGACACATTCCTCAGCTCGACCCCCTTCCGCTGGGGACAAACTTTCGCAAACCTTCTCTCACGTACATATCAGGAACGAGTCCACTCATGGTCATCTTTGGATTCGTTGCCTTTGTCTAAATACAAGCTTGTCGGGTGACGATTGGGACCGGATGGGGCGGGAGAGGGAAGGGCACGGTTGAATGGATATGAAGAGACATATGGATCAGCATCCGAATAATATGCATCCTGAAGGAGGGTTCAAACAGACATATATCCCAGGTCGACAGGACTTATCGGAACCTACACCACCACATGTGTAGCGCCAGCCTTGAACAAAGGAAAGGAATTTGTCTGGGTTTTAGAGGATCGGATTGTATAGCTCGTATTATATGACAAATAATTCCCCAGTGGGAATTGACGAAATGATGAACCAAATTGAGCATAGAAAAAAAAGTAATCCATATGGTCTTGTTTGCTCTCGGAATTGGATACATCGTGTTTTCATGAGATTGCCTCTGGCCCTTTATGTGGCTAGTGAGTGGCCGTTTTTGTTGACATGGGACATGGATGGAGCATTGAGGTCAGATTAAGCGAGAAAACGCCCCCGACGTTCGTCCATCAAGGTCCCCAAGCAACATGCAAACCTGCAATTCTGCCCTATGTCCTAGCGATTGTGTTCTTTATTCCCTTTTGTCAGGCAAAGCATAGTTTCCTTCCCATGATATTGTAGCATTGGCCTCCAATCACCGTTCGGTACACGCTCTTCGACCGCGATCCTGAAATCCCGCATTCTCGCCCCCTTTGCAGACCGCCATTCTGCAAGCCCCTCGATACGAAGCATTCTTTCTGCGAACCGCGCCCACTCTCGTGCACGTTAGGGCCCGTCGAGACTTTATTCTCCGGCTTGTTCCACGTTGCGCCCGTCGAGTCTGTTTGGGAAGGGGTCTGTTCGCATGGGCGCCGGGGTCTCGCAGTTGTACATGGCGCATTGACACTGAGAGGAGGGGAGGCCCAACTTGCGCACCTCAATAGTGGCTAATACTGCTGATGGCGGGCATAGCAACTGCAGGACCTTCGACTATGGTCGTTAATGGGGCCAGGCCGCCGTACGATGCAGTGGGTTCCGCCAGTCAAGAGGTGAGTCCGCGCCCTGGGCAGGGTTACACGCTACATGCATGGGCTTTGACAATACTGACACAAATGACACGCCAGAACACGACTGCAAACAAATCTCGCCCAGGAGGGCTGCGCCAGAACTCTTCAGGATCCACGCGTGCACCGTTATCCGCACTGGCACCGAACCGCAAAGACAGCACTGGCGTCAATGGACGACCGGCTCCGCATAGCAGAGTTGAAGAGTTGGGCCAGCGGGACACCAGTCTGATACGGAGTGGAAGTGAGTCGGACAGCTTGCTTGATCTATACAAGAGCAACCCGAGCAGCGGTAATGTCAGCCAAAACCACGCCGACAATGATATTCCCGAGAACATGTACCGGCCCTCCGACGATGATCCGGAGGGCTGGATTCATCGGGACAAGTTGGCCAAGATCGAAAGCGAGGAATTGCAAGCGGCCGGTATCAACCTGGCCAAGGCGAGGAGGACCGTGACCAAGGGTGCGCAAAGGGACACCAGTCGAGGTCGACGCAGCGAGGACCGCAACACGTCCGAATATCGCAGAGTGGAGTCCGAGGAGACGAAAACACGACTGCCTGAGCCTCTACCAGAAGCGGAAGAGGACGAAAGAGCAAACTGGGATTTCCGCACCCCGGAGGAGATTGCGGCCGAGAACGCGTCGTCTCAACTATACTTGAGTCCTACGCTAAGGAAATCCGGTTCCAAAATACCAGTGTTGACATCGAGTCCTCTACCCATACCGCAACAAACAATCGAGCGAGACACCCCGCTGGTCAGGAAACGTACTATTAGTAACAGTATGAGTCCCGAAGATGGTATACCTGTCTTCAAGACCAGGATCAGAAAGGGAAGCATAGGGAGCCAGACGATGCAGGACGAAGGCGATTCTGCATTACTCACGACACCTGTTCCCAACAAACAGCTAACCTCCAAAACATCATCTCCCACCAAGAATCGACCCAAGACAGCCCAAGGCTCCCCCCCAGGCACGTCGGCTGGCCGTAAGACATCTGCCACCACAAGGAAACCTTCCACTAACGCCAAACCCGGCGCAACACCATCCACAAACCAACGCCCGGGAACGAGATCAGGAGAACTCGATCGACCTCGGACAGCAGTGAACCGGCCAGAAGGAGATCCGCCGTGGCTCGCCACCATGTACAAACCAGATCCAAGGCTCCCTCCCGAGGAGCAAATCATCCCCACGCACGCTCGCAGACAGCAACAAGCACAGTGGGAAGACCAAGGCGCGGTCCCGAGCACATATGATCGGAACTTTTCGCCTCTGGCGATTCATACGGGCAATGGGCAGGTGAAGTCGCCTTCACCGATCATTCCCCAGTCGGCGCAGCTGGGCGAAAAGGAGACTGACGGCGCAGATGGGGGAAGTGCCTGGCCTCTCAAACCCGGGCCTAATGTCAGGAACTCTGGGGCGGGTAGCATGAGACCTAGTACGGGGGGAAGCATAAATGGCGGATACAGTACGATGCCTCGAGTACCGAATCCCGTGCAAAGCACCGGAATGGGAAGTATCACATCCGTGCCCACTCAGCCGAACACCAGGATGCAGGTGCAGCGGGTGCAACAAGATGATATGGAGGAGAAGGTGAAGGTGAAGGGTTGCGGGTGCTGTGTTGTCATGTGAGGAAAAAGGCCAGAAACGGTACTACAGCTTTCTTCTGTACACATTCACAAGACATAGGCTTGATTTTCATTTGTGCCAGGGACTGTTGGCCCGGGGGGGTGGGGGAGGGGGGGTTGTGAGTGTGTGGCCTTTGCTTGCTGTTTCCATGATTGCAATTTTAGCGGGAGTGATCCGATATTTTTTTTCCATCGTCGGGTGTTCGCTGGGAGATTCTTGGGTGAGAGGGTGTTGGCGAAGAGCTGCAAAGGAGCGAAAGCAGGCTTTTGACCATTTTCCAGGCCCCTTTTTTCGATAGCAGAGACAGGAGAGGGGAGACTGGGTTCCAGCCGGGTGGAGGGCATAGACGAGGCGAGGTCAACTCTCGAAAGGGAAGATCGATCGAGAGTCCTGCGCACCACATGTCTCTGGCATTGGCCATCGTGGTCGACCCGATTGTCTCGGTTTGAACGTGTCAAAGGCAGATACCCTGTGTACAAGCATCAAAAGTCGATATCAGAGCACCCCTTCTGGTCTGGTGGTTGGTATGAGAATTGGCGCAGCCTCGTAGCGACCAACAGGGATGACGATGTGCTGCCGGTTTTAGACGCTGTGGCATCTAACCGCATTGGGGTTGCCGGGATTTGTCTTGCCGTGATGACTGATCGCCGCATCCTCCTCCTCCATCCGCCATACAATCTCGCCGGCAACAAATTGGCCCCCCGCCTGCCCTGCTCCTCCTGCTGCTTGCTTCCATCATCGTCATCGCCCTCCAAGATTTGTCAATCTGCATATCCCAAATAGATCTCTTTCCCACACAGCCTCTCGTTGACTCCCCTGCGCTGATTTCGCAATCGCGGTCCTTTCTCCAATTGGTAATCCTCTCCGAAAACGCCAGAAGCCTGAGCATCCAGACCGTGCGGCAGTCCTCCCTGGGGTTTTATCATATAATAGTCCCCCCCTCCTTCTGCCGCCCTCACTTCCAAAGAAACATCTTTTAGACCAGACACTCCCAGAACATATCAAATACCGCCACAATAGCTTCCTCAATCTTCTCCCCGTTCCGCACCATCGTCCGCACCTTTTTCAGCGCGCCGTCAGTATCACCCGCCGCCATGTCCGCCGCCAAACAAAAGGCCCAGCAGATCATCGACGAGAACCCCGTCGTGGTCTTCTCCAAGAGTTACTGCCCATACTGTCGGGCATCCAAGACGCTGCTGAATGAGCTGCACGCCAAATACTATTTGCTCGAGCTGGATGAAATTGGTATGTTCCTTTCTGATTTTCTGCGCTCTCCAATGGCGCATGGACTACATTTTCTTATGCGGAGTTACTGACTTTTCTTGTCTAGACGATGGCGCCGCACTTCAAGACGCTCTCGAAGAGATCACCGGCCAGCGCAGTGTCCCCAACATCTTCATCGACCACAAGCACATTGGAGGCAACTCGGATTTGCAGGCCAAGAGAGGCCAACTTAACGATTTGTTGAGCGCTGCTGGTGCTCTTTAAGCAAGAAGTCACTTAGAGAAGATGAAAAAACGCAAGTACGCGGAGTGGTTCAGGGCTAGATCTGTCTCGACGATCGACTTGCAGCAAATGATTTTCCAAAAGACTTGCCAGCTGAGAGCAATGATCTTTGGTCTTTGAAGTGGAGGTAGAGTGCATGATACAAGGTTGAAATCAATGGCCACTTCAAGAGTGATAGATGAATATATTATACATCCTCCCGGCAAGAACTCCCATTTCCCAGTTGTGTTGTTTGGAGTGAGGGTTCGTCCAGATCTATCATGCTGTCCTGTGCACCGTCTTGATAACGAGCGAAGGGTAGTACAAAGCGAAAGGTACAGAACAAGTACGACGAGAACCGCAACAGGCTACCTTCCGTGCTTTGCCCCGTGTCTAGCCTGCCGTATGTCTACATACAGCGCAAGTCCCAGCGGCGATGGAAAGAGAGAGACAGAGGGGGAGGTGAGTCTTCCTCTTTCGAGCAGAGGCTCCTCAAGCACGGTGAGCGCATTGCGCGGTCCATGCATTGTACGGGATGTGCGTCCTGGACCGCTCAAGGGGACGAGCGATCCACGCCTTTGCTGTGCGTGTGTGTGTTCGAATATGTCTGGTTGTGTGGTCATGGTTTCCCATGAACATGCATGTATACATGTATGGTATGTATGTAATTGTACACGAACCTATCTCGTCCCTTTTTGATTCTCGAACTTGTGTACACTAATCAGGCTTTTTGTGTTGAGAGTCGAGTGTTTCCTCAAAATCTTCACCCTCCACGCCGTTCGAGGATATTGGGTCCCTCGCATTTTGAGCTCAATGCGATCTCGGCCGGAAAAAAGGGGCGCATTAGCCCACCATCTGAAGGCCCCAGGAGAGCCTCGGGCAGATTGAAGCCCATGCAAAGGCCTCCCTCCCCTATATCTCCGCACCGGGCTTGACCTCGCTCATACAACCTGCGTCGCCACAGTCCCGACCGGCCGCTCCACAAACTCCATACAGCCTTCGACGACGTTCCGCCGCGCGTCCTCGCTGCTGACGTTCTTCCCGGCCAGGTAGCCCAGCCAGAGCAGCCTGCCGACCCTCTCGTCGGCCACGGTCCCCATCTGGATGCGATCGCCCTTTTTGCTGTCCTCGTTCCACACGGTCATCTTGCCCTGCGCGTCCCGGGCCAGGAGCAGGATGTCGCCCTTGGGCAGCTTCCTGCGCGCGCTGCCCCCGAACGCGGACTTGAACTCGTTGAGCGCGGCGCCGAACGACTCGTCCTGGAACGAGGCGTCGTGGCGGTCCGACGCGAAATGCGCCGAGCGCGCCGTGACCCCCCGCACAAAGCCGTCGCGCAGGTGCATGAAGTCGGTGTTGCGCGTGGGCACGATCCGGAAGGCGGTGCGGAGCCCGCCGTCCTTGACGATGTCGTTCCAGATCTCTTCCCCGCGGTCCGGGTCGAGCAGGAGCTCCTTCAGGTGCGACTTCTCGCTGGGCACGAGGGTCGTCGCGACGCTCTCGCTCGGCGGGACGGCCGCTTGGACGAGCCGCTGCTGCAAAGCGGCGATGTCCGGGACAGCGACGTAGAGGCCGACAACGTAGACCTGGATGCTGAGGATGGACACGGTGCGGATGCCCAATCCGACGAGCTGGTATTCCACGTCGGATTGGCTGCCTTCATTGGCTGATGCCGGTGTAGATGGGGGCGCATCGGATGCAATATGGATGATTCGAGGGAAGAAGGGGATGGAACTTGTGCCGGTGGGTATCTGTTCGGCGTCCTGAGGCTTGGACGAGGGGTCGACGATGGAGCTGGTTATGGAAGGCGGCGCGTCCAGCCGGACCACGCTTGAGGGGGGTTTCTCCTCCGCGGTCGACGACAATGCCGCCTGTGTTTCTTTTCGTGGATCCGGATAGAGTGATATCGTGCCAAAGATGGCCAAAGTGCACGCTGCAATCCCATACCCGGCCCAGCGCATGCGTTTCACCGTCCTGGCTCGCTCGGCTTTGTCCTTCCTGACATCCGTCTCCCGGTCCACTGTCTTCTGGTATTTTCGACGGAGCAGCTCTGAGGAGCCGTAAGTCGGGATCGGGGAGGAGAAAGAGGGCTGTGGGCTCGTAGGCTCATTGTGCTGGGTGCTGCTCGAGAGGAGGCGAGTGAGATGGGGGCTCGACTTGGGAGGGGACGCTGATGGTAGCTTCGAGGATGTGCAGCGGCACACCCGCCCAGAGAGCAGAGCGCGAGCTGGTGAGACACTCATCGCGGGCAGGTCACCGCGAAGATGTCGGAGCAAAAAAACAACAACAGAGCTCGATGACTGCAAAGAGGGCAATGCACTACTACGAACAGTGGGATGTTTAATGACGCCAGTGGAGGTTGAGCTTCGGCGAAGATTTTCCGGCCAAGCCCAGTTCAGCCTCGTCGACGAGAACATTGACACCGCGTCCAACAGTCCTCGCACTTATGCTAGCTACACATTTGCCTTTGCTCATGACCCTTTCTGCTCTCTGTCAAACAGCAGCCAAACGTTGATGTTAGTCCTCGGTGACTTCTGCCCCCCAGCTCTTCATATTGCTTCAGCACGCTTACGTCCGAACCTCCAGGACCATTCTGTTGTCGGGAGTTGCAATGATCACCACGACTTTGCCGTGATTCCACCTTCATTCCTCTCGGCCAAAGTGCTCCTCAGATTGGTACATGTGCAAATTCTCTCTGGATCGATCAACATTCCTCGCTGGCGTAGTGCGCTTCTCATAGACATGGAATCTGCTACCAGCCATCACCCATTTGCAGGGCCATTGTCATTGGCTTCCCCACGCTGCGGCGAAGGCGTCTGCTCGTCTCCGTTCGTTGTTGCATCATGTTGTTCGTCGAAGCCAGCGTTCCTCAACACCCTATCCACCTCCCTGCTCACGCCTGGAATCCCCTCCTTCAGTTTCTGTGCGAAAATCTCTGTAAAGTCCCTAAACGCCTGCTGTTTGCCGTTGATCACTGCATTCCCTCTCTGCACATTCTCCACGAAATCTCGGGTGAAGATATCCGGGTTGCGGCCGTCGTCTACGTAGTCCACTATCTCGGGAGCTATCGCGACTTGGTGGATGTAGTTGTTGGGGGATTCGGTGGGCGAAGTGAGGCGCTTTAATTGAGAGAGGGAGTTGGTTAGATCGGAGAACTTGTCAACCAGCAAATCTCGGGTCGCGGGGATGTAGCCGTGGGTTTGGATTTGGATTTCGGTAAGATGCTGGATGATGTCTTTGATAGTATTGTGCACGTTGCTGGTGTCCTTGACGGGCGCCATCGCGTCGCCGTCGGTGTTGGAGTTGCTCAAGAGCCGCCCGGCAACAGGCAAATCCTCAAAGTCGGAGTGGGAGCGGTTGGGAAAGGCAAAAGGCTCTTCAACCGTCCCAGGAGCAGTCAAGTGCTTGTTGTCGTGATCAAATGGTCGGTAGTGATCGTGTGCAACGCTTGATCCAGCTGTGGCGGACAGAAGCTCCTGTTCAGCTCCCTTCCACTCGTCACGGAGACGGACGTTTGGCCAGGTATCCTGTGGTGAAGACTCGTCGGTGATGGGAGTCCTGAAATCAGAGCAGGGCTCAACCTCGGAAAAAATAGATGGCGCTCCTGACAGGATTGTCCCTGGGGATGGGGAGAAAGTAGCTTCAGAGACTGCTGTTGCCGCCGTTTCTATCTGTCCTACAGCAGAGGCTGAAGGAAATCGCCCTTGACGGCTGCTGCTGAGGATGGTATGCAACCGAGGGATCTTGAGCGTCACAAAAGATCCAGCACCATCATACAAGAACTTGCGAACTCTGCCGTTGTACCACGGGAACTGTTGCAGTTTCTCCCTGGGGAGACGTATACCGATTCTGTAGACGTATGGGGTCTTCTGGTGACGGACAACACGCTGTGTGGATTCATTTCGAAAGCCTCTGCCGACTCTTCCAGCCCTGACGGTGGGTGTCCCAGCGCCACTCCGCCCAGCGCCCGTGCGTTGTGGGGTGCCAACTCTGTGATGTTTGTCGCGGTTTGGGGGGGACTGTGGATTGGTCGTTTGAGCGTTCGACGCGCGAACCGCCTGTGGCGCCCCACGCCGAGGGGTCGAAGCCTTGTACGGTGCCATGCCGAGCCTTGAGAGAGATGAGACTGCGCAGGTCGAAAGGTTTACCATGCAAAGGGTGCCGACAGAGCGAAGGATTCTGCGGATTTGAACGAGGCGTCTAGGCAATGGAAATGAGAGGATGTTGCAGTTGAAGATGAAAACCTGGGAAGGAAGAGAGACAAAGTGTTCAGCTCGTAAATTGCAGGCTTCGTCAACCGCCAACATTCACTTTACTCTCATTCACTTCTCAGACCCAAATCACGCCGGTCTCGAATCCGAACAGAAATTCGTATGCTTGCCCTAGATTCTACATGTACTCTAGTTTCCCATTATACTTCTTTCGTGCGTACAGCGGTGGTGCTCTTCGGGCCGTCTATCGAGGTTTCCACCATTTCAATTCCCGCAAGACTGGGATACCTCCTGCTGAAGTTGGCTTCCCAGTCTTCGTCCACGTTGGCAGCCGGGGCATTCACTTCACTCGCACTCACCACGGCCGGCTCTGCCATGCCACCCGTCCGCAGCACCTTTGGTTTCGGCGGTGCGGTTGGCTTCTGTCCTCGGGAGTCTACCCTAGTGAGGTCTGTCAATGAGGCTGGTGCAGACGCCACAACTTCGGGGATGCCGTGTCTTTCCAATTTGCCGGTCGATTGAGCCTGGGGGTGCCTGGACGGTTTAGGTGACCGCCTTCCATCCGAGTGATCCTGCTGAGGCGATGGGGATTCAGTGTAATGACCATAGCCGGTTGCTGTTTTGTGCGTGGGCCGATCATTCTCGCTCAGCAACGACTTCACCCTGTTCTGGATGGTAGCTGACCTTCCCACCCCTCCGCTGCTGCCGGCAGCTCCGCCTCCTCTTGCTGCTAGTCGCTGCCTGTACTCTGCGGCTGCCTGAGCCACTCTTCTTTCTTCAGCCTCGAGTTTGCGCTTTTCCATCTCCCGTCTCATTTCAGGTGACAGATCCTCCATGTCGTCCCACGGCTGACGGTCGTCGCTGAGGTCCGTGGCCTCGGAGCCCGCAATTGGGGTGAGAATGTTAATGGGATCGCGGGAGGGTGAGTCGCTCCGTTGTCGGTGGTGAGCCGGGTCGTTGTTGCTCTCAAACATTTTGAAAGCATCTCCAAACTTTCCTGCCAACAGTTTGGTTGTTCCCGCAATATTAGGGACGATGGATGGCAAACTGGCTCTTTTCAGATGCCTTGAGCCACTACCCAACCTTCTATGGTGCCTGCGCGACTTTTCCTCCTCTTCTTTAGCCTTGAGGAAGTCCACGTCTGAGGTAATGTTTGTTGCGGATTCAACATGCGTCAAAGGCGCCATTTCAGGTTCTGCGCTCTTAAATGTCGTGTCATAGTCAAGACTTTTAATTTCTTTGTCTTTGATATGAGTCGGCCTCGCCCCGATGTTAACGCTGGCCGGTCGGTTCCTGAAATTTAGTGACCTTGACCTGTTCACTCCAGAACCGAGTTCTCGCATGGTGGGACGACCACCTTCCAGAGAGGGGCGTGACGAGGTTGGCGACTTGGGCTCTAGATCCCCAGCAAGCTGTGACCTGTGCCCATCTTCTCTAAGGAGATTTGCCAGCCTTGATACCTCTTTGTTCCGAGCAGATCGGGGTTCTCTAGGGGGTAATTCCATGGTTTCGTATTTCTGCGCCGCCGGCGGTTTCGGCGTTTGCTCGTTGGGAGGAAAGCGGTGTATTGGACGATCTGCAAATGGTTTCGCATCCGTAGTAGGAGGAGGCGAAGGCGTCGTCATGGTACCAGTAGATACCATGGCGGGCTTGGGGGCAGTGACCGGTGGTGGGCCGACCCCGTTTGCTCGTGCTTGGGTCTCTTTATTTTCTAGAGACTTCTTATGCTGTAACACAGTTTGCGATTTGCTCATGGGTACCGGTTTCTCTGTGGTTGGTTTCGGCTTTGCTGGGCTGGGAGGTCTTGCGAATGCATCGTCCGCCAGAGCGTTAGTGACTCGTTGTGCAAGGTTCACGTCGGTAGACTCTCTCTTTTTCTCCGATTGAGATTCGAACGCGAATTTTTGGCCCTTGTCAGTCATTAACGAGAACTGATCCAGAGTCGGAAATCTCGAAGAAAGCTCATCTTCGGCAGAACCCTTGTGCCCGTCCAGCGCTGCAAAGGGGTCAGGGTGTGCGTTGTCCATCATTCGCAGAGGCGAAGGGCTGGGTTTTGCTGAGCCATGGTGAGATACGGGTTTGGTTGGCCGTCCGCGCCGCATCGGCTCGATATCTGGAACAGTTGGAGGAGCTGCCGGTTTGGGAGGAGACAAAGTGGCACCAGCTCTGGATTGTGAGCTAGATGGCTGTGGAAGGACTTGGTCTTTACGACTCTCCGATTGCGTCCGACGAGCATAGATGTTTTCGAACGCCAATTCGCGGCCGTCTAACTGACACGCCTTTTGTAGCACCTGATATATGTTTGGCCGGTCCGTCGGTCGTTCCCGAAGCATGGAAGCAATGAGCAGCTTCAGTTGGTCAGAGAATCGTGGATAGCCGGGAAACTTGAACTTTGCATTGAGTATGGCCATCTGCCCGACTTCTTCGAACGGGGTTGTGTAATAGCAAAGCTTGTACAGAAACACCCCGAGAGCCCAGATATCCGATTTCTCGTCAATGGGCTGTTTTCGGTAGACATCGATCATTTCTGGGCTGCGGTACTGCAAGGTCGTGTGGCGGTTGATATCGTCCTCGATTAGACGCCCTTCCGCAGCAGTTGTAGCAGCCGGCCTCGCTGGAGCTGCAGAACCAAAATCACAGAGTTTATATATCCTAGATGAGCCATTCGTGGAAATGAGAACATTCTCGACTTTTAGGTCTCGATGCAGCAACGGAGGTTTCAGGTAGTGCATGCACGCAACTCCCTCGGCCACATCCGTAAAGATCTTAAGAATTTCGGGCTCAGTCAGCCTGTTCTGTAACCGAGTGTTCATGAAGTCGATGAGTCCTCCTCCCTGACAGAATTCCATGAGCAGAAACACCTCATATCCACCGCCTTTCAGCTGGGAAGCATGCGAATCAATATACTTGACGATGTGCTTTTTGCCCCGCAGTCTTTTCATGGTCTCAACCTCCGTCCGCATGTTGGCCAGATGCTCCTTGTCGGGGACAGCCACTCGCTTGAGCACGGCTTTCTGGTTCCCATCGACGTGCCGAGGGAGCAGGACAACGTAGACGTGGGCAAAGCCGCCCTCGGAAAGATAGCGCTCAATGATGACCCTGTGATCTCCCACCTGGACTTTTGTGCCAGGCAAAAAGGTACCAGCTGGAGGCGCATGGGTTGACAGGACGGGGGCATTGTTCGTGAAGGGCCCTTTGGCCCCGAGCTGAGAGGCGTAGACTGCCATGGTGGAGCTAGAGGTGACCGTTGGAGGGGGAGCTTCTGAGGCGTGGGACGGGACACGATGAGCGCTCTCGTTTATCTGTCAATCATAGCGGAGAGATGAGGAGGGGAGGTAGAGGGAGCGTAGCCGCCAGAGTGTCGATCAGAGCGTTGACGGACGACGGTAGGGGGAGACGGACAGGACTTTATTGAACCTGAGGCACAAGGCAACCTCGAAAGGAAGGGAAAGATTGTTACTCTGTCCCCCCCAGGTGTTCTCCGGACAGGTTGCGCTGTATCAGGTAGGCATTTTAGGCGGAACTTGGAGTTGATGCATGGGGCAATGCTGGACACTTGACCCTGCGCTCAATGGGCCTATAAGGTTTAGTGAGCGAAGACCCGTTGGGTGGCAGATTGTCGGCTGCCTCGGGGGGGCATGACGTGCCCTCCGATCTTCCCTGGTGACTTACTTCAGCCGACAAGGTCCGCTGGTCAATTTTTCCAAACCCACCACAGTTTTACAATGGTGCCTTGAATGACCTTTTTTGTCGCTTATGTACTGACTTCTTCTTACTAAGATATTATCCCTATTCCCCTGATAGTACCCAAAAATGTCCCAGAAAAGAAAGAGAGATCTGGTCCAGGACCAGGACCAGGATGACTCGATCATTACTCAAGAACAGTCGGACCAAAAATCCCGAACAGCGGCACCAAAACCCCCTGCGAAGTCGAAGGGACAGTTGAAGCAAGAGAAATCGGAGAGGAGATCCAAAAAGCAGAAAAAGTCGACAGAGGAGAAGAAAGAACAAGAACAAGAACCGTCTAAAACTCTCGGCCCGGTCGCTTCTGTGCCCGCCGCAGCTTCGACAGAACCAAGTCCAGGTGATGCTAAGACGCAAGAGAAGGTAGCAAAGACACGCGAGGAAAGGAAAAGCTCAACATCTCAGGAGGACGATGGCGAAAAGAAGACGGCGACTCCTACCCGATTTATTGTCTTCGTTGGCAATCTACCTTTTGAGACCACATCAGCGCAGATAAAGGAGCACTTCTCAAAACTCTCACCGACTTCTGTGCGCCACTCGACGGAGAAGAAAACGGGGAAGAGCAAGGGCTTTGCGTTTGTCGAATTCGACAGCTACGACAAAATGAAGACATGTTTGAAACTGTATCATCACTCTATGTTTGATCCCGCTGGCAAAGACAGAGGAACGGGCGGAGCCGATGACGGGAGAAATACCGGAGACCAGCCATCACAGAGGCGAGAAAAGAAGAGTAAAGGACGAAGGATAAATGTGGAACTGACCGCCGGCGGTGGTGGTAAGGGCAAAGACCGGAGGGCTAAGATCAAGACGAAAAATGAGAAACTGCAAGAGGAGAGGGAGCGAAGAAGGCTCAAGGAGAAAGCTGAGCGCGAAAAGGCCGGCTCAAACAGAAAGGGGCCGCCCGAGACTGGTGCAAACGCCACCGCTGTGGCAGGCGGCGAGGTCAAGGATGACCGTGGTGACATCCATCCCAGTCGACTGTCTCGTGTGAGGCATTGAGCGACCGATATTTCGCTTCGGGTAGCTACAAAATGCAAACTTTGCCATGAAAAAGGCCTGCTGCTGCCGCCGCTGCTGCTCAGGATATTGGATGTGAATCCCTTCCTATATCAACGCCTTCTTCCCGACTAGATTGCCACTGTATTATTCGTATGCGCAAAATCATCCCTCGGCCAACCGTTTCTGATGTGCGTTCAAAAGTTGGCTCGCCTGCGAGAAGGCAAAATTGTATCGGAATGGAGAAGCGGCAACACAGACAAAGTCTATACCCACCTCTTGCGATGCACCTCGAGCCAAAATAACGCAAAATCCCAGAAGATTCCCCAATCCAGAACAACCGTATCCCGAAAACTACTAGAGGATGGTACACCTCGACTTCTTCTTGGTTGTCGCAGGTCGAGGGTTGAGGACGGCTCTGTGGCAAGGTGAGTACGACGCACCTCATGCGCATAGCAATATGTCTCTCACCTAATGGCTTCATCGAAGACGCTCTTGAGATTTCGTTGCGTGAGTGCCGAACATTCCAGATATTTGACAGCTTTGATCTCCTTGGCTACCGCTAGGGCTTGCTCGTAGGAGACAGGTTCCATCTTTTTCGCCCTGAGATTGTCTGCTGTTGCCTTGTCTTCCCTCAAATCTAGCTTTGTTCCGACGAGGATGATAGGTACATTTGGGGCGTGGTGTTCAATCTCGGGGTACCACTACGACGAAACCATTAGTCCCAAAATCACCAAATTGTAGGAGGCAGGCTTCTACCTTTGCCTTGACGTTGTCGAAGCTCGGAGGTGAAACAATAGAAAAGCATATGAGGAAGACGTCTGTCTGAGGGTATGATAGTGGGCGTAATCTGTCATAATCCTCTTGACCGGCGGTATCCCACAACCCCAATGACACCGGTTTGCCGTCTACCATGACGCTGGCGGAGTAATTGTCAAAGACTGTGGGAATATATTCGCCGGGAAATGCATTGGTGGTGTAGGATATCAGCAAACAAGTCTTTCCCACGGCACCGTCGCCGGTTACCACACATTTTATGGATTGTGTCGGTTGCGCCATCGTTTGTCGATTGATTGGACTTTCTAGACGGCCAAAGACGAACTGGACGAGCTTGAGACTGAGCAGTTATCGTCGTTGTGGACGATTTTCCACTTGCAGCGGCAGGTAAAGTGCCCGTCCGGTTCGGCGCAGGGTGAACTGAATGAGCGGCGGATTGGGAAAACGCGAACCGTGTCCAGCGGTTAGGCGCGTTTGTTGAAGGTTTTTTGTTCGAGCCCGCAGTGTAAAAGTTGCACGGTGGTTATTGGGACCTGCAGTTTCGTGAAAGGATCGAGCTGGCTGACAGCTGGCAGAGACTAGTAAGTAGAGACCGCTTGATGCAGTGTAAAGGTAAGTGCACAGTAGTTTGCAGCAGAGGCGCAGGACGCTGGCCCAAGAAAGAGCAGGACGAGGAAAGTTCAGGGTCCAGGGGGGGGTTTTCGACGGACACACCACTACTTGTCGGCACCGTCCGCAGTCGACGTCGCCCGGGGGGGATGGTTTGGGACGTGGGATTCAGATTGGGATAGTCGACGAGTCAAAGAAGCCAGCCAAGGAGTATGACCACTGGCTGAGGCAGTTTCTGAGACGCTGGAGTGTTGGAGACTCGCTGGAGAGAAATCTGCGACACAGGAGCCAATGGCTGGAGGTGGAGGGTTGGCGAGGGCCAACAAGACGCATTTCAAGGCTCGTCAGAAAAGCAAAAAAACCGTCCAGTTTCGCACCATTTGCCCGTCGTGCCCGTCACAGTTTCCACCAAGCTCCTATCGCTTCGTCTCCTTTGCGGTCAACCCAGATATGGTCGGGGGGTTGCTATAGCCAGGCCAGTCAGTTGTGGGCGACTGTGTTAACCTCACCTTGACAGCAGCCCGACCCTCCACGCCTCAATGAGGGGTGTGCTCATTCTCCTTAGCCGCCGTGGCTACCAAGAAACCATTGCCTCTTCACACAGCCTCTTCTCGAAGTCCTTCGCAGTCTACCGAGTAATCATGTTGTGCCTGGACGATGTCAGAGGCACACCACCAGGGAACCTCATGTCGGCAGAATAAGGTCTAAAGGAGGAGGAAATAGAGAGGAAAGTAGGTAAAAGATATGAGAGAAGCACAGCCGGCGTCTAGCAATTCAGAGTGACCTGGAGGGCTGTTCGCCGACGACCCAGGTTCTTGCTCTTCGGCGGCCCATTGATACGTGCACAAGGCTCTGCGATAGCAACAGAAAATATTGTAATTAGAAGCAGTTGCCGTAGAATGCAGCCGACCTCCATGGTGTATATCTACATGTGCTTCGCATAGCCGCCCAGTGTCTGTCTGCATTCCAAGGGCCCTTCTCGGTGGTGCTCAGTCCAAATCATCGGGCGCAATCCTCTACGAATCACAAAAGTACCATCCGTCCATGCATGGGCCGCTTCTCGCCGGCACCAAAGTACATTGATACGAGGCGTCGCCTGACCATCAATTGGTTGACTGCTTTTCAGCTATCCTCCCCAGCCTGTCATCCTCTTCGTATGTCGGTCATTATAACCCCCAAATGCAGGCCACAATCCCTGTTGCAACCTTTGTTACTCATTAGGCAGAGTCATGCCTTGATTTAGCCATGACAGTATCGATCGGCGGGGCTCGGTGCCAGCATGTCGACATGTCGTTGCGCAAGATCTAGCCCGTTCTTTGAACCAAGATCGAACCAGTGTTTCCCACACCAGGCTCTCGCCTCGGGGCTATGGCCAAGAAAGGATGTCACAGTTGGCCTCTTGCAGGGCTAACCCCGGAGCAAAAGCGCCTACGAGAGACGACCTGCTGGTGTTGTGGTGCCTAAGCCTTTGGTAAGCCCCCAAAACAGATAATGATGAACAACCAGACGGTGCGCCGGGCCTGACTAACATTCAAGCAGAAGCCCATGCCACCAAGAGACTCTCCGCCCTGTCCGTGCGTCTGCTGGCTCATGGCCTCCCTATCCCTAGCCACTGAGATCAGACTCCCGAGCCGCCTGGAAGAGCTAGTGGGCACGCCTATTCCCTCTAGACATCATCACCCACGCTCGTTGCAACAATGACCGCCTGGCCACCTCTCTCCCAAGAAGTTTGCAAACACCAATTGCCATTTCGGTTGACCGTCGTGGACCGCCCCGGCGAGCGCCGAGAGCTCGAGTACGAATTTGTATATTGCTCCCTCAACTCTCAGACGGCGGGCTTGCAGAAAGGCAAATTTCCGGTCTTCAAAAGTCTGACATCCCTCCCTGGGTGGCCTACCTCTCTTCGCTCTTAGAAGCAGACGTCGAGGACTGGACCTGAATGTGCAAGCAAGACTCCCTGAAGAACCGCCGGGACGTCATGACACAGGTTTCAACGTCTTCAACCGGCCCTTACCTCTACGGTAGATGGGCGTCCATGTTCCTTTCCTCCTAAATGTTTTGGGAGTTGTCCTGTCTTCGTCTAGGACCTAAAAAATAAGGCTGGAAACTTGTCATCGCTACAAGTCTCTTGTTTGCTACTGCGGCTTGGGGATCTGAGGCGTGAGAACTGGAACCTCCTGGACCTTACGGAAACGCAGCAGCTATAGCACCGACCATGCCTACCCCCGGTTCAAAGAAGCCACAGCGTCGGTTTCAATTCATTGACAATAGTGATGTCACCTCACTGGGGTCCAACTCCACCCAAGTACGGCGCCATGTCATGCAGGAATACATGAGGGAGAAGCGATGGGAGGCTCGCACCCAGTCCAATGCTGCCGAGGGAGAGCAAGCTCCGACTCGAAAAAAGCCAGAAAAGCCTGGATCGCAGACACGATCGCGCCAGCGAGGTCTACAGAGTGGATTTTCGGTTGCCACAGGCTCTAGGCACTCAGGGAGGGTCAGCAACGGAAGAGTTGACGCAACGAGCGACCTAGATGAGTCTGTCGAAGAGATCGATCGTCACACTCCCCATCTTGTGGTGGGACGGTCGAAGCCTTCGACTGCCTTCCGCCTAGGGTCGAGGGCCTTTGCCAAGTTGGCAGATATGATCCCCAACCCTGCATTCACTCCGCCATCCTCCACCAAGTCCAGCGATTCATCGTCACCTCATAAACCCCGTTGGCCGTCGACCGGGTCGTCCTCTCTCAGCCCGGAGCCCCAGTCATATCTGAGTGCTGCTCGCACCGACCCGTTTGACGCTCTACCAATGGAACTAAGCCCTCAAGACCAGGAACTTTTTGATTTCTATGCGAATGTCATGCCAGCGTGCTCGTACGGTTTTGAAAGACGTAGTCCACTTGCACACAATTGGTATCTGACGGTCTTCATTCCCGAAGCCATGAAAGGGGCTGTGTGTTTTCAGAACACCATCCTCGTCCACGCCGCCAACACGCAGGCCTGGGTCCAAGGTCTTCCAGAGACACGTCTTGCTATTGAGCATCGGGCTAAAGCATCGCAACTGCTCCTTCATCACTATCAGCAGTACCCACATGACACCTCAGATGCTACAATATCAGCCACGATCTCTGCCGCGGCATTGGAAGACTTTGACCCGCGCATGGAACGCCGTGTATACGCATGGATGCACTGGGAAGCGGTGGTGCAAAAGATCAGGGATCGGGGTGGACCTGCGGCGCTGGTTCAAAACAACAGACTACAGATGCTGATCAATTGGTCCGATTACATCTTTTCGGGTTATAAAGGCCACGGTGCTACATTCTACTTTGACCATCAGTCATCGCCGCGTCACCTAACGGACCAAGAGGCGGAGGTTATCGCCCGTGCTGAGATCGCCGAGCAGTGTGACGAGTTCATCACCTTCCTCAAATGTGCCGAACATCTTGCCCTTGTTCAAGCCGGCCTGCAGACCAACCCGATCTCAAGAAGCCAGCAACCCTTGCGCTATTCTGTCTTTTCACCTGGACAGCCTCTTTACAATCTTCTTGCAAGCCCGAATGGACCCCGCTACACGGAGACGGGACAGTTTAAACAGATTATTTCCAGGCTAGCTGCCTTGATGACGATCAACACAGCCATTTGGGAGTACCGGCACTCGACGGAATACAGCGAAGCGTTCTTTGCTGAGCTAATGGACAACATCATGCACAACGAGCTGGATCGACATATTTCAGTGGAAGCACTGATACAAATATTACTGAGTGGGAGTAACAATCCTGCCTTGTTGCATACCGAAAGACCATGGTTTGTTGGCAGAATGCTGAAAGTGTCCAAGCGCTTGTCCCGACCAACTTTCGAGAGGCTGAACGACTTGCTCCTGAACTTCTTGTCGTTGGGGTCGGGGCTCGCGCCCGTCATGGTGAGCTGGGAAGACGAGCTTCGCGCAGAGATTCTGCAGGCCCCTTTGGTCAGCTATCGGTCCCGCTTCATGCTGGAACCACCATGAATTCTCGATTCTTTTGGCGGCCCAGACCAGCGGAAAATAACCTTCAGCGTTGCTCGCTTGTTTCTTGCTTACCCATCTGCGGGGCTCACAGCACCAGCGCTCACGAGGACCAAAGGTTGTCTGGCACGGGCATTTCCAGACCTCTAGCAGGCTGAGCCAAGCGCTCAAAAACGCAGATGATCGGCGCCATGTGCAAGACCCTGACATTCTCTTGCCGAAGGACCAGCGAAGGGCCCTCTATTTGTCCTAACCTAATACCTCCTAGCAGCCTTGCATGGCACTTGGGTCTTGAACCACAGCTGGGTTTGTTACTCAAACTTCAATGAGCATTTCTAAGCAGAGGGTTGATCCAACTTGAAATCACAGCCTTCGGCGGACTGCGCAAATTGGTGGCACTACGCTGGGCAAACGGTTTCGCCTGTGCGGCTGTTCCGCGCCTCCGGCATCGCAATACGAAGTCCAGCTCTTGGGCGGGCTTTTGGTCAGTCTGGGTGGCCTGTTTGGGACTTTAAGTGGCCACAGGGATTCGGGGGAGGCGCCATCTCTTCCCACCGCTGCCGACGGCCCCTGCTTGTCGACACTTGCTGAATACGAGGGCCAGGGCATCACTTCGTCTCCCAAGCGGTCCGTTCGGAGCTTTTTCTTGCCCTTAATTGCTTTCCAGTTTGCACTTTCCATCCAGGAATATCTGATCAACAATACAAGCCACTCGTCGAAGGTAATGCTGCCATCCGGCAGCTTCAAATGACAGGCAGATGCTCTTAGTAGGCTTCTGCTGTACTTTTGCTTGCTTGGGGGCTTTTCTTTTTGGTTATGGTAAGTGTCGTAGAAGTTCGCTTTCAGATACGTTCCCCACAGAATCCTGTACCCATCAACAGCCATATTACCCACCCACCCCAAGGAGCAGATTTGCAACAGTTTGGAATGAAGCGGCAAAGACTTCTATTGTCTTCTGCAGTTACTTTGGCCTCTGAGACAGTGCGCTGACCGATGACCTGTCGTGCGAGCAGATTCTGGCATCATCTCCTCTTCGATCGCCCAGACAGACTTCGTCAACCGCTTTGGCAACGGGACTTTAGCGGACAACACAGCAGGTGGAATCGTATCCTCTTTTACAGGAGGCGCCATAATCTCATCGCTCTTCCTCAATGTGCTCTCCGACAAGTACGGTCGACGTGCCGCCATCTTCCTTGGAGGCGTCTTAGCCTGCTTAGGAGGCGCACTGCAAGGTGGTGCAAACAGCGTCGCAACTATCATCGTCGGTCGAGTAATCGCTGGTCTTGCCATCGGGCTGCTATCAGCCACGATACCAAACTATTGTTCGGAGGTCGCACACCCAAAGTATCGGGCCCTGCTTGCTGGATTGCAGCAATGGAATATCGGACTTGGGTTTGACTCACACTCGACAATAGTCTCTGGGTCTGCTGGCTAACGAGACGCTAGTTTTGTGTGTGCCCAATGGATCGGATATGGAAGTTCGTTGGTCCCTGGCCCTTTCAGCTGGAGATTTCCACTCTCATTCCAAGTGTTACCGGCCTTGGTTCTCGTGGCGGGAATTTGGTTCTTACCTGAGAGTCCTCGATTCCTCGCCGAGCGCGGAGATAGGCTTCATGCTCGCGCGATCCTGGAGAGGCTGCACCGAAGTCACGAACTTGTCGAAGCCGAGTACAAACGCATCCAGGACAACCTTGAAGCGGAGCAAAAGACTCGCATGGGGTGGTCCGACATGTTTCGAGAGCCGCGCCTACGACGGCGGGTGCTATTGGCATGCGGGATACAGCTTTTTACGATAACGTCTGGGATTAACGTTATCAACTAGTAAGTGTCCTGGGAAGTCCGTGGAAAGATGTTTGCGTCAAGACTCTGCCCTTGATGATGCTGCTACTTGATACTGACCAGCGACTAGTTACGGGCCACGTATCTACAGTTATCTTCATTTCAGCACTACCAGGTCAGTGTTCGCCGTCGATATATCTAGGTTTCATGTCCAGTCCTGACGCGGAGCAGGTCTCTCATGATTATTGGAATATACGGTGCGCTTGCCCAGGTCTACAATACCATCTGCATCGCATTTGTGGACCGGGTGGGAAGAAGAAAACTTCTCATTCCATCCATGCTTGGTATGGGAGCAGCACTCTGCGTCAATGCAACCCTTTCCCATTTCTACATCGACGGGAAACAAGACCCCAGTCGCAATGAAAACGCTCTGCGCGCCTGTGTGGCCATGTATTTCGTCTTCTCAGTGTTTTTCACCAGCCTCGGGTGCATCTCCTGGATTTTCAGCAGCGAGGTATTCCCGACAGCAATCCGGGCCAAAGGCACCTCGTTGTCCACCTTCACCAACTGGGCAGTGAACCTAATCTTTGCACAGTGCTCGCCTATCGCGCTTTCGAGGATGGGTTACCGCTACTTTTATATCTTCACCGCCTTCAACTGGGTCGCCGCAGTCGTGGTATATTTCTTCTACCCTGAGACCCAAGGGCATACCTTGGAGACGGTGAATGAATTGTTCGGTGATTTACAGCTCCAAAATTCCGCCGACTCGCCCGAGAACATCACCGTTGCTGCTGTGAATGAGGAGAAAGTTATCGTGGAAGAACAAGCTGCAGCGACCAGACCAGGTCTGCCTTCGACATCGGTCAAGGCGGCTTCGATGAAATCGGGGGTGCCTTCGCAGACAACAAGTTGATTCTGCTTGATGCCGTCTCCCCTCGTCGCTGATCCTAATTTCAAGTCAATTTGGGATCCATTAAAGGTGGGAAGCGGGTGTCCGTGATGTACCTGAATCCGCCTTAGTGCGAGGGGCTGCATCATCTCGGTTCATCTGCAGCCTCACGTAATGATATATTTATATATGACATTGAAATCATGTCCCATCACAATGCTGGCCTCCCAATTACCACACTACAGAAGAAACAAAGGTGCAATAGGTGGGTCGTCAAGCACACCGAAGAGGTAGAGCTTGCTGGCGACCTCGAGCAGGGGATTATTCCGCAGGACATATTTGTGATGGTCTGTTAGCTTATACCTCGTACCATGGCCATGTTCTCCTGCCCCGGAGAGAACATGTCTCAGCCGCGATTCACCGATTGTTGGTGAATGGGCAATATAGGGTACTGGGGCTGCATCTGTGCCGTGATATGAGCAACGCTTATCATCACCATACCCACCGCAAGGCACACAGGGATATATTGAGGGTATCCGACTGGCCCTGGCACCCTGCGCGATCGGCGGGCCCCCCAGGCTCATTAGCCCGGACTTAAGCAATGGTGGGAAAGGCCAGCCACGCGATAGGATGACGGTCCCCAAACGCCACGCGAAGGACGAGCTTGGGGGGGTCGTGGTAGGACCGAATTGGGGGACGCCTTACTGCCCGAGCACAGAGCACCGGCGCCGATGGGATTGAGCAGCATCAGGCTCGAGATATACAACGAGGAGGGAGTCGTCGCAGGATATACAAGATATATATTATACCCACGACATAACGATCTGGATCTCCTGGGCTTCGGCCTTGCTGGAGTGGCTGTTTATTCGGGGGTAAAGCGGCTGCCACCACCAGCTGCTAGGCTAGGAGGAAGAGAGACATGAGGACTCTCTAGCTTCGCCCATGCGTCCCCCCCTTCGAAAGGCGCGGGAAACCAGGGTCGCCGTTAGCTACAGCCCTGTTGTGCCTGCGAAGCCTGCGCAACCTTTCCCAGCAACCCATCACTCCTCCCTACCTTGCTGCACCCGACCACAAGCATGGCTGCTACACAGGCTTGAGGATCAAAGAATCAGTCAAAACCAACATGCGATCGGCGTTTGCCCACCAGTCACCACGCAGCCCACGGGATCGAGCATCCACTGTTTGCGTGCATTCGATGGGCCTGGCACCCAGCCTGTCGCCTCGCCCACTTGCTCCCGCTGTTGAAGACCTAAAAACGGAGAGACAGGCAAGCCTAGCAGGGCCCCAAGAGGGGAATACGAGGGAGGAGGAGGGGGGCAGCGAGGGGGCGCCCTCGCACAGGTATCCGCTTCCAGTCCCCAGCAAACCATCAAGCAATCAAGCCAGCAATTCCAGCTTCCACCCGCACGACCAGACCCCATAACCATGTCCAATGACGCATGCTTCCCCGTCAAAAACCGTCCTTTGGTTAATAATGTCACGGCTTCAAGTGGGGGGTGACGAGCGCCTAAAGGGCACAGCTGCCCGGTGGGTGGAATGGGTGTGGAATGGCTTGTGGACATGCTTCCCTTTTGCCCTTCCCTCTTTTCCCTTGCTCCCCATGCTCATGCCCATGCCCGTGCACTTGGCCGTGCTCTTTCGCTTTCCCTTGTCGTTGGGCGGGCGGATTTCTCTCGTACGGCTCGTACCAGTTGAAGGGGTTGATCAATTCCCAAACCTCTGCCTCTTGCACACGATATCAATTTTTTCCCTTTTTTCTTTTCCTGTCGCTCCTTCTCAGCGATATCGCTGTCCTCTTCAAAAGCACAAACCGGAGCTGCGGGGTACCTGGCTCCGAATCCGGCACCGTCGACCGGCCCTGACAAACTGTCTTTCCCAGACTTTTGTGTGTTTTCCTTTGCGTTTTTTGTATGCGTCACCAACCCGCAGAGCTCTCCAGCATCGACCCTCCCGACTTGTGAGCGAATGAGCGCCACGACTCTCTCCTTTTTTCCAGTGTTTCCTCGCTTGGTTGGCTGCCTGAGGCTGGAGGACGGATGGGCGACCAAGAACTGATAACGCCCCAGTCTATGGGTCGCCCTTCCGACGAGGCTCTGAGAGATGAACCCTCAACCACGGCCACCGTGGCCACCACAAATCATCGTGACGAAAATGTGTCGGGATCGCGGCCCGAGTCTCCTTCAGCTGAGACACCACCTAGTGACTCGGGGACAAAGCCAACCGCCCCTATGCAGAAGCGACGACGGGTAACCCGTGCTTGTGATGAGTGTCGTCGCAAAAAGATCAAGTGTGATGGCAAACAGCCTTGCACCCATTGCACCGTCTACAGCTATGGTGCGTGAACTTTACTAACCCTAAGTCCATCTGTCCTCGGACGCGACATGGCTATGAGCTCACTGATGACGGGCTTCTAGAATGTACATACGATCAACCTTCCAATCGAAGACGAAATCCCGCCCCGCAGTATATCGAGGCTTTGGAGCAGAGGCTGCAGAAGGCCGAGTCAATCCTGCGCTCTGTGTTACCGGGGCTCGACCTTGACGATCCCAAATTTGACGCGCGAAGCGTGGAACAGCTGATCGAGGCAGGTCGTGCAAACACCACCGCCAGCTCCACCGCCAACGTCGGCGCAAATGTCAACGTCAACGGCAACGGCAATGGCAATGGCAACGGAAATGCAAATGCGAGACCGCCAGCCGACCCTCCAAAACCCGAAGACGATGCTCAACTCCAGTCGATGGTTGACCGAACGGGCTCGTTGGATCTCGATGATCACGGCAATTGGGATTTTCATGGCCATTCCTCTGGTTACGTCTTCATGAGAAAATTCCGCGCGCAATTTGGCGACCAGTTCCTGGCAGAGTACCGTCATCCCAGCAAAAACCGCACCATCGCCCAGATCCTTGAGTCACCGAAATCAGCAAACTCATCTCCGATCGACTTCAGCCTCCCCCATCATATTGATCTGCCTCCTCGAGAGGTCGCCATTGAGTTGTGTCGCAACACTCTGGACGACTGCTGCGCCCTTATGCGTCCTATACACCGACCGACATTCTTCAAGCGACTCCACGCAGTATACGACACCGATCCCGAGCAATATAACAATCGTCATGTTCAATTCCTCCCTCAACTTTACGTGGTCATGGCTGTCGGCTGCCTATTCTCCAAGACAGAGAATGAGAACACAATGCTGGATCTGAAAGGCTACAAGGAGGCAATCGAACAAGGGTGGGAGCTATCGTACCCGATCGGATCTGATAACGATCGCTCGCTAACGCTGCATCAGATATCAATACTTTAGTACCGCCAAGCAATTGCTCGACATTACAGATTGCAGGGATTTGGTGACTATCCAAGCCATCGTCTTCATGATCCTCTTCCTGCAGTCTTCCGCCAAATTACCCACTTGCTACGCATATCTTGGTATTGCCCTGAGGGCGTGTTGTCGGCTCGGCCTGCACCGCAATTTGCCCATCAATTTCAACCCCATCGAGTCGGAGGAGCGGAAGCGAATATTCTGGCTGGTGCGGAAACTAGACTGTTACGTGGGTGCTGTGCTCGGACTGCCCCAGATGTTGAGCGACGACGACATCGACCAAGAGTTCCCTGCCGAGGTCGACGACGACTACGTTACCGAGCAGGGCATCTTACCCATGCCACCTGGCACGTTTCCTCTGTTGAAAGCGACGAACGCCCACACGAGGCTGACGATGCTTTTGCGAAAGGTTGTTCGGTATATCTACCCTCTGAAAACTCCAGGGAACTCCACGGCCGAGCCCGTCTACAGCATCAGCCACAAAAAGATCCGTGAGCTTGAAAGAGATCTGCAGAACTGGATGGATCAATTGCCGAGCGAGTTGCGGCCTTCGGACAATGCTGGACGAGAGCTCTCGAGGTGGGTGCTCAGAGGTCTGCGGCGCAACGAGGAGCTGACAGCGCACAGGGTCCAACAACATCTGCGAATAAGCTACGCTCACGTTCAAATGATGGTCTATCGACCATTTATCCATTATGTATCTCAAGCATGCCAGGCGCGGAACGTGGATAAGAGGAGCTTTGCTTGCGCCGCGGCATGTATCAGCGTTGCAAGGAACATTGTTCACATAACCAGCGAAATGAAGAAGCGAGGCTTATTGGTAGGATCCTACTGGTTCGTCATGTACACGACCTACTTTGCCATCCTATCACTTGTATTTTTCGTCATCGAGAATCCAAACAACCCCACAAGCACTGAGATCCTCAAAGACGCAAAGGAAGGACGGGACACACTAGCAAGCCTGGCAAAGCGAAGCGCGGCTGCTGATAGGTGTACTGTCAGCCTGACGGTAAGCCACATCCAATCGCAGGTATCACGAAATGCAATGCTGACCGTTTCCCCCCTCCAAAAGGGCCTTTTCGATGTCCTCCCAGAGAAGTTGAAAGAGCGGCGGAGTTCCCTCAACTTCGCTCCAGCGAGCAGTCGCAAGCGCCCTCCACCAGGTCCTGAAGCAGGACCGCCGCAGGAGAGGCAAACTGCGCCGGATCTCAGCACCCAGGTGGGCTCTCGGGAACACTCAGCAACGCCCAGCAGAGCAAGAACGTTGCCTTCCGATTATCTGGCCAAGCTCGCGAAAAGAAACTCTCTGCCCGATCCTGTCATGTCGAGTTTCTCGGAGCAAATGCAGAGTGCTCAGCTGATGGGATTCCACAGCCCGTCGGCGTCCTCGCCCATGTCGCCGAACTATCAGTATACGCCGCACCTGGGCAATGCCCAAATCCCCGATTTAAAGAATGTCATGTTCCCCAGCGACAACCCCTTTGCTTATCCTAATCAACCGATGAGCGCCCTCGAATCGGTCGATGGGCACTACGCGTTCTCCGAGTCGAGCATGACGCCCAACGAGGCGAATATCTTTGGCACCCCGAGCAGCAGCAGCCATCAGATGCCCATACCCACCCCTCATTTTGGTAGTTACGATTACCCTTTCCAGCAGACCTTGGGGGGCAACCCCAGCTTAGCACCGCAATTCGGCAGCCAGGCCGGGCGCGACTTCAACGCGCCGTTCACAGACATTCTTATGCACAACGCCCTTGGGACCGACATGAACCATCTCGGCGGCGTCCCGAACACGACAGAATCGATGACCATGGGAGGCGACGCCGGCGCCTCGACGAATCCAGACGATTACTGGAAACACATCAACGGAGGGCAGATCGGCCTCGGAGCTGGGCTGCCACAGGGGGTGCAGGCGAGCGTGGATTACTTTGGCACAGAGAGTTGGAACTCAGCTTGGGCCGAGCAGCATTACGGCAACAGCAACACCCAGCAGTGACGATCGGCATATATCTGGCGCATGGGAGTCTTTCTATTTGACATGACATCAGGCATGGTGACGAGAGCTTTTTTTGTTTTGGCAAAATGCGCAGATTTTATTATGATGATACCACAGATTGATCGGGGTTTTGGGGGGGGGGGGGGGGGATAATCGCATTGCCACGGTCCTTTGTGTGAACGGCGTGTCGGCGTCCTGGGTCCTTTTTCTGGGTGTTCAAAATATATTTTGGGGCCTGATTGATGAATGGAGATGTGTATGTGGACGACGATGAGCTTCTGGGGGCGCGAGATTGGATTTGCGAGAACGAGCAGAATGAGGGAAGAGCACGGGACCGTAAATGTACTGACAGTGTCTAGGTATGTAGGACGTAGGTACTCGCCATGCTAGCAGGGAGAAGAATTAACGCAAATCAAATGAAACTGGGATATACTCCTGATGGAAATCCTGTAGCCAGCCAGGGGGGGTTGGAGAGGGGTTGAATCGGGGGTCCGCATCGCAGTCAGTAACAGTAGAAGGTCTGCGTGGTTTTATGAATTTGGCCTGAATGTGTGATGTGTGCACAGATGATGTTGATCAGGTTTCCAAAGCTTGGTCGTGGATGATTATATCGAGTTGGAGGTCGGGAGGTTGAACAGCCCATTCACTATTGTCTACGTGGTATTCTCACCATCATCGCCATCCTCGCTGTCGCTGTCGCTACCTCATCGACGGCACTCAGCATACGCGTACCTACATAGACTATCCAGTCACCATGATTCGCCACTGATTCCCACCTACCTACCTTCCTACTTACTTACCTCCTTGATGTGGGTAGGTCGATTAGGTACAAGAGCGAGGGAGTTACAGTGGTGACTTTCGCCCAGACGCCCCCAAGATTTTCCGCTCTTTGCCTCTTCCTCCTCCCTCTCCTCCTCTCCCAAGACTTCCGCCAGATTGGCAAGGCTGGGCATGACGAACGCCAGTTAGTTATTACTCGGTAGTGGTAGTGCAAAATAATGGGACAAGAAAGCAAAAAAAAAAAAAAAAACTTAAAAATTGGGAAAAGGGGAGAACTTCGCTTAAGAACCCTTGTTAGTCACTGTACTACTCTACTCGTAGGTACAGTACCGAGGACTCGTGCCTACCGAGCTTGCCTAACCTACTCGTAGGCATGTCCAGGAATTAGGTACCTAGGTACCTAATAGTGTATAATGGGTGATTAGATAGGTCTAGCGAGGCAGACGGGGCTGGCTGGCTGGCTAACTAGATGTACCTTCTCGTAGGTACACTCACTCCCACGAAGCGAAGCGAAGCTACAAAACTATCGAGGACTCGGACGCGATAAGTGCAAGTCGGTTGGGAGGGAGGGAGGTACTGTAGGTAGGCAGAGGGGGGAGCCGAGGAATGGCATTTCCTCGTGCGCATAGGGCTTCCAGGGATCACCTCTTTCCCATTATCCCATTGCTTCTCCCTTCTCCCTTGTCCCGTCTCCCAAGAACGAGGGTCGAGAAGTTTGTTCGTGCGATCTGCTCCTGATGACGACGACGAGGACGCAAAACACAACCGCGAATGAATGAGTTGGATGGGTGGATCGAGAGTGGATGGGTAAACGAGCCTTGGACCCAACGGTTCTTCCGACCAAGGGGATCCGAAGAAGGGATGGGCAAAGTGATCTGTCACCTCTCTGCTCAGTGCTCACACGATTTGAGGCTACGAGGCCGAGCGAACAATCAATCTACTTGTACGCAGTACACGGTCCTCAGTACAAATACTCGCTCTGTACCAAGGAGGGAGGCTAGGACTCTTTGTCTGGCTCATTGGCTACGAACTGACTATGGATATATGTTGGAGGACGCATACGAATGTTCCTTTTCGCAAGTTTTGCCCAGTTGGGAGTTCTTTGATCTTGGTGGGGGGACTCTAACGGGGCAAAGAGGCGCTCGTTGGTGCTGAGACTGTCTACCGACCTACTTGTACACACCCAGAGGACCCTATTTCTTGGAGGACAGGGACAGAAGATGCAGGGCGACGCACACGAAGAGGCATGAATAATGGCAATGATGATGGAATGCAACGCCGTCATGCCACTTTGTGCTTCTTTGGCTGAATGAGGGGTAGTCGAGGGAAGAACTTACCTCATGCTCTCGTTTCTTCCTCGCCACTCGCGAACTGCACACACGAGTGACTATTCCGCCATGTGAGCTTGACATCCTAAGCCATTTCAAGCACGGGTCGACCGAACTCGAATACAGCTTGGGCATTTCGTGTTTGTGGACTCTGGCTCTCTATTTCGGTCCGGCACCTCGTATGCACGGGTGTCCTGATCAACGCCACGGCGCCCAGACTCTCCAGAAGCGATGCACCTCTCCGACAGGCCAGTCAGGGGTAGTCTCGATGTCACATGGGAATCTAATTATTCGTAATGCCTGTACCAAAAGAAGGAATAATCTCTAGATCCAGTGGTTCAATCGTGCTTATCGTCGATGTAAGACCCATCTTCGCCAGTATCTGGGGGAGAGAAAGACCGAGGAAACAAACCACCGTAGCGAGGGCTAAGGACGGAGAAGCCATGGCGAAAGGCAGAGGACCAAGAGATTCCGTCCTTGGAAGCAATCTTCGGGGCAGAGGGTTTTTGAGTTCCCCTTCTCTTTCAGCCAAGGAGGGAGGAGGGCGCCAATTCTGACAAAAGGTTTGCCACCACCTGTTACGAGGACCGTATCACCCGCCGAAGGGACCAGAGTGGGTGAGGAGTCTGAGGACGTGGGTGCTGCGCCTCGCTGCGCATGTCTTGGGGGTTGCGTTCCTCCCTTGGCCAACTTCTCGTCCCGCTGGGTGGTTTTCCAAGGATTTCCGACGTTCCAAGAAGACCAAGACTCATCAGGGTTTCATCAGGGGCCCCATTCCGCTCTCAGCTCCTGGGCGTGTCGTTTCTGTCGCCTCCCAGCGTGTGAGATCAGCCCAGAACTCAGCACTGCAATATTGGCCAAGGGACTCGCATCTGAGCGTCGCGGCCGGGAGAAGGCGCTGAGATGGATAATCCGGCGGGGGAATCCAGACTCGACTCGACTCGACCACTCGACGTGCAGGGCACAGAGTTCGTATCACGCTGACAGCCGACTCGAGGGCTCGGAGAGGTTGTTGCTCAGACTCTACCCAGCACGCAGGCGGCGCAGGTGGTGCAGGTTGGTGCAGCTCCCTTAGTCGCCCGCGACCCAGCAGCAGCGCCCCACCACGACGCAGGCCACTGGCGGGCTGGGATTGGCGGGATTGCGTAGTGGCTTGGCGCGGGCTCAGGCCAAGCCGCTAGTGGGCGCAGCTCCATTGCTCGTGCCCATCGAGGCCCTCACCCTTCGGTGTCTGGCTCTTGTCTCTTGTCTCTTGTCTCTTTTCACTGCCACTGCCGCTGCCACTCTGCACGTCAAACCAACGGCCAGATGCGTTTCGCCTTCTGGCTCTCGCCCTCTCGCCCTCTCGCCCTCGCGCCCTCTCGTCCGTGAAATCACTCTTCTCCCTTGTCTGTGTCTGTCCACTTCCTGACGAGCCAGAGGGCCCCAAGCTCAGCTTCCCCTGCCCTCTTCCTGCCTCATCCTGCCCGCCTCATGCCCTCCCCCCCTCTGGCTTCCCTGAATGGCTCCTTCCCCCCGTCAACTCAACCCATTATTGCTCCCCCCTCCCTCTCCCAAAAGAATCAA